TTATTTTTTTTTGTCAGCAGTTACAAAAAAAAAGTGGAAGTATATAGCTGCATAAACACAGTTGCGTTATGTGGATTACCGTGGTTGTGGCTGTACTAATGCCTCGGCTTGGAATATACGTGATGATGATACATGTTGACGTACTCCCATATGTCTAGGTAGTACTGTCTGTATTTAAAAAAAAAAAAAATGAAAATAAGAGCTGCACAAGAAGGCATGTGGTGTGCACGACGGCTCTTCTTTTCTGCCCGGCAGTTTCTTCTTCTCTCTGTTCCGAAACCTTCTTTGTAATTAAGCGGTCGGGAAGGAGGGAAGGAAGGGGAGGTCCCGCCTGTCTTGTCAGCTTCTTCTACCTTCTCTCTCTCTCCTTGTTGCTCTCTTCTCTCTCTCTCTCTCATACTCGCTCGCTCTGCTCCACTCAGCCGTTTATGCGTCCCCCGCAATTCCAATTCGACGCCACCAGCGCTTGAGCAAATCGCCAATAAATGTGCCGAGCATGGGTAGAGAGCAAGGGGTGGCCTCTTTCGGGGAGTTTTAAGCCAGGGCCATTCAGCGGCTTAAACGGGAGCCTAAACCAAAAATCATGTGAATCCTATGCTCTATTTTTCTTTGCCTTTATCTGCCGGCTTGGCTTGGTTGGCTAGCCTCTCGCTCGCTCCCCTGTTTTGTTTGATTTGCTTATTTTTTGGGGAGTTTGAAAGTCTTCCCCTGACTAACGATCGTCATCCCAGGAGTGGCTATCTACTTCATACAAGCTATTCGACTATCGTTTCCCCCCTCCCCTTCGACGGACGGTATAGCCCTCTTGTGATGGGCCGATGTGTGCCTATTCGGCCCTTTGTCGGCCGGCATGCGTGTTTGACATGTTGAACTTGGGCAGATCTGGGATCGGCGTCACGGGATGCCTATAACAGGAGGTCTGTAAGTGGCTTTCCGGATTGCTCTTTGGCTGCGCCTGTTTTATTGCCGGAGCGAATATAGCGTCTTGACGCGCTACGGGATCTGTTTTAGTTAGTTAGTTTGTTTCCGGCTGATCAAAGGGGGCATGTGCGATATATATATATATATATGTGTGTGTGTGTGTGTATGTGTATGTGTGGCTTGAGAATAGCTACTTTCGACCTGCTTTTCTCTTTTCCTTAGATCACCTTGTTTGCTGACCACAGACCTCTTGCAGACCTTGCTCCGAATTCAATAGTCCCATAACTGAGAGACGAGAAAAACCAGCTATAAGATGAAGCTTCGATCCGCTGTCCCGCTGCTCTTGCAGATTTCTCTCCCGGCCGTTCTCGGCGCCGACACTGCAGACTGGAAGTCTCGTACCATCTACTTTGCCCTAACAGACCGAATTGCTCGCAGCTCAAGCGACACGGGCGGTGATGCGTGTTCAAATCTGAATGACTACTGCGGTGGTACGTTTCAGGGCTTGGAGAGCAAGTTGGACTACATCAAGGGCATGGGATTCGATGCCATCTGGATCACCCCCGTCGTTACCAGTGAGTTGCCGACCTATCCCCAGCCAATGATATCAATTCATCCTCTTGATTAATAGCTAACATGCCTTGAATAGACAGCGATTTCGGATACCACGGTTACTGGGCTCAGGATATTAATTCCATCAATTCTCACTATGGTTCCTCGGATGATTTAAAGAGTCTTGTTGATGCTGCTCATAGCAAGGTATATATTTACACGACACTTTCAATTTTATGGGTCTGTGCTAAACCAATCAACAACAGGGCTTCTACATGATGGTCGATGTCGTCGCCAACCATATGGGAAACGCAAACATCACAGACGACTCTCCCTCTCCTCTGAACCAAGACTCCTCATACCACACAAAGTGTGACATCGACTTCAACAACCAGACCAGCGTCGAAAACTGTTGGCTCGCCGGCCTCCCGGATCTTGACACTCAAAGCCCTACCATCAGGAGCTTGTACCAGGACTGGGTGTCCAACCTTGTATCTACATACGGCTTCGACGGCGTCCGCATTGACACCGTCAGGCACGTCGAGCAGGACTACTGGCCCGGCTTTGTCAACGCAACCGGCGTGTACTGTATTGGTGAAGTCTTCAACGGAGACCCAGACTTTATGCAGCCCTACCAATCGCTCATGCCTGGTCTGCTCAACTATGCCATATTCTACCCCCTCAATGCCTTTTATCAACAGACGGGCTCCTCTCAAAGCTTGGTTGACACGCATGACCGGCTTAGCTCGTTCCCTGACCCGACGGCGCTGGGTACCTTTGTCGATAACCACGACAACCCTCGCTTTCTCAGCGTCAAGAACGACACCTCTCTGTTCAAGAACGCTCTGACTTACACCATCCTCGGCCGAGGCATCCCCATTGTCTACTACGGCTCCGAGCAAGCCTTTTCAGGAAGCAACGACCCCGCCAACAGAGAAGACCTCTGGCGCAGCGGCTACAACACCGAGACCGACATGTACAACGCCATCTCCAAGCTCACATTTGCCAAGCACACCGCCGGTGGCCTTGCCGACAACGACCACAAGCACTTGTATGTTGAGCCCACGGCATATGCCTGGAGCCGTGCCGGCGGCAAGCTGGTGGCCTTTACGACCAATAGCGGCAGTGGCAGCTCGGCCCAGTTCTGCTTTGGCACGCAGGTCCCCAACGGTAGCTGGCAGAATGTGTTTGACTCTGGCAACGGCCCGACTTACACCGCCGACGGCAATGGACAGCTCTGCTTGAACACTACGAATGGCGAGCCGATTGTGCTGCTGTCCTCGTAAAGCATGATGGCAGTGCAATTTATGTATATGCATACTTGATTACTTGTCCTTACGCAGATAGAAGAACCTGGTTTAATTTCCCTTTTTTGGATATATTGTATACCATCACGAGAAAATTACATATTTTTAGTCATAACAAAATTAGGCATTTACTACCTAGACTAGACTGTTGTTGTTGATGATGATGATGTTGTTAACTAGAGCGAGCGATAAAGCATGTCAAAGATTTTCTTCATCTTCCAGGCCCGTTTTCGAATTGCCCGTAGATGTACATGAAATATCTGCCGTGTACTCAGAGTAATTGTACTAAATAAACCGTCCCAAAGAAAAACATTAGTAGCAATGCCGAGATATATTTTGTCCGCCAGGCCAGTTCAACCTGTGTGAATAAAATCTCCATGTGCTCATAAATGCATAATAAGTGCCACACCGAATCCTTTCTCCCCTCCCAAAATATACGTAAAGAAAAAGCAAGATTATAAAGTAGCAAAGTCGTCATGTCATAGAATAGCCTTCATAGTCCCTTGTATACTCGCGTGTCTTGTTCGTCGTTAGCCTGTCCTAGTCTGTATTACTCGATTGCGTGTATCGTCGATAGCCTTGTAGTTCTCAGCGTCCGCGCGATTAGCTCTTTATTATTAACCACATTCTCTCCGTAGGAAGAGTAGATATATATACCGTTGTGGTTGGTGATGCGTTTTTTTTTGTTGTTTTTTTTTGGAGTTTTCGTTCTTATTGATGATTCTCGACCTTGCGTGCCAGAACCGATGACTTCTGTCAAACGCGGGAGATATAAAGTGAGGAAAGAAGCAGATGAAGAAAAAGATAAAAATAAAAGAAAAAGACAAGGTTTCCGGAACCCCGATCCCCTTTTTGTACTCAGCCTGCGTGGCTTGTAACCCTTTGTCTTTGTCCTTGGCACTCCTGAAAAAGAATTTCCTTTTCGTATGCCGGGAAAAAAAATGAGATGCAGTGAAAACGAAATCACACAACTTCCTGCAGCAAATTGCGAACCGAAACATTGAAAGACTTGCGAACCGATTTGCAGAACGAAATCCGAGCCGGAGGGTAGCATGAAAATGCGAGCTCATGTAGTAAATGAAATGCTTATTGCAAGGTGAATCTAAGAAGCAATGGAAAATGCAGACAGAGGAACTGAAATAAGAAATAGATATAGGAAGATGCAATTATGGGTATCATATAGGTTCAGACTTAGGCGATGTGTGTACCATTCTTGGTTACCACAACCAGAGGCTCGTCAGGAAGAAGGCCCCTGGACCGAAGAATCATGCCCAGCTCCTTAAGCTTGACAGGCTTGGTCAGGAATAAATCCACTCCACTGCCAAAGGCTTCTTGCTGCGCGCTCTCCGATGCCAGGCCCGTGAGTGCAAAGATGACGCAGGGTTTGAGCTGATGTTCTCGCTCGTAGGCACGGATGCAGCGCGTGGCCTCGAAGCCGTCCATAACAGGCATCGAGACGTCCATGAAGATGTATTTACAGTGGTTCGGATTCGCCTTGTAGGCTTCGACGGCTAAAGAGCCGTTGGTGGCGGTGTGGTAAGCCCGGCCTAGCTTCTTCATGTAGATGGATAGAATGTCGAGGTTGATGCTGTTATCCTCTACAAGCAGGAATTCAGGTTCCGGCACTGCCTCATCTTCTTTTGGCGTGACAAGAGTTGGCTCGCTCGCCTCTTCCAGCTTTACGGACTTGGTGTCGTTCTTATCAACATGTAGATTCTGCGTGGGCTGGACACTAGGAATTGGTGTCGGCAGCTGCGTCTTGACGTCGCTTAGGATCTCTGGGACAGCGGAGGTGAATTCTTGGCTTGGGCTGACAGGAGATATGGGAATTGACTTCATCTCGTTGCCGCGTCTGAATGCCATGGCAACTGCTTTGGCGAGTTTACGGGGACCGACACTAGAATGGAAGAGGCGAGAGATTAGTTTGAATGTATGATGGGGGGGCCAAACAAGGATAGGATTCAACTTACGGCTGTGCAACGAATTCAAAGATTCGGTGCGCCTTGACCCGCTCAAATTGCGCTGCGCTCTTATAAGCCACAAGAGTGTTTCTACACAGGACAACGCAAGGAGGCCCATGCATGATCTCTTCCAGCGGGGAGGCGGCGAGCGTATCCTCGACCCAAATAACGCAATCAGGTGCCTTCTCTTTGGCTTCGGCTTCGGTGATGACCTTCAGACCAAGCCACTCGCGACAGTTACGATCAACCTCAACCTGGAGGTCCGTGTAGGATCCGTCCAACATACGCCGCCTGCCTCTCTTGCCAATGTCGAAGCCCATCAGACTAACACGAAGGCCCGCTGCCTCCGCCACGTATTTATCGAACTCACCTTCGTTCTCAGCAACTTGCGGGGTGCCATCAGGCGGCGTCACCGTCTGCATGAGTGGTAGAGAGACACGAACGATTGTTCCCACATTGACTCGGCTCTCAACATTGACACGGCCTCTGAGCTGCGAGGTGATTTGCTTCACGAAACTGAGGCCCAAGCCGGTTCCTGGGGCGAGATGATCTTCCTGAGAGAATGGCTTGTACAAGTCATTGCGCAGGTAGTCTTCGCCAATGCCCTTTCCAGTGTCAGACACGACAATGTTGACGACAGCATCAGCCGAAGACTTTCGCTTCGGCTTAGTCTGGCTGAGGCGCACTTTGATGGAGCCCTTTTGTGTATATTTGAGCGAGTTGCCAAGCAGATTCATCACAATGCGTCGAATTGCACCAGGCTGAGTGTAGAATCGCCAGTTGCACGCGTGGTCGATTTCAAGGAAGACAGTCACCTCTCCCAGCGCAATCTTGCCGTTTGAGCCAAGTTCTTCCATAGCTTGCATGGCGTCGAGACGGCGCATCGCAGTGAAATCAGAGGCGTGGGCAGAAGTCTTGTGCTTGGCGAGCTGCAAGGCCATGTGCATGAAGTTGAAGCCGGCATAGACGCCATCCATGACTTCTTCAACGATGCCATCGAGCCGAATATGCTTGTACAAGCTCAGCATTCCCTCCTCGACCGATCGTGCAGTGCTTGGTCGTAGCCCTCTAGGCTCCGACGTCTGAACACCCGTTTTTCTGGCCTGGATAAATCGGTTCACTTTGGAATAGTCGAGAAGATGATCCACTGTGTCTACCAGCGTGCGGCAGCAAATTTCAATGGTATGGGCAATATTGCCCTGGAAGACGGTCAGCTCAGTGTCGCGAAGCAGCTCGATGCCGAGGACAGCGCCATGCAGGGGCGATCGCAGTTCATGGGATAGCGAGCTCAAGGCGTCCGACTTGGCCTGGTTTGCAGCAAATGTCTTGAGACGAAGCGTTTCCGCAATGGCCAGGATACTAACGGCCTTGAGGAAATTCAACTCTGCACCCACGGTGAAGATTCTGGTCGGAGTCAGCGTGTAGATGAAGGCTCCAGCGCACCATCGCTGCTTTCTGGGGTCCCAGACGGGGACAAAAGCCACGCTGCGGGCTTTTGGAAACACCTCTTGGATGATCCGTCCTTCGTTGTGACGTGCCCAAGGACGCTTATGGCGCTTAGACTGAGAGGCGTCGTCTGGCACTGGCTGCTGTGGCGCGGGCTGAACAGGCTTGTCAGAGTCTTTGGAAAGATCCGTCACCCAACCGTCGTCGTCGGACGAGTCACTGGACTGCAGTTCTCCGTTGCTTCCAAAGTTGAAAATATGACCCTTTGGATACCGCTGAAGGAGCTTTGCGAGGAATGGCTGGGCCATGTTGATTCGCCGCATCGAGCCATCCTCCAAGTCAATGCGACGGCTTTCCGTTGTTGAATACCCCAGCACTTGGCAGGTTGGCCACTTCTTAGCCTCAGACTCAGTAGGCGTACCATTAGTATTATGAGCACTGCTGTCATCACCACCGGGCTGCGAATCCATGTCCCCTTCCTCGTCGAGGTCACTCCCGCTGTCATCATCTTCATCCTCGCTGCTGCTCTCATTATCACGAGACGAAGGGTTGGCAGTGCGGCTCTTTCGTGATCCCTTGGAACGACCGCCATACTCGCCAAAGTATCCTAGAGAGGAGTCTAGGAAAAGGCAGCCGTCTGTCTCAAGGGACTCACGGATTGTTTGTGCAGCCTCGGAGAATGTGTCGACCATTGGGTTAGGGCCAGGGACAAAGCTATCAGCCCATTTTGTCTCTGCTGCGGGCTTGGGCAGACGATCTTTACTGGGATTTGGGTCCGGCTGTTTGCCATCGGGCGAAAGAGATCGCTCTGTATTGGGGGTTGTGTGAGCAGCCACTTCTGAGATGGGCTGTTTGCTGGGGGTTTCGCTGTCTGCCAGGAGTGCTTGCCGGGCCAGGCGCAACGCATCTGGGGTTTCTGTAAAGGTTTCTCGGCCAGCAACAGGGGCCCAAGAAGATGCTGTAGCTTTGCCTTCAACAAAGAAGCCCAGGCCACGAATCATGCGCTCGCTGCGCATATAGGCTACCTTTGAAAAGTTTGCCTCCAAATGGTCCATGACGGCCATGGAGAGTCTGCGCATCAGGGTCGAGAATTGGCTGTTCCATCTGCAATTTGGCATGGAGCTGACAACACAGAGAGCGCCAATGTTGATGCCTCGCTGGGTGCGAATGGGAACAGAGGCATAGAAATGATGGCCACCTCCAGGCTGGCAATAGGGCTTCGACTTGAAACGAGGATCTGTTGCCAGGTCTTTGACCACAAGGACTGGGAGTTGGTCACCGTCAGGTTCGCAGTGATCAAACTGAGTTGCGTCTTTCTCAATTTGCAGGCCTCCACGCGGTCGCTCAAGGCGGTGAGATTCTAGAAGAGTATACTCGCAAGTGCTGTGGGCGCGAGGAATGGCAGTGCCACACATCCAAAGGCCGAGGTCGCTATCCTCTGCCGACAAGGGGAGCATTCTAGTGGCCTCGGCGATGAAATACTGGTGCTCCACGTCAAAGAGCGAAATGAATGCCCGCTCAGTGCCAGTTTGAAATACGGCCAACTGGGCCAGTCCAGTTAAGACCAGATCTTGCGAAGACGTCAACTCAGAGCTAGGGAGAGGCTCGCCATTGTTGTTCACTTTGCTTGTGGACAGTAGAGTTGGATCATATCTATTGCCATGCATTTGTGTTAGCAGGATTCTCTCTCCAGCCCACTTATCGACTCAATAGTGGTTATTTCCTCAAGGCCTTTCTTTTAGGCAAGAAGAGAGAATATAGAGTAGAGCGCCGAGGGCAAAAGACAAGGGGGGGATCAGAAATCTCATAGTAACAAACTGACTTGAAAGTCTCGCGCTGCCGCGTTGCTTCGGACACAGCCCGATAGGGCGGCATGGGACGCCCATCCATTGTCTAGCGCTGCACCTATCCGATATGTTGATGGTGTTGTGCGTGGGAGACAAGAGAGAGGGAGAAAAAAAAAAGGGCAAGGATGCTTCTTGGGGTAGGTTGGTTGTACGGGCACTATTTTGCGGTTAGAGTCGTCGAATGAGGATGCAGAGTCAGTTACTGCTTACGAAGGCCCAAAGTACACTGAATGGATACAAATTCAAATGGCCTTGCAAATACTGCTGCAGCCGCTGAGTCGAGGCCGGGATTCACCACCAAATAAAATCAAAGACGCTGATTTTTTGACAGTGCCCGACCCAGACGATGCTCTCAGACTGGCGGCGTTGGCTGGCTGGAAGCTGGGTAGGCGATGAGGATGGATAGTGAGAGTGATGAGAGGATGGAGGCGTATCGAAGAGAAAGGTTGACGATTGAAGGTTTGATGGATGAAGAGGAAGAGTCGAGGGGTGAAGAGTCGAGATGCGGTTGTGAAGAGAAGATGCGAGAAAGTGAAAAAGCGCAGGAGGATAGAGGGCAAGGGTCAGGCGAGGTTGACGGAACGGCAACTCGAGGGCCAGTCAGTTGCGAGGGGACCAGCCGCTGTAGCAGGTCCCGCAAATCCGGGCGGACAGCACTTGCAGCCTCAGTCGCTAAAAAGCTTCCAACGAGGGACTGCAGCGTTCACGAGCAGGGGCTGAGGAGAAAATAAGGCCAGGTAGGAGGAGAAGCTGGAACATTGGAAATCAAAGGGCTGGGCTTCTAGCGGCCGCAATGGCCCAAGAAGATAAAAAACTGCCTTCTCCAGAGGCAAACAGCAAACAAGCGGCTGCTACGGGTAGGGTGGACTGGACTTTTCCTCGGCCGAAGCCAAGCCGCGTACAGTAAGTATATCGTGGCGTTGATGCCTTAGTCAAAAGTCAAGTCTGCCGCTGCTGCTACAGTGGACGCGTTGTCTTGGGCCTCTGGGGAGGGGGACCCTGAAAAAAAAAAGACCAGCCGAGAACGAAAAAGAAAAGGTAGGCAAAAAAAAAAATCCGAGGACCCTGAACAAGGCTGTGGTGGAGAGCGGCCCTTCGACCTGGGCTCATGACAGGGCATCGTCGAATCAGAAGCCCACTGATGCTGGTAAGACCTAAAGTGCGGAGACGGTAAACTGACTAGCGAATGCCACCACCACCATGCTGGCACAGAATGACCCGTCCGTCAGGTACTCGCTCGTACAGTACTCGTATATATAGAGGCGGCTTTGGAGGCCAGAGTTGCAGCTGGGACTCGTAGAAGAGCAAGCCATACGCCTGAGGTAGATACCGTACTTGATGCATACAGTAGACAAGGCACGCCCCCCTCCCTGGCATGCCGTGCAGTTCAATTTCGCTCTAGACAGCCAAGACAGACTGCAGTGTGTGGAGTAGCAGCCGTCATTGGCTGGTTTGCTGGAGCCCATGCTGTACCGGTGTAAGTTGGCGGTTGCATTGATGCAAGGCGACCTATTGCGATGCGCTCAGCCCGCTCCGTAAGGTATCAAGATAAAATCAAATCCAAACACGACTACAGGACACAAAAGCCGTACCTATACTTGATGCCCGTGAGCGCTCTGTTCTCTTGCAGCTCCCCGGTGGAAGAGACACGCAGAGCAGCCGGTACTGGTACACGCCCAGAGCGCAGAAACGCCGCGCCAGCCGCAGCAAATGCCGAGCCGCCAAAAGAGTTCTCTGAGGTCTCGACCCGAGACAAAGGTCTGCCAGAATGCCGGGTAGGATCCGGACAGCCAGCGCCGGGCTCGACGTGCCATGCAGCATTTCGAAGGATTCACAGTACTGCTAGGTTTGTATGTGTAAATGCCACTACAAGTTCTCGGCACTGATCCGATTGACAGCTTACTCGGACTACTGGGTGTTACAAGTAGTGCTCCTTACTCGCAACAGTGCGTACACACACTTGCAGGAGGGACAACTAATAACAAGATCCATACTACAACTAGCAAGATGGAATATGCAAGGGCCGATGTGATCTGCTCCCACTTCATCCTTTTTCTTTTTTGTGGTGCTTTCTTTTTTGCTTCCAATCCAGCCTTTGAGCATGTGATACTACTGGCGGCAGCAGATGGGACGAACAAGCGGCCCTGGATACCGTGAGCCTCGCTGCATGCATGTTTTATCGGCATATGCTCCGGAAAACCCTTTTGACATCAGCTGATGCCTGTGCGAGTAATATTGCATGTTAGCATGAGGCAGTGGAGCAAGATCTGGGCACTACTGGCAGTAATCTGAGAGCAATTTTCGGAGCATTGCGAGTGCGGAGTCCTTTCTATGGGGCATCTCCAGCACTCCATCACCTGTTGGCGGGCACTGAAGGACCGGCGAGATCTCTGGCAGGCCCCTTACACTCCAGCAGAGCGTCTATCTGCACGCCCTGAAGCCCCCATAGGAATCCCCCGTAGAGCCTATTCACAGGGCAGCTGCCTCGTCTTTCCTCCTCGTCAACTGGTGCCGAGTACGGAACGAGGGCAGCTCTTGCCATGCCAAACTCTCCTCTGTCCCGTGACCCAAGGGCACAAAGCACAAGTTTCAAAATCCAAAAAATCAAACTCGACTTTCTCCCAGTCCTCACAACTTTTTCAACTCCAGATCTTCATCCACAGCTGGCTCCAATTCTCGAATCCACCACAAACTTGCCTCTGATCCACCCGGAACACAAGGGAGGACAAGACGCACCAGCCAGAAAAACCAGCTAAAGCAAAGGTAAGCCCGCCCGGCCAGCCCCGCCAGCCATTCCGCGCACCCGCCCCTCCCATCCCAATTTGTTTGTCGATCTCACTAACTCGCTAGCCGTAGTTGTCAATCCACTCAAGATTCAGCATGCCTAATAACCCGGAGCTCTCCAACTACTGGGCTCGAGGTTACTGGAACCGCGAGTACTATGATCAGGATGATGATTCTGACTCTGAATTTGGCTGGGGTGACTGTGACGGCCATCACCCCTTTGGTGAACACTGTGAGATCTGCGCGTCGTCCTTCGACTGCTACTGCTGTGACTGCTATGCCTACGGCGCGTACGCTGGCGACGACAGCTTTTACTATTACTATCGTCTCTTCTACTGGTACTACTACTGTTTCTACATGGACTACTACACCGGCCACTACGCTGAGCGTGCTGCTCGCGGATCCCAGTCTCGCAACAACCGAGAGGACTTCTAGTCACTCTGGGCGCTTCTGAAGAATACAGGAAACACATAGAGGTTGTACCTGGTAATTTTGTACGTCGGATTATGACGGGATCTGGAAGGCAAGATGCATGAGAAATGTCAGTTACGAGTGAATGAGTGAATGTTTTTCAAGATGGAAGTCCAAATAGTATAGGCTCATCTGATAATAAATGATCAATTGTCGGGTAGGACACCCTTGACAGCATGCTACTACTTTCTTTCCCAGTCTTTGTTTAGGACAGTGCCAAGTGTGCCTCAAATTCCTAGATGTGTATTCAGCGTCCGCCATTCGCTCCAATCTCAAACCCCCCTCCCGCTCCTGTGGCGAATTTCCCAGCTCAAAAATATACTGGGTACGACTGTGGTTTCACATTAATGGAAACACAAAACATGGAGAAGGGTCGGGAGAGCGCGGGAAGAACATGGGGTAAGGTCTAATATTAGCTGTCGTGTACGGGTACAGACCCGTCTCTCTGCACCAAAGTGCCACAAGAAATCCCAAGCCCACGCAAGGAGAAGAAAAGAGAGACACGCACGAAAAAAACAACCAAAAAAAAGGGGGAACCATGCTAACCCAGAGTCCTATGCAGTGTACCAATTTTGCCCTTGCCGAAATCTAAAGAGAAGAAAAAGATTGCTTTCACCATTCGCTCAGTGGTATGCGCCGTGTGCTATTGGGTTCAACCCAAGCATGTCAGCAAAGTTGACGATGGTATACTGCTGCTGGAGCCCTTCCAGCTTCTCGCGCAGATAGTCTCGCTGCTCCCTCTCGACTCGCTCCAAGCTAAACAAGAAACGCACCAGAAACACAAAATCTTGTATACGACTTCTCACGTCTTCTTGGGTCTGGCCATAGCCCAGCGGCAGCGCCAGCACGTCCGCCACGGTGCTGGTGATTTCGAAAATCTTCTGCACAAGCCCAATGCCGTGCGTGACAGTCGTGGAGACGTTTTCGAGCTGGCTCACCAGGTTCCGCACCTGCGCAGAGAGCCGGTACACTTGGAGCTGGAGGGCCAGGTCCTCGTGCTGCGGCGCCGAGCGAAAAAGATGGTGCATCAAGCCAAGCTGCCACAGCAGCGTGCGCATCCAGAGCCTGGTCACCAGCAGATCAACATGCTGCAGCTCTGTAAAGGACCCCCGGCCGCTGTCAACCAGTCCTCGCTCGGCCTCTGACGCACCGGCTTCGTCTTGATCCAGCTGGACCTGCTTGCCCTCGATCCACCGCAGGGACACGCCTGCAACTGGCTGCGCCGGGTTCTGCTGGGCGCTCCAGTAGAGCAGCAACGGCCCGTCCAAGAGCTGAAACAGGCGGATCAGACGGTTGAAGCCAGCGTCGATGTGGGTGGGGATCGACGGGTCCCTCGCTGGCAGGCCCGTGGGCAGAGGCGTCATGACACTTGGAAAGCCAGAGAGAATGGTCAGGAAGCGCTCATGGATAAAGACCTGCCAGTACACACGTTGGAACTTGGGCACGTCGCGCGGCTCGAGGGGCACTGCGCTGTGCGAGCACTGCTGGACTTGGATCATTTGCACCATGGTCATGGCCTCACGCAGCACGGCGAAGCAGCGGTCGAGGCGGCTAAAGGCCATCATGGACACGGCGAGGAAGACGCACGTCATGATGCGCCTAAAGGTTGTCCGCATCTCCGTCAGCCTGCCGTTGTGGACGTCCGCCATCGACTGTGCCCGCCTATACGCACCCAGACTCAGTCGGATCAGCTCGGTCATTTTAGCACCAGCCTCACCCTGCACCGTGGGCGTCGTCAGATTGATAGTCACGGCCCCTACCGCATAGACAAAGGCAGCGTCATCAAGGTTGGCGTGCATGTTGTCAATGGCCTGGCGGACCTCATAGCTGGTGATGATGGGGCTGCCCGGATACACTTGCTCTTCATACTTGGCCAGCATGCCGATGAAGAAGCCTGGGGTAAAAGTACGATTGTCCCACGCGGGAGGCGTCGTCTCTGCACCACCAACACCAGCAACGGCACCAGCACCGGCACCAATACCAATAGTACTAATACCAATACCAGCACCAAAACCAAACCCAGCGGTACCACCACCAACACCACCACCAGCAGAGGGGGCCCCGTCTTGGTCCGGGTTCACTATGCCGGCGATGGACGTGACCGCTGGACCCGGCGGTCTCTCGGGATAGTCAGACGGGGAAGCGTTACCATGGCTCGTGGCCGCTATGTTGGACTTGTTGCGGAGCTGCGTGACCAGCCGGTTGCGCACGCTGGGCTTCCGCTTAGTCGACGGCGAGTAGATGCACCCGAGGCCCAGGTGGGAGCATTGGGAGCACGGCTGCGTGCTATTGCATTTCACCTTTCGCACCCTGCATCCGTCGCATGCTTGTGCTGCTCTGTTACTCATGGATGAAGCGGCATGGGACGTTTTGACGGTTTGGGCGCGGCACCTCTAGCTCATGGCGTCACTAGGATCGAGACTAAAGGGAAAATGGATCCAACAAGCGTTCTTAGGCCGGTCGGATGCGCAAGACAGACAAGATAGAAAATCACAAAAAAAAAAAAAAAAAAAAAAAAAAAAAAAAAAAAAAGGGGGGGGGAAAAGGCAACGACACAGCTCTCTGGAACCCCGCCGGAGACCTCTCGTTTGAACGATAGAAGAGAGAGTTGTGTGGGGAAATGGATTGGGAGTCCGACGCATAAACACGCACACAGCAGAAGGAACGGGCAGTTGGATCAAGGGACAAGGAAACGAAGCAGCAGCAATGGCGATCAGGTCAGAGAGAATCACAGTTCAAGGATGCGTCGGTCTGTATCTGGATTTGATATTTAACCCCCCACCGGCCATCCCACCTCCACGCTCGGCCAGGCATGTAACTGTACTCTGTAGTTCCAACTGGAATATTAATTAGCCGCCAAAGTGATGGAAGAAGCAAGTCGGTTGTGTGTGTGTATGTGTGTGTGTCTGCCTGCGTGGGTTTGCTCTGCTGTCTCCACAATAGACTCATAGGGCTGGATATTCCTGACACTACCATCAAATAGGCCGTGTGGCTCAATGGCAGAGCGTCTGACTACGATCAAGTACATCAGGAGGTTGCAGGTTCGACCCCTGTCTCGGTCAATCTTTTTCTTCCTCTTTCCTACGAGGACATCTTTTTGCCAGTCGGATGTGATAATGGTCAACTCATGATATTTTTGGAGAGGAAGTTGGCTTTTCCCAGCAAAGACGTCGCAGATTGGAGGAGCAGACTCTGCTAACACCCACTTCTTAGGCACGGAAGCGTGGCTTAATTACGTCCAGCCTCGATTCGCACTCTACCGTCGGTCAGAGTTTCTCTGTCTCGCGATGCGCACGGGCAAAAGTCTCACAGCAACCGACTATAAGAGATATCTACTAATACAATACCTAGCCAATTGGGAAATATCTCACAAGGAAGCGGTCCCTGTAAATAAAGCACACTCTCGCAAGCAACCCAAAATAGCAACTCGATCTTATCTGGCTCTTTATCCTGGGTCCATTATACGATGTTACCGTCTAATCACCATGCACATGGATTTTGGGTTCCATTTCAGTGGAAACGTCCAATTTAGCCATCTAAAACTCCCATCCGGGAGGTAGCGAGGGCGGTACAAACAAGCAAGGATCAAGCTGTCCATCGCGTCGGTGTTGGTGCATGATTTCGGCAGCAAGAGTATAAGCCGGATATATCTCAGCGCAATCAGCCTTTTCCATCAACCTTGCGTGACTTGATGGTGACGACGGAAATCACTGAGTGAGCTTCATCTAGTTTCTTGACAATGTTTGATTCAATTCTCATTCAAGTTGTACCGAAGCCGTCTCACAATGACTCCCTCTTTGGTTACATTTCTTCCTTATTTTCTCGAATTTTGAGATCGTATCAAGCGATCACTAATCTGATGGATTTCTTGAGACTTTGATTGGTAAATTGCAAATTAGGATCGTCACTTTGTTTAGGATCGCCACTATGCATACATCTAACCATAGGTATGAAACAACAGTGGAGTGAGTGTTACCTCGACAGGATATATAAACGAGTGAGACCACCAGCATGTAGAAGAGGATCAAAGGTTCATCGGCAGCCTACAGCAAACAAATTAAATTCTTTTGAAACAAGCAAATACACACCATTGCTAGCAGCAGATCGGACCCATTTCCTCACCGCCAGCAAACATGAAGTTCTTGTCCTGCTTCGTCGCTATCGGTCTCTTTGCCGGCGTGTCCATAGCCCAAAATAGCACAGTTCAGATTGCTCACGTCACTCTCCGCTCTGAGGGCGACGACCATTCTTTCCCTCTCGACGTCCCAGCCAACGGCAAGCCCGTCTTCACATACAGCACGCTTCCAGTCCAACTGATTGACGCTCCCGACTACGACGTCCTCCAGTTATGTGCGATTCAAACCGTCGGCCCGGCGAATCTGAGCAGCACAATCGCGTCCGACGGTGTAACGCAGCAAGTTGTGATTGATCCGCCGCAGACGGTCACAAGTATTGCCTGCCAGGGGACATGTGTCGAGACTTGGGGTGAGTCTAGTCTGCTTTCATTGACTTGATTACGGGAGACGATATGCTTAAGCCACTGTGAATTAGGTGCCTGCGTTGATGCAAACGCCCAGTCGCTTGGACCTTGCTGTAATGGCCTGTGCATTGCTTCTCGTTGCAGGCCTTTCAATCAGCCATGAAGAGACTGAGTTATATGAAGCGATTTACATGGTGGACTCTTGATTATACACTATTACGATTTGGACATATGAGTTTGTATATATACATATATCTACGGGAAGGTACTAGGTAAATATTGATCAAAAAATTGTATTTGGCGTAGAATTCATCTATCTAAATGGCAGCAATATGGAATTAGGGTTTGAGCTTTACAATAGAACGAAGCAATAGCTGAAATCCAACCACTGAAGAGTAAAGTCGGGAAAAAGGAAGAGAAAAAAAAAATGAAATAAAAGATCAATGCTATGACAAAGAATAATCATAAAAAAATAAACAATCCTTTGAATATGACACCTGAGGGATTCGAACCCTCGCCTATTTCTAGACCGCGAATAGATCGTTTGGTGGTGCCAAACTAAACCTGAACACGGCGCCTTAGACCGCTCGGCCAAAGTGCCTTTGACGAATTGAATGAGCTAAAGTGCAGCTGTTGTGGCTCAAGGACCCTGAGCAGTGCAGATGCTCGCGATGGCAGTCTCCAGCGTATACTAACTACGGTGCCTTGAAATGCTCAATGGCGAATTCGCACAAGATGGAGAGGGCCAATTCATCATCACTATGGAACGGGAAGTGCGGGAGATGTACATGTTTATAATTGTGAGAGAGAGAAAGCATCCCAACGTGTGTGCCGTCATTATCCAACTCTACCGTACCGCCGTATCAAAAAGAGAAAAGTCCATCCTCTACCATGTTCTCTAACGCCATAAAGTCGTCGAATCTTACAAGCATAAACAGCTGAATGCGATCCATCATATCCGTAAAACAAAAGGAAAACAGCAAAAGAAAGGAAGAAAATAACAGTAAAGCAGAGAAATCCGGTCGTTTCGCTAATAATAATAATAAAACCAAGCAGGAGTGTCGTCGTATCGTCGTATCTATAAAAAAGGAAAAACAAGAAGAAGGAAAGAGTTGCTCGTTATCGACATCCCATTACTTCACGACAGCATTAGCGCTTCTTCTTGTCCTTGCCAGAGAATCCATCGGCCAGAGCAGCAGTTATAGCGACGGTAGCCACTTTGGCTCCCTTTGCGCCCAGCCAGGGGCCTGCTTCCTTGCGGTTCTGCATAAAGGCTTGTGCGCCGGCAGCCAAGGCCGTTCGTGCTCCGGCCTGGATCACGGGGTTCTTCCACCAGGCAGGGCTATTGCTGCCGCTGCCGCTGCCGCCTTTGGCGCGGGTGCCCGAGCTGGAGACGGTCGGCATGGTGCTTCGACGCTTGAGCGATGAGCGGCCGCTGTCAGCAGGTGCACGATCCCGGTCTCGGGTGCGGTCGAGGTCACGGCTTCGACCGTAGCTGGCATCTGCTTCGCGAGGCTGTGAGCGGTGGCTTCGGTGTCGTCTCTCTCTCTCGTCATCACTGCTGGGTGCTGGGGCGCCGCGGGATCGACGAGAGGAGCGAGGGTCTTCTGTTGGATAGCTTCGAGAAGATCGAGATCTGGGGTCTGGAGAGATATTCCGAGAGCGTCGAGGGTATTCAGGCGATGGCTCTCGACGTGAGGACTTATGACGGCGCTCACGTGGCTCTGAAGGATAGTCCCGTGAGCGTCGGTCATCGTCTCGGTAGCGCGACTCTCTCGGTGCATCTCTTTGCGAGCCCCTCTGAGATTCCCTCGGCGAATCTCTTGGAGGATAGATGTTGTAATCACGATTGGATGGCCGGTAGTCTCCTTGAGGTGGAGGAGTAGGTGCGGCAAAAGGCGGCGGGCTGGGATATCGACGGCTACGGGAGGGCTTCATGTCGCTGTAGCCTGGAGAAGGATCACGACGGCTGCTGCGTCTTGGTTTGTAGTCGTCGCCGGGAGACCGGTTTCGCCGACTCTTTTCAGATTTTGGCCGGCGAGATGACGAAGAAGGGTCTTGATAGCTGGAATCGAGAGGTTCCTCTGGGTTATAGTAGGAGTGGTTGAGGCCTTGCGGCGGATCGGGTTCTGAGCGTCTGGGCATGATGACTATGCCGTGTAGTATGGATTGTATTTATAGGTGAAGGCTGTGGCGAGCAAATGCCTGATCGACAGTCGAAAACAAGGATATAGAAAGCCTAGCCAACGAACAGCATTATAACACACGCACCGAGCAGGGCGTATCAGGTAAGGGAGAGCAGCGTTCAGACAGCGTTTGCGGCACGTTCAAGGTTTATGTACAAGTAAAGTATAAGCTGAGCTGATGGGCGAAGCATCGAATCGATGGCCATCACTGGACTACGCCCCGCTGACGCCTGGAGAGGGGCCGAATCTGCAAGTCAGGAGGGGCGGCCTCTCGACTGGGCCCTCGCTAGTGACCTCCAGCGGTCCGCAACATGGCCTACAGCGTCCGGGACGCCCCTAATCTTGCACGATCCCGGCCCATGGCAGTGATCCGGGAAAGACTCTGGAGCGCGGCAGGGTTTCTGCGGTCTCCTGACGTCACGCGAGCCAATAGGCGGTTCCGCCCGGGCATCTTGGTGAGAGGAATTCTGGCCTGGAGAGTCGCCTGACGTCAAAGAAACATATGAATACATCAAGTGGCGGTGCAGCAAGTTGGACAGCCAGCAGCCGCGTGTTGGAGAGAGAAGGACTGCTGTGAAAAATCCGTTAAAAGGGTACAGGGATTCAGGCTCAGAGCCTGCCGGTGGTGGGCTGCCAGAGCGTTGATCATCAGGGCTTGCGACAGATGGACTCTGTCACGCAGGCAGCGATGCTGTTGGAGGATATGACTGTTTGTCTACATCTTGCTGCTGGCTGATTTGATTAGATTTGAACAAGCAAGGCACTGTTTTGCTGCCTACAGTATCTACCTTTTGTGTATCTGCATTATCGTGTGCTGACGCTGAATTGCATGCAGACAGACAATCCGTGAGAAACCGCCGAGGACACCGTAAGAGACGTCGGTCCACAACGAGCTGACTGTGTATCATATCATCCAGGAGGGATCTTCAGGAGTCGCCGAGCCGCGGAAGATAATCCCACGGAGCTTTTTGATACCCTACTTCAAACTGTGCAAATGTGTGCGAGGGCGCCCGGGTACTGACGATCCCGGCCAAGCCATGCCGAGACTTAAAAAAGGAACGCCTCCGCCTCCGCCACCCGCGACCCGCGATCCGAGCCGTTTCTTCGCGATTTGGGAATTACACGGCGTTGTTGGTTTGCATTGGAAAATGGAAAAAATCGTAGAGTTGAAATGGTGGTACAGCATCTGCTCCGCCACTTGGTAGGGCAAAAAACACAGACAATACGGAGCAGCACCAACGGAAATGTGCAGCAAAAGGATCACTGCTATGTACACATTGCCAACCTGCCTCCGATGCATGCTCCGTTTGCCTCTTTGCCCTCAATCTTTCAGTAACACTGGCGCATATCGCTCTTGGTGTCAGCATCTTTTTCAAATCTGCATATCAATTGCAGTTTGCACTGACGTGTGGCAAGACTTGAACGTTGCAATGCGGGTCCCGTTGGCTGCTACCCGGTATTTTTCTTGATAATTTGCGAGACTGTTTCACAGCGCGGGCGGCGCATTATTACGTCGCCTTTGCAAAGTCTCTGACATTTCCAACAGCTCAATTGAAACGTGAAAAGACCTTGATTATGCAAAATCTCGATCAGCTAGAGGAGGCGTTGTCGTCGAGGTCGATCATCAAAGCTCTTACCACCTCATTATGCAAAAGTTGGATCTTGCGTGCTGCTTATTGGAGAGAAATCATGGAGAATGATGCTTATGCGCATCAACGGATTGCACATATCAAGTAAGCCAAGACAAGACGGCATTTAGCTTGCTTGAAAAAAAGATGCAAGTTTGTATGCATGCAGTCAATCTATAGAGAGAAGGATGCTATGCATGCTGTACTATGACATTTGTAATGAGAGCCATAGCAAGTCGTGGCAAAAATCGTGCGTACCCGCAAGATCCACACCTCTTTCGAGCTGTGCGAGGGCGTTGTCAAGGTATCCCTGTCATCGATAGGCCATTAGATCCCGATGCTCGGTTGGAAGCCGGTAGGTGTCTGCATTTTGGTTTCCGGTATGAGCCTGGCTGTCCGTATCTGCCCTTCTATCATCTGCATTGGTCAAAATACCTGTATTTCGGGGCCACACGCATATGGAATTGGCGGAATGATGCTAATTGGTCGCCAAGTTGTTGAAGCACATGCCACTGGCAGCCCGATCTATCTACTACATAGTCTAGTAGCTGCAAATGATGTATCCATCATCCAATCATACCAGTTTCGCAACAGCCATCATCAACAACATGTGCTGGATTCGCAAGTCGTCACGTCGTTAACCCTCATATGCCGGGTAATCTGTATACCCGATGATCGGATCCTCAAACGGCCCATAGAAACGAGACCGATCGTACTTGGCCAGCGGCCAGCCATTCCGCAACCTCTCCACCAAGTCTGGGTTGCTGGTAAAGTATCGCCCATACACCAAAGCGTCGTATTTCCCGCTCTCCACGACTCCCCACGAGTTCGTGTCGTCAAATCCGCCGGCAGAGAAGAACGGCGTGTCTCCCCATATCTTGCGGAACAGGGACAAATCGACATGGGGAAGGCCCCATGACTTGAGGAACTTTACCTTTTCGGCCTCGGAAAAGATCTGTTCGTATCTCGGTTCGATGAAGCTCACGTATGAGAGTCTGGGGTGACGATTCTTCAGTTCGCGGCAGAGATGGCCCCAGGTCTCGACACGCTGCTCGCCACGGGTCTGGTTGAAAAGGCCAAAGGGGCTTAGTCGGATAGCCAAGTTGTCTTCTCCCACAGTCTTGGCCAGCTCGTCCATCAGTTCAAGTACAAACCTGCAGCGCTTCTCCGGCGTGCCTCCGTATTCGTCGGTCCGCCTGTTGATGTTGGAGCTCAGGAACTGCTCTGGCAGATAGCCGTTTGCTCCGTGAACCTCTATCCCGTCAAATCCAATTTCCATAGCCGCCTTGGCAGCCGCGCAGTAATCTCGGATCGTCTGCTTGATGTGGTCAACCGTCAATTCGATCGGTGGGTGCTCACTCAGCTTCACTGGCGTCGTTGAGTGCGGCGGGGGATACGCATAACATTCATTCGGGTCGTCGAACGGAATATTTGACGGCGCAACGGTCGCAGTACCTGTAATCTGTGGCAGAGTGACACGGCCAGCGTGCCAGAGTTGTGCATAGATGTAGGCGCCTTTGGCATGGACTGCGTCGACAACCTCCTTCCAGCTCTTTACCTGCTCTTCTAAAAAGAGCCCTGGAGCCCCGGGCAGACCGTTGGCCTAAGGAAGTCTCGGTGTTAGTCTTGTCATGTTCTAGACTCCCAACTGGCCGAAGAGAGGCGCTTTACCTCGAACGAAGGTGGAATTGCTTCCGTGATGAGCAGTCCACCCTCTGTTGCTCGCTGTGCATAGTATTTGGCAATAAGATCATTGGCAGTCCAGTCACGGTTTGGATTCTCAGCTGTGGAAGTGGCACGAAGAGGTGTACCGCGGTTTCTGGTCATGGGAGCATGGATGATGCGGTGCTGGAGGGTGATTTTGCCGCCCGCAATGACCAGTGGCTCGAATAAGTCGGAATCAGCTCCGGCCTTGATTTGAGAACCCATTTTCACTATGTACGAGGTGAAAGGTTACGATGCAGCAAGAGTCGTATTCTTACACGCTGGACAGAAGGACTCCGACACTGTTACAACGTAAAAGAGAGAAACACTCTAGCTTCTATCGAAATAAGAGGGAACAATTGCGGAATTGATTACGGCATTACGACAGCCAACTGTGACGCGACTTTGCGTATTGCATCAATGGGGCCCCTTTGCCGGCTGAATGTTGAAGAAGACATGGATCTATGGGAAGTTTACTCCACTGAACTCCATACGAATGTACTGTAATGACTCCACAGTGGTAGCATCGCGAGCCAGCGCATTTCCCAAAGCACACGTTCTTGATTGTAGCGGGAAGGTGATCTTCGAGATGGCCGCTTTAGGCTATGTTGATTTCTATAGCGGCGTTGCAGTTAAGCGAAGCAGCTCATTAGTAAATGGGCTCTGTCTTTACTACGAGGCTGGGATCTGTCAACGTGGCTTTGGTTTGAGCAAATAGAGAGAACCTGCTGTTGACTCAGTCCCCGGCGAACCACCGATTTATACGGGAACACTTTCTTCACTGTTGGTCGGTGTTCTTTAGTAGCTCCATTCTTATCCTAATCCGTGCTTGGTTCTTGCGGACGGCCCACAACAGCTTGGATCCTTCGCCCGGCCCACTTGGACACCATGATCAGCGAGCTACAGCAGATGATCTGAAGAAAATCTCAGTGCAGCATGGGGCTAGCAATGCTCAAGATTAGAGAAGGGGGAATCTAACTAATAGATGGAACTTACATGGGAGGATGCTTTGTAGTCTCTTGTCCTATTGGAATCTGTTTCGGGCTTACAAGAAGCTTGGTGGGCCTTCCGGAAAGCTGAGTACTGACCCAACAAGTCTCGTCAAGCTGGCTAGGAGTTTGAAGAGGTTCCGAATACATGACGCCAATTCTGTATAGCTGCTGGATATCTAGCAAACCACAAAATATGGATGCTACAGATGATGCATGCTGCTGATGGCCGTTGAACTGGTCACGATGGCGGTGCGCTTTTACATGTTGAAAAAGAGAGGGGAAAAAAGATATATTATTGGTTCAAAGTCTTGCTATACCCCTATGATATGTAATCTTAATGATTGTGACTGATAAGTTATTAATAATGGCTGCAGATCTGTCTTAGGCGAACCTTTATGCTAGTCTGCAATCTCTACTGACATGCTTGCGGCAGACAGTCAATTATACTACTCGATCGATGCATCTTGTTAAAAGCATGTCAGCAACTGCATATGAATCAACAGTGGATAAGAGCGACAACAAGGAGGCTCTTGAAGAGTTGAACGCGAAGTTTTACTCTGGAAAAGATACGTTGGGAACAAAGAGATGCCCCCAAGGATACAAGGTTATTGCGAAATTAAGTCAAACATAATCGAATCTCCTACGACTATGCGACTATGCTTCTTTCGAGTCCACAAAGAATTACGGATATGGATATTAGAAAAAACAAGTTTGTTGAATCCATCATTCGTCAATGAAACAAATAATGTCCTCAACGAAGATAACAAGGTGGATGATCTCATGACTAGGTACTTCGCCACTCGATACCTACTTTGATCTCTGTATACCGCTTGAGGAGTATTGTTTTGATATCTATGGCGATGATGTTTGATCTTGCGCAATAATAACTGATGTGAAGCCCCTTTGTTGGATCAAATCTCCTGAAGCCAGCATCTCGGTCTGATCTTGTATCTAAGTTTAGAGCAGAAAGTTCCTCGCTCATCAGACACGGAACCTGCCAAGATCAAGCTCTGGGAATTTCGAGCTCTCGTAGCCAGCGGCAACCTTTTTTTTTTTTTTTTGCTGCCAATGGGTTTACATGCGCAGGAGACATTTCTTCATTAAAGACACGCAGGATAACAGATTGACGCTACTGGCCATAAGATTTGTTTCTCGGATGTTCACGACTAGGGGGCTTGGCTATTAGAGCTATCCGCTCTTGGAAATCAATGCATGCCAAGTTCTAGCTTATGGTTTAGAGTCTTTGGAGCTCACATTCAGGATCTTGTTATAGCGGTGTCCACATAAAAAACAATTTTCTTGAGTTTGGGTCTGTAGAATTTCTTAGACATACTCTGCTGAATGGTTGTCATTGCACTCGCCTATTAGCAGGGTTCTTTATTACCGGCAGTTGAGTTGAAACGGTCAAATATAGACAGACCGAACGTCTTGCAGCTTGAACAAGCGGCAAATAAGGAGCGCTGATTATGGCATCATTAATCTGGTTGCCTGTACCCACGCAACAGTACAAGCATATCATTTGGAATACTGGCTGCACCATCGAGGAGCGACGCACGTGAGAGACCAACAATGCATGCGCACGCCATGCTGTGTCACTATCCCTTTGTTTACAAGTTGGATGGATGCCTGGCGAGACATTTTTATGTTTGGTTAGAAACGAGTTGCATCTTCGTTTTAGGGCGTATATTGTTACAAGATTGATACACGGCGTGAGGACACGGCGTTAGCTGTTCAAGTTGTTTACGAATGCTGAGTAACTCGGTGTCGAGACACCACCTCGGGCCAAGGTCCTATTTCAGAATGCTAAGCGTCAATAGTGCCTGTTGATGGAGGTCGCCGATCTTCTCACATCATTGAGCGGACAACTGCAGTATTCTGCATGTACCAATGATATGTCGTGTGAACACACGGACCAAAAGTTCCTCCCGCAACAGCAAGTAAGCATTTATGCTTATGGCCACGGACTTTCAAGCGCGAGTTTGGCGTCGATAGTCTGCCGATCTGGAATCGCGGGGGGACAAAGTCAGATTGAAAGCTGGCGCGGCGTTTCACAGATGCTCCGTGGACCGTACTCGTACGTAAGAGCGACATCTGATAAGCTGCTGCAAGGTTATCGTCGCCGGCAGTTGCCAAGACCATCCCCGAAATGGTTCAGATATCACAAGAAGCATATTTCCATGCAGCGGGAGTCGCCGCCCTCCATCTCGCAGGTTCCCGGGGAACTGGGGAGATGGCGATCGTTTGTGCTGCGGAGGATGATGCTAGCGAGATGGAAGCTGTGATAACGATGCAGGTACGGCAATCGTTATCTTGGACGCGTTCAAGCGTTTTACGAGTTTGGGGGAAGAAGATAGCAGCTATGGAGACTGATAAGGAACCGAGAAGGGACCATACTGTAGCATTCATTATACGACGGCGACCCCGGACAAACCTGGAGGTGCGGAATCAAAGCCGGAGGTTGCCAAGCTGCTCTGGGGCCTTGCTTATCTATGTGGAGTGACTGGTTGGACAGCTGCTGTTCGAAATTTTCTTGGGTCGTGGCACCGCGCCGATTTTAGCCACTTTCTAGATGGAATGCTTTGAACAGAGCCTTTCCTGATGGGGTAAATGAGACGGGTATTGTGCCTATTTGAGGCTTGACTCGCGTGGGCTGATGGGTTAAAAAAGAAAAAAAGATAAAATTGTGTTCCCGGAAATAAAGATAAGGAAGCTGAAAATAAGGGTCTGGCATGCCGATATATATTCTAGGGTCTTTTTTTATGGGTTCAAAGGTGTTGAAGAGACGAATGAGAGACCAATTTGTGGATATTGAAGCATAAGAGTCACACAGCAACAGTTGCATCTCATACATAAGGTAGGTACATACATACAAGTTAGGTACATGCCTTGTGAAACCTTGATGTACATAGTACAGCAGTGCAGAAAGAGCAACCAACGGCTGGAACAGGTAAAAATAGAAACACACAGCATTCCATCTAGGACAGAGAACAAAGAAGGCCGCATTCCAATTTACATCTGCAACGTGGCGGTCAAGACATCCAACCTGATGCTTGGGTCGCATAAAGTTCTGCAAATAGGTGCTAAAAGTGTGCGTGCGCTAGCCGACGGTCCGAGGGAAATAATGTGCCCGATAATCGTCAAGTTGTGCTTAATCGACCTCTATCTCCAGCGAGCTGATGGGCAGTTTTTTGGGGGTCCAAGTGCTAAAAAACGTCCCGCTAGCGCTGCAATACCAGCTAGGCGATGTTTTCAACCGCCTCCACATCCACTGATATGTACATACTACTAATGTAGTAGAAGCAGCCTCGGCGATGCGTTGCGCTGCGCTGCATTGCATTTGGCAGCTACACTCCACAGATGCCCGTTTTAGCGGCAGCAGCTGGGAAGTGGGAGGGAAGTGACGACAGCTGCGAAGCCGAAGGACTTGGCAAGTGCGATGTGCAAGTGCCTTGTGCTCTGTTCTGCGCTGCGCTGCTCCCCTCCTTCCTTCCCACTTCCCAGCCTCAAAGGGTCCCACCGCGCCTTCCCGTCGTACCGCGGATGGAGATGCAAAGGAAGGCGCTGAATTACATGATTAATTGATTGATTCATTAATTGATTATCGATTGTGCTTCAAACCTCACTCCCACCCATCTGTAAATGCAATGCGTGATGCAGCCATCTGCCTTTCCAACGAGACGCTACATTGATAGCCGCCCCTGCAAAAGATCCCGCCGCATATGCACGCGAAATAAGCATTACATACAAGTTTAAATAAAAGGAAAAAAAAGAAAAAAAGGCCACGCGAGATAGAGGAACCAACGCCGGCGCCTCTTCCGCCAACAGCCCCGAAACCAGCACCATAATCGGCAAAACCAGCCCTCTTTTCCTCTTTCTGCCTGTTTTCCCACACCCCGCGGCCTCGCCCCTGGTTCCATTTTCTCCTCTGGACCGCCACCGCTATCATTAGCCAGGCCCCACCATATACGCGAAAAAAAAAAAGTCGACGACGTAGAGAAGGTGCTTTAAAACCGCGAGCTCCCGCAGATCTTTTCTGGTCTCCCCTCTTCTCTTCCAGAGGACGTATTCGTCCTTTCAGTTCGTTTGCGTGTGCTCTCGAAAAAATCATATCCAGGTCAAAAGCCCAGCCGCAGCCATGGGTTGGATGGACACAGTCAACGTCAAGGTCGCCCGCAGTCCTGTGGGTCGATGGTTCCGACTGGAGGGCTCTGGTCATGTAAGTCGCCAAAACCCTCGCGTTTGAGTCACATCACGAGACGTCTTTTTGCTGCAGACAAGACCACTGCCAAGAAGAGTCTTGAGATGGTTGAAGCAGCTTCCAAAGCCACCAGGACTTTATACTCATCATCATGTTCTGTCTTATAGCCCAAGGAACGAAAGGGATCCCTGTTCTTCACCGAGATCCGCGGAGGCATGGCCACCTTCTTCGCCATGGCCTACATTCTCGCTGTCAACGCTTCCATTGTCTCTGACACCGGCGGTACCTGCGTCTGCAACGGAGGTGCCTCGGATCCCACTTGCAACAACAATGATGAGTACGCCTTGTGTGTCCAGGCCATCAAGCGCGATGCCGTCACTGCCACCGCCGCCATCTCGGCCTTTGCTAGTTTCTTCATGGGCCTCTTGGCCAACCTGCCTGTCGGTCTTGCTCCTGGAATGGGTCTGAATGCCTACTTCACTTACACCGTTGTTGGCTTCCACGGCACTGGCCCCGTTCCTTACCAGGTCGCCCTGACTGCCATCTTCGTCGAAGGCTTCATCTTCCTGGGCCTCGCCCTCTTCGGTATGCGACAGTGGCTTGCTCGAGCCATCCCCCACTCCATTAAGCTGGCTACCGGTGTCGGCATCGGTCTCTTCTTGACCCTCATCGGTCTCACCTACAGCGAGGGTCTTGGCCTCGTTGTTGGCGCCACCTCCACCCCTCTCGAGCTTGCCGGTTGCTCGCCTGCCAATCAACTGGCAGACGGCACATGCCCCAGCTGGGATAAGATGCGCCATCCGGCCATGTGGGTTGGCATCTTCTGCGGCGGCATCCTGACTGTCCTTCTCATGATGTACCGCGTCAAGGGCGCCGTCATTGCCGGTATCATCCTTGTCAGCATCATCTCCTGGCCCCGAACCACGCCCATCACCTACTTCCCTCACACTCCCGTTGGTGACGACAGCTTCAACTTCTTCAAAAAGGTTGTAGATTTCCACCGTATCGAGCACACTCTCAATGTGCAGCAGTGGGACGTTAGCGAGTACGGCGGTCAGTTTGGTCTTGCCCTCATCACCTTCCTCTATGTCGACATTCTCGACTGCACTGGTACCCTCTATGGTATGGCTCGCTTTGCCAACCTCATCGACCCCGTCACTCAGGATTTCGAGGGCTCTGCTGTAGCCTACATGGTCGACGCCATTAGCATTTCCATCGGTGCTCTCTTTGGCCTTCCTCCCGTCACGGCTTTCGTCGAGTCTGGTGCTGGTATTTCTGAAGGCGGCAAGACCGGTCTCACTTCTGTCGTCACCGGTATTTGCTTCTTCATCAGCATCTTCTTCGCCCCCATCTTCGCCTCCATCCCTCCCTGGGCCACTGGCAGTGTCTTGATCATTGTCGGATCCATGATGGCCACGTCCGTCACCGAGATCAACTGGAGGTATATGGGTGATGCCGTCCCTGCCTTCCTCGCCATCGCCATCATGCCATTCACATACTCCATTGCCTACGGCCTCATTGCTGGTGTCATGTCATACATTGTCATCAACTCCACCGTCGGCTTGCTGAGATTCGTCTCTCGTGGCCGCATCGTGCCTCCTAATCACGACGAAAAGGAGCCCTGGACATGGCGCATTCCTGGCGGCTTCTTCCCTCCTTGGCTGGTTCGTCTGTTCCAGGGCAAGAAGGACTTTTGGCGCGATTCTGATACGGTCGTCGTTGAAGAGCACGTCATGGAGAAAGAGCGAGATGCCAACTCTGAAGATCACGAGGCTACTGACGTGAGCCGCACCACCGAAACCCCCGAGGTCAAGTTATAAAAGAAGGGAAAAGAGTGTGTATCTTCTCGTAGAACACATCTCTTCTCTCTCTTTTTTTTCTTGTCCCTTGAATCTCAGCTTGCCCACGTGCGCATATAGAAAAGTCGTTCGAAAGATGACGTGATTTGTCGATATTTGTGTTCTTTTTTTTTTTTTTTTTTTAAGTTCTTGAGATGATGATCTTTCAACATGATAATGTCCCGATATATAAAGAGATGGTATAGACATTTGGAAGGGAGCATCGAGTGGGTATAAACACCTAAAGAGAAAGAAAGGGGGTGGAGTTAGCATTTTTGTTGTACATTGGCCATGATACCTATATCCTGCATCGTAGCAGGAAGAAAATAATAAAGTAAAAACCTTTTCTGAACATATATGGACTCAGCTGAAATGTGTGCAATGAGCGTGATAAACTTCACCAAATGATGGCAGAGATCAAAGTGGCTTCTTCATCAATGTATATTGTCATATCTTCATGATCTTTTGGAGGGTATATCATGGATTCCAAACATGCCATTCGCTTTTCAAACGCTAAGAAATCGCTTTATGCCATCAAAGCAATGTGCTTAAGCTCGCTGTAACTGTGTCAGTATATCAAAGCAACAACCACATGATCCAGGCAATAGCAAAAGCACTTACTCTTGAACCTGGTATCCAACCTTGGTAGGAGGATACTTTGAAGGCTCGCCCTCGTCTCGTCCCAGCTTGGCCTGCTCCTCGCGCACCTTCTCCGCCCTCTCCGCCAACTTGGGCACTGGCGCCAAGTCAAAGTCCGAGTTCAGATGCCAAAACAGCGTGCTCGAGATCCTCACCAGTGGCCTATCGGGGAACTCGACTTTGCGCTTCTCAATGGTCTCGATCGTGCGCTCGTTGACGACAACCTCGTGGTATCCCGCCTTGATGAGCCCGCCGGTGATGTACTCGATCTGCTTGCCGGCCTGGACGAGGAGGTAGTTGCCCTTGGGGATCTTGACGGGGATACGGGAGCCGGTATTGCGTGCCCAGATGTTGAGGCCGGGGTAGCGAGAGCGGCCGTGGATGGTGAGGAAGTTGAGATCGGTGTGGAAGCCGGCGAGGATGGTGTTGAGGTCGGAGTACTTGTTGAGGTCGGAGGCAGTCGGGGCGAGGAGATGGGGGCTGTTTTTTTTTAAACAGGTTAGTTTTGAGAGAGTCAGAAAAAGAGGAGACGAGAGATTAACGAACCCGTAGCGGCCGGCATTGCTGAAGTAGTCGGCTTCAAGGCCAAGACCCAGTGCTGTCATTTCGGAGAGTTTGGAGACCCTGTTTGTTTCCATTGTTAGATTTCTGTGGTTGGTGGATAAGACGTTCCAAAGACAGAAACTCACGCATTCTTCATGGAGCTTCCCCACAGGTTCATTGTAGGCGCCCATCGCTCCTTGATATGCGGCGCATCAGGCGTGATATTCTCCGCATTCAAGCCCGGAAACTGCGTCTCGTACGGCGGCAGCTCCACCATCCTCCAGAAGAAGCGAGCCTTTGGATCGGGCGAGTGCGCCGAAATGTCCAGCGGCCGCTGGCTCGGCTCCAGCCTCTGGATGACGTCCAGGCACGGCTCGTCGACGGCGCACTTTGGCTTCTCGGTGTTTTCGAGCGTGACGCCGATCTGGTAGCTCAGCTCGGGCCGCTCGTCGCGCTTGAGGTCTTCCTCAGGCTGGGCAAAGTAGTCCTCGAGGAGGTCGAGGAAGGTGTCGTTGTCGGCTTCTGAGACGCGCGAGTCGTGGAGGAGGAGGGCGCCGTAGGTGATGAGGGCGGAGGCGGCGCGGGAGCATTCGGCCTGGACGAGGGGAGAGGTGGGAGGGTTGTTGAGGTAGATGTCCAGGTCGATGATGGGGAGGTCCATCGAGAGCTGGGATTGCTGCGATTCGGATGCCATGATGGATGGTGGTGGTGTTGAGGGCAGGATGATCTGCGAGCAGACAAAGACGAACTTGAAAGAAAAGAGAGACAAAGAGACAAGGGTAAGACAGTATTGAACAAGGGAAGGAGAATTTTTTTTTATTTATTTAAGCGAGGCTCGAATCAGTTCTCGTCTAAACAATTTAAAGATCCAAATCTGCAAGCTATTAAAGAAAAAGATCCATGCTCTTCACCAAAAGTGGCATGAGGGGGAGGGGCTCTAACGGGCAGCGTCGAAGCCAAAACTTTTCAGTGGAGACTTCAGGCCGGGGCTGGGCTTCGGAGCCGGCCGAAGCTTGCACGGAGGACGCCTTGGGGGTCCACGTTTGGAGCATCTGGGGAGGATTTGGAGACGTAAAAGAAATCCACTCTGGCAGGTTTATAGTGAGATGGTGGAGATGTTTGGAAATTCTTATGAGATTATTTGTTGAAGAAAATGACAAAAAAGCTTGTGATTTTGAGCTGAAGAGAACGAAGCAGGGACATTTGACAGCAAGGGTCCTTTCAGCCTCGCTTGTGGGTGTGGTGAGTGTGTGTGTGTGTGCCGGTCCTAGGCGAATGCCACCACTTACAAGGCACCTTTATTTTGCTGCGGCAAGGAGATTTTACGTACATGACATGCATATGACCCGCATCTTTATGCAAAGCCATGACCATTACTTCGAATCCTTGCTGGAATATCGCCCTTTTTCGTTCGGAATCACGGGGTGAGGTCTTGATGATGCTCAACAAGTTCGATGCCCGAGCAACGTCGTTCATCTAATAAAGTATATATCCAATGATAAAATTAACAAAGATCAATTATTGTCTGTTTAAAACCTAGCATCTAAAAATTGCAGAAAAAAGAACTGGATCAGCTAACAATAACAACACTGATGATTAGTTCACAAGAGATGTCGATTTCTTAACCGACTGCTCCCCACGTCTCGTCTTCTTCATCTAAGTCAGTCGTTCAAGATTTTGAATAATGCCCCTGATGACGGTTGCAGACGCCTTGCTCGCGAATGGCACCCACGCATTAAAATTCTCGTCACCCTGGTGAAAGCCGCCCATGCAGGAGGCAATCATGCATGGCACCATGTAGTTGGCCTCCTCTGCGCAACACATGCGATCCTGTCTCTCTGCACTTAGCTCATACATTTCGTACAAAGCGTTGATATTGATTGAGTTGTAGTTGACATTGTCCATGGTGATTGGTACTCCTTGTGGATTCTGCGCTCTGAAATCACCTGCTGCAGTTAGAAGACGTTTTGCGTTCAATCGCGCCTTTTTCTTCAGATTCTGTCTTATTTCATGCCATAGGTGCGGTCTGCAAGAACCAGGGGTCAAGACGCAGTCGCCTAGACTAGGTGGCGGCCTATTGTCGAATTGGTGGCTCGATACAAAGTCGACGCCGCCGATGAAGAAGAGTTTTACATCGTTAAAGATGTGCCTTGTCATTTTACTGGCTGTTCGAGGAAATTTTTTATTCTGAGTGAAAGCAATGACGACATTGTGGCCTGCGATGGTGCCCTTGGTAACCAAGAGGGTGTCTTCATTATCGCTCCAGTCCAAGTCTTCTTCAAAAGTGTCGAGTTGACTTCTGGCATCGACATATGCGGTGTAAAGACACACCATCCATCCAATAGAATAACCAACCATGATGATGGTGCTCTGAGGTTGCAAATATTCGTTTTAAGAGATTGTATCTGAGTTGATTGCCTGAGAAATTGTGCTTAAGTTGACTGCCTGAGAGATTGTTTTTGAGTTGACTGACCGAATTACTCTGCTACAGCTGCTGAGGGCAACTTGGCTTGTTTAAATATTTATCAGACCTTGAGGCTATATCACGGAGAAAGACATGTACTATTGCTGTGTTATTGATGTGAGCTTTGAGCTTTGAAAGAGATTTATTTTGTCAACTATGAAAGTAAGTAAGTTGATGGTGTGCAGAGCGTCTTTTGTCGATTGAACGTTTATGACGACGAAAGAGATGATGATGGTTCATTCATAATGAAAGAAACACAATGGCAGATGAAAGGCAAAGATTCACTGCAACATAGCTGGCCTGTATCAACCTCTAAAGAAGACATCTGTACATTGACAATTCGATATATCTCATCAAAGGCTGTGGTGTCTGTGTGTGCATTGCAGTGACACACGACGATGTAGTACTGGAAGTATGATGCCGAGCAGGACAAGGGCTTTGGTCCAGTTTAGTGTATCTTAGTTCATTGGTGTCTCTCTCCATTTATTCATTCACTTGTTAAAAGACCTCTCTATTGTTTAGAGAAGACTAAAGAGCAGTTCTCTCTCTCACTATATTACATGAACAGATGAAACAAAGAGCCGTTTATAAAGCTGAATGGTCGTTAAACAGGTCCGTCGCCCATCTGTATTCATCTTATGCGAACGGAAGTTTTGAAAGGCGGTAGGCTGAAACCAATGTCGTGATTTCACCGTTTAACCTCTAAATCTACAAAAACTGGTGCAATTGTTTTCCCTTGATCAATACATTTTGTTTTTGTACAGGTCTAACTTTCTTTCAATTTGCTTTACATTCTTCCTTTGACTCTGAAAGACTTCTTGTTGTTGTTATTGTTTTTTCCGTTTCTTACTACGTTGCCAACCTTTGTCTATCGTGATGTGCGCTTTGTGAACCATTTCTCCAATGGAACACTTGTGAATCTGGGTTATATTCCGTTTTACGACGAATGGAACAATCTCTTTCAAAATTTCCATTGCTGAACGAACCCTACAGTACTCAAAGTAAATGTCCTCTACTACATACAAATCTGAGACCCTGTGACGTATATAAAGAGGAAGTTGGACGCTTCTGATGGTGATATTAGAGCAACTCAGACAATTTTTTCACTTTCTAATCATTTGAACCAGTGACAAGTCAAAACACCGCAGTCAGCACTCCGAGCCTCATCATCATCAACATCTTCTTCATCATCTTCATCTTCATCTTCATCTTCATATTCATATTCAGAAAAAAAAAAAAGCAATCATGTCTAGTTGTCACATCGGGTGGATTGTCTCCACGTTTACTGACTTCTCAACCGCTGAGCAATTTCTCGAGGATCCAAGTCCGCAAGGGTTATGGGAAGGTACAATCTACAGAATTGGAAGAATCGGACAGAGCCAAGTGGTGCTAGTATGTGCCGCTATGAATGAGAGTGTATACAACACAGCACGGCTTATGGTTGAGAAGCTTCGATGGGAACATATAGAGCTCTCATTATGTTTTGTTAGCACCTTTGGTTATTCTCCGAGCTTTTACTGCCAACCTGCCCTTGGCGACTGTGTTTTAAGCCTCCACAACTTTGATTCAGGGTTTTATCAAATCTCAGGGAGAAACGTTACAGAAACAAGCCTAAACAATGCGGCTTTCCTTCTTCGAGCTGCGAAGAACGTTGTTGACCATCAGACGGGATACCCCACCAGCGACAGCACAACGGGCTACATCCGACTTGAGTATAACCCGGAGGAAGCGGATATCGCACGGTACCTCTGCTGCTCGCAAGGGTTTGACTTAATACCATGCCTGTCAGTTACTGGCATTTGTGGACACGGTATGGGCGACGATGATGTCAACTGGGTTCCCTTCGCGACCCAGGCAGCTGCGGTTACTATTTCGAGCATTGTTACACGACTTGGCCAGTAATAGGGATCAGATGGAGAAGGGAAGCTATTGATTTGTCATGACAGAGACGTGATATTTTTGAGATTATGTTTTGTTTGCGCGCACTCTCACCAAACACGTGATATTCTTCAATTTTGTTTTGCTTGTGTGGACTTTTTCTTGTTGTTCCTTTTATTTTTATTCTTATTTTTTGCTTTTTATTCACTCATGTTTTCTTATTTAGCTGTAGATGAGGATTGCAGTTTATTTAGCTACACGAACAGACAGATAATAATAGAGATATATCTTGGCCTCATTTCTGCCCTCAAGACCTCTGCCTGCATCATCGAACACATCATCCCCAAATAGGGTGTCAACAGGAACTGTCTAGTCAGAATCCAGGACATTCTGGCAATGGTGTTTGCTCGCATCTGTAACTTCTAATTCGGACTTCCCCATAAATACTTCTTTTATTTTACTGTAGTAAAGAGAGTTTGTATACATTATGTATATAGCTTCTATTTTTATGCAAAGCTATAACTATTACTTGGAATCCTTGCTGGAATATCACTTTTTTCGTCCGGAATTACGGGCCGATATTCCCGAGAGTTCTCTCCAATCGGATTTTGTTCCTGTGCATTGCATGAATCAATATTGTGTAACACCAAAAAGGGGGCACCTAGTGTTTTGTGTGGTAGAAGCCCTGTAGGTTTATAAAGCGTGGCGACGGGGAAGAGAGCTGGTTCATCCGGTGGCGGTGAGTGACACATTTGACTCGATGATTTTGACAAGACTTTAGGTGTGGTGCATGGTATTTATATATATATATGTACTTGGTTTTCTAAGTAAAACAGAATATTAATTACCTTATGTATCTCGTATATATACCTAATAGATAAATTTCTATTAGCGAAAAGACATTAATATATGTTAAATACTTTAAATCCCTAAAAGACTAAATTAATCTATTATATTTAAGATATTCAACATAAATAAAAAACCCCACTGCCACTATAGCAAAGAAATATTTCGCCGTAAGGTAAAAAGCAGGCCAAAGAATTTCCAAAAACCCTGCCAGTCCATTCAAGAGCCATGCTAGACCGCTTAGCAGCCACGAGAGGAGATAAAGAAGGTGCGTTAGAAAATAGCAAAAAATCCACAAGAAAAAAAGCATTGCCACACCGAAACTAGCCCATACTAACAAGAAGAGCGGACCGAATACCTTTGTCATTATGGACTCCTCAAGTTGCCTCTGATGCTCCGACCTCGAGTCCTCCAAATTTGGTGGTGGTTCCGAGCCCCTGTCGTTGAAACTTTTTGGTAGTTTCCGATCCTCGTCATTAAATTGCGATGGATATATTGTCTCCCTTATGCCAGACTCATCCTTCGCCCTGTCAATATCGTATGGCTTAGTCTCTTGGATCGGGTCAGTTGGCATTCTCCCGCTCTTGGTATCAAATGGCGAGAGATAAGCTGTATTTTTAGTCTCAAATATCTTTCTTATCTCCTTACAGCTGCGCTGCTGATTCCGATGGAGAGATTGCGTTAACGCTTTCCGGTTCACGCTGCCAAATAATGAGGGACGGACTATCTTCTTGATGGCCACTACTTCCTTAATAGCAGGTCCTTCTTTAGCTCCATCATTTCGACATGCCTGGTTTGGGCGATAAGAGGGACTGAAATGTCTCCAATTGTCGTTACCAAATAGCGAGAAATATCCCAGTGATTCCAGGCGACACCCAGGTCCTCTGGTTCGGGCCATGCTCTCATTAAAAGACTTGTACATTGCCACATTGAGCTCCCGCCCTTGTATTAGTGGATATGCTGGGAATATTATATCAGTTGTACGAACCTTGCATGCTAGGGATGGCAGAACTGAACTAACCAAATGTAAGAATGTCCTCCGATTCCCAGCACGATTCTTTATCAAGCAAAGAGAAGACCTGCCCCAACTCGAGTTTCCTGTTGCCAATGATTTGAGACAGCCTCATGTGCCTCAAGAACAGCCAAAATCTACAGCATGGGCCGCCTTGATACTCCTCCAACAGAGAAGCAAGCTTGTTGGGGCGACTCGATTCGTATGTCGGAGAACTCCACTCCATGTCCACACAAATGATCCAGGTTTGGAACATGGAATCGACTTTTGCTAGATCCTCAGCCATCCCACCTACCGCATAAGATTAGCATCTGCAACGAAGTTATGGATAAGAAAGTGTAATACCTAGTCTCTCATGAATCTTGATCACGTCAAAGCTTGCGTCCCCTTTTCTTCTCCCTACCTCTTCCATAAACCGTGCTTCAGCAATTTTCTGTATCCGTAATTGGTTCAAGTCTCGATCTTCACTTGGCCAAATGGTCTGCTTAGTATCACATTGCCTTCCTTCACGGGACATAAAATCAGTCAAGCCGTCGATGTACTTTGACTGTTTGGCTGCGTGCTCTCCCAATATATTTTTCCCCACCTCGCACGGTTCCGTTAGATACCATTCCATCAAATCTAAGAAGACATCTTTCCGATCGAAAATAATCCTCGAGCCGTGAAAAGCGTGATCAATCAGAAGACCGTTGATCGTTTGAACATGGCGAGTAGGTATTTGAAAGATTGTGAAGCGGAACCTGTCACTCATACCTAATTGCTGGTTCCATCCATGTCTTGGCGCAAGCATCCCGTTGACCACATCCATGTAGTTGTTCATCGCCTTGCGAATAGGCAGATCTTCCAGAATAGACTTGGGACCCCTGCCATACTGAGAGCCAAAGAACAGCAGCCTGTTGAATTGCCGCCAACACTTACTTATCGGATCCGCATCCTCGAGTGGATCAGGGAGATGGTTGGACCGCAAGACTATTATGAGCCTAGGAGAAATTGGTGCAAACATGTGAAAGCGAGGAGACAAGGTGACGTGTTTGCCTGTAAGACTATCGTAATAAGCAGTGGTTTGCCCTTCAGTTACGTTGTAGCAATTTTCTGTTAGAATAAATTCTTCGTCGTCGCTCGCTGGTGTACATATGGCCATGTACATGGCAGACATATGTTCGATGAACATTTCGGCAATGGGAGAGTAGATTCTCTCTCTGATGCGCTGTTCCCAATCCTCTCCATCTTCCTCATCATCTTCTGCGGCAATGTTCAAATCCATGTCCAAATCGATGATCTTCTCCAGACCCTGGAGCCAGACGTCAACTGGTTTCGTGAAGCCGTGCTTTGACATGTAAGCCTGCAATATCTCTTTGTCGTCTTCATGATATTCCTGCATACTATCCACGTTGTACCTTTGGTAGTATTGGTTCCCACGAAATGTGAGCAAGGCCATAAATTTGCGCAATACATCTTTCTCGACTCTCCCAAGCCATACGTGTTGATTCCCATTTTTGTACGCATTGATGATTTGGCGATAGATGCGACTCGCCCTGCCCTCAAACTCGCCAAACTGCTTCTCAAGACGGGGTCGGACATTCACTGGTTTTTCCGGATTCTCGTACATATTTTCCAAGCCACAAACGCGCTTCACCAAGCATTCCTCAAGGGAAAATGGATCAGTCAAGGAAAGGCTGTTCACCACCGGGTCACCGGGATACATCTTCTTCTTACGGTTACGCTTCCCAGATTTCCCGGCTTTGGACTTGCCGGGCGGCGCATATTGGTGAGCGAAGTTTCTCAGTAGGAACTGAGGAATGTAATGTTGATACTCTGGCTTAGTGTCCATGCTTGGCATGACTAGAGAGCTTCAGCCCATACATGGACAGTGGTTATGAGGTTGAAATCTCGCCGTTAAACCCCGCTTCTGCTCTGTTGTTGGGTCGGACCATACGCGACCGTGAAGAGACATTGCTGATTGGTGGTTGGTTCTGTACTTCTTCAGTATACATGTACTCATCCGTTACACATGACATGTGATGTAAGGCTGCGGCCGGGAGTTAATTGGCCAGTGATACCTGGTGAAGCAAGGGGTGATGCCAGTGATATTTTTCAAGGCGATATACTCGTCGGAGCAGCCGAACTGTCACTCCTTGGTAGATTGGTGAACAGCCATTCTGCGCAATGACCAGGCGCGCTTTAAGCAAAAAGCGGCCAGCTTATGATTTGTTGAGAATGAAATCTATCCATGCTGTCGCGGCCCAAAAGCTGGCCGCCATGCAAGGCCATACTGAAGCATCCATGTAATGTAATAACTTGGTGAACCAAAGTTGGCTCGATCAATGATGACTGGGATCAAAGGTAATTGTGTTTCTGTCGCATACAGCCTCTTGTTTAAAGTAGCAGATAAAATAAATAAGTCAATAAAAATAAGCGTGAATTTACAAATCTAGATGTAAATGTACCTATACAACGTGTCGGCTGAACATGGGGCAGATCTGAAGAGTGGGTGAGATAAGATCAAGTTCCTTGACAGCATATGCATCGTCAAGTTCACCACATCTGAGACCGCCTAATCTATTGTGTAGGCCAGTGAATAAAAGACAATAGTTGTATTCATCTGTATTAAATCATCATCAGTAGAGCCCTTGGAAGATCAATTCATATAAATATCTCCACCTTCTCTGCGGTAGAGAGTGTGACGGCATTTTCTCTTCTTACAACCCCCAGCTTGAAATCCAAAATCGCAAATTCGAGATTCTTCAAGCGAGGATCGAAATTGTTATAGCGGGAATTTTATGCAGCTATACGCTATAAGGCTTCCTAATATCGGGGAATCGATTTCTTATATCGCAGCGCTCGATGCTTTTACTGGGTTGCAACCCTCAAAATCGAGCGATTTCGGAGCCAGATCCTGAGAAATTGCAGTCTCGTCAGGGTCAAATCGGAGCATTCTGCTGTCAATTCTGGGTTAACTGGTGATGAATTATCACCAACTTCAGGGTTTTGCAGAGTTTTGATTGAGATTTCGGTGTTGTAACCCTGGGGTGCCGGCAGATTTGAGATCAAAAGTGCCATGAACAGGCGCCGTAACCCTGGTGGATTGGCTTTTCGATTCCATTTTGGCTTCCTCATCAGGGTTATTTTGCTTGATCATGGCTCTTTTGATCTGGATTATGGATCATTTGGACGCTGTAACCCTGGCGGAGATATCTTGACCCAAGTCTTTTGGTGTTTTCTTGCCGCAAGTTTCGTCTTTTTAGAAAATATTTTGTCCGAATCATCACCAACTTGAGCCCTGATGATGCGATTTTGGTGTTTTCATCCAGCAAGTTTGTCTTCATCTTGATCCTTTTTGACTCTCAACCATCACCAATTGTGATCTCAATCACCCTCTTCTTGGTGTTTTCAGCCATCGATTTCGTCATTTCAGCCAGCCTTCAGATCCTCATCATCATGAAATTGGATCTCGTCAGTTCAAGCTTGGTGTTTTCATCCAGCTCTTTTCACAGCATGATTAATTTTTTTCAACTCTCATACATCACCAAATTCATCTCGATAACTCATTCCTGGTGTTTTCTTCTACCATTCTGGCTGCGACGGTCGATTTTACAGTACCAGCTGCCACCGTATCTTGACCCGCCAGCTGCATTTTTGGTGTTTACAACCACCCAAGTGCTGCCACTCTCTCCAGCTGCAACAACCCGATGAAGCCCAAATCTGACCGTTTGATCACATTTCTTGGTGTTTTATCTGACATTTTCCTATTGCACCTGTCGCCTGCATCGTCGCACGCGTGCATCGCCGAATTTTTGGTGTTTTCATCCACACCACGCCCACACCACCAAAGCGCCATCCCCATTGCCCATCCAACAATTCTATGAACTCTTCGCGCAGATCAACCGAAGGGATAATTATCCCGCTAAAAGATTTTTTTTTTTTTTCTTTACTACTCGTGTTGAGAGCAATCTCCTAATATATGGCATACGAACAAATGAAGTTATTCGGAACGATGCACCCGAATTAAATGCACATGGCATTGACGAAGAATTAGGCTGTACAGGGCCACGTATAACGCATCATATTCTATGCAAGCTATTGATTCTAACACGTAGGACGTCATCGACCTTGTAGTAAAATGCAGGTAAAGATTCATGGGGCAAATGCATTGCGAGAATGTGCTTGATATCACCGCAGAGATAGTTTAGGCTTGAACCAGTAACTCTGGGACAGCCGCTCGTCACTGGCTAACGAGGTGTGAAAATGTTGCACCCGCAGAGTTCGCGAATATTTTTGTTCTAGAATGGCAAGAATGACAGACAGATACAGCCAATGCGCCATCCATTGCCTCCAGAGACATCGGCAACAGGCTTATTGAGTTTGATCCCAATCCGCAGCACAGCCCTTATACATTGTCCTGCGACAAGACATGGAGATGTTTGCTTCTTGATTTCTTCATCATATGGATACTGGCTTTCCCAACCTGTCAAACAGGAAAAAAAAGGGCTTCAAGCCCATCTTCGGTGGGCGGCAGTAGATATAAAGTCCCACCTGCTCGACGTAAGGATGATGCTTGACCTTAATATCGTATGTATGCTTCAGAGCGCCGTGCCTTGTAGATCGGTGGAAATAAACAAATCCTTTGGTACGTAGTCCATCTCGTAAATGGCCAAAGTGTGTATTGCAATCCAATAAATCTACTTCTCCAATTATATCCTGGGTATCATATGTACATATATATCTTTTTCTAGGGCACAGCTTCGATTAGCCTTCGACTCGCAACATAGTGACATCACATCTCACATCTCACATTTACCAGCAAAAGCTCCCAAAGTCAGCTTAATCCATCATCTTGCCCCTTGGCTCCTCCAGCCAATGTGCTTTATAGCCGTGACTGCAACCCAGGCAACGGCAACGATGGCGACAGTGATGCGAACCTCTCGCGCCAGCTCTGCGGCCGATTGCGGGAACAGAAAAGTGTGGGCGTGGCTGATGGCCCCAGAGTGCTGGGCCGAGAGAAGGAACTGCTCCATTGCGCTGGGATTGATTGACTTGACAATGGTTGGAAGGTATTCCGCGACGGAAGCTCAAGTTTGAGAGTGGAAGCACATGTTTTAGCAGAAGCCTTTTTTAGCTCTCAGTGATTGATTGAATTGAAGATAAGCAGCGGGGCTAAGCCTATCGTGGAGGCCAAGCTCGGGGGTCTTGTCTGCTACCTCTACTTTTCATCGCTGCTACTTTTAGAAAACTCCAGCCTGGTCATGGGCTGTCTTGACATATGCCTTTGAGTAAGTCATCCTCAGTTATTTTTACTCTTCCTCTATCGCAACTTCAAGGGAAATATAAGAGCACTACCGACACATGCGGGCATATAGTTAGAGTGAGCCTGCTTTGGCTTCGGCCTCTAATACAAGTGCGGAAGTTTGATACGCCACTGCCATTTCTACAATGAGAGTGAAGTGAGCGTGTGGATCTCCCCCCCTGAACGTCAGAGAGCTAGGCGTGAGAAATATGCGCACACTTGCCCAAGTATACAACGTCCAGTAAGCTAGATTGATGAAGCATTTGCTCGCCCTATTCACTGGAACAGGAAATGGCAGCAATAGCTACATAGAGTAGCAATATAAGTAGATCAAAATAGTATTACTATCCAGTAGCTTCATCCATGTGGATAGACTGAGTACGCGTGAAGTCATCACGACCTGCAAAGAGAACAACAATGAAACGGGCGTTTTGCGGGCCCTTGTTTTTCGCCATCGCTAGCGACCGCAATTCTCGCTAAACTCGCCTATTAGTGCCACACCAAGGAGGCATCCATCATGTCTGAGAACTACAAAGTATAAAGCATGTGCAGACGGGAGAAACCTTGGGGCCGCTGGCGGCTAATTTATGCCAGATACAGGACACTAATTAGTACGAGCCACTCTGTCGGATCCGAGATTGGTGCAGCTCCTCAGCAGCATATTATAGACTGTGGCTATCGATCATTCCAGCAAAACTCTGCTGTCCTGATACGTGGAGATATCTTGGGCCCATAGCCGGTTACAAATGTTTGAGTAAGGCAATATCGCGCGAAGAATAAGCACTTGTCCTAGCGAGGTGCCACATAGCCAGAGCCCCTCTTTCTGGTTCCTTGTTTATTGTGACAACAAGGCGTCAAGTATCAATCATGGCTAATGGGGCATATCTATCAGTTAGTGTTGTTGCACAAGCCATACGGACTGCTCCGTTGTTACAATCATGATAATTTTTCCGTGGCACATTACTAAGTTGTTAGTAACAGCAATAGGCTCTCCGCCATCGCTGTTTGGCAATCTCCATCTTTGGCGTTATGCAATTATTCCAGTTACAGTCTCGTAACCATGAATTGTGAGAATAGCCGTAGAGGAAAGTTTTCAATAAATGCTAAGCCTCTATAAAAGTCATCTCGTGTCTTAAGGTTATAACCGCAGTTCAGTATCACATATTGAAGTCAGCTGCTCGAGGAAGCATGGCTGATAAAGACCTTTCTTCCCTATCATCTTTGCGCCATCGTCGGCGCATGCACAATCGTGCTGCAGATCTGGACGTTACCCGGCATACGGTGAGCAAAGTTAATTCGTTCAAGGAGTTTTGAAGTTCAAAGAAGAAGGAGAAGCTAAGAACACTTCTCGGAACATTACAAGGGCTAACATTTCAAAGCAAAGTGACATAATACAAAAAAGGTAGACCAAAAAATACAAATAAGAGGGTTACGTCTCTTTGTGGTATCTCAGCTACATAACACATAAATTTCTCTCTGCTCCAACCTCTTCTTCCAATCACTATACCCGTTGCATCTGCACATTTACATTTAAACCTTGGCCGCCGCAATAATAGGTCCTCCAAGACCTCCCTCTGTGAGGATAACCGCCGCGCCCTGATCCGGGCCCAGCGTACTTCTCGGTGCGGGCAGATACCAAGTTGCGTTTCCGCCGACCCAGTCGCCAATCTTGGTGACCGATTCCACCACGTTGCGGTGGGGGATCTTCTTGCCCTTGTTGACGCCCTTGGCAGGCTTGATGGTCTGGTCCTTTTGCGTGTAGACAATGTACGACACCTCGTGCAGGGGAGCTTCTTGCTTGTCCGTATCGATCCGGACTTCGGTATCGTTTGCGTCCAGGTAGACATGGAAGTCACGGGCCTTGGTGGCATCTCGGCCCTGTTGGATAAGGGCCTGGATCTCTTCCTTCTGTCTGCCGCTGCCATCAACAATACCGTTGACGACCACCTGAGGGGTGAATAGGTTGTTTCGAGCCCATCTCTTGGCATAGGCTCGTTGGCGTGCATCATTGGAGAGGCTGGAGAAGGTGTCCTTCCAGCCTGTGTGGTCAAAGATGGTGACGGGATAGGTCAAGAGAAGCACGTTGGGGTCTGCGGTACCGGCATAAATACCGGGTAGGGCTGGAGGGCACGACTGGCAAGACTGCGACTGGAACAACTCCGCAACTGCAAGAGGCTCAAAGTTGACGAAGCAGGCATCCGTGTGAACATGTTCGGGGTGGTCACCAACAGGGTTTCCCTCGTCATCTAGAGACACGGAGCAGACCAGCGGGGCTGGCTTCTTGCGGCGGAAGAGCTTGCGGATAAGAGAAGCCATTGTGGTAAGGTTTTAAACGGAAATTGGAGTAAAGAGATTGGGAAACTCCCTTTAAAGTAAAAGCAATTATGAGTTATGAATAGGTTTGCGAGGCCGAGTTAATGAGAAGCACAATGAGATTAGTTTTCTCCTTCCGAAGGGGGATGGGCTTCCCCTATTTATGCGTGTCCTCCTGTCCCAGACGGCCGCTCTTCCCTTGGCACGAATCGTAGGGATACCCAATTCTCGAAATCACAATCATGCCAAATATTCCAGCTCCTGATTCCAAGTCATCTTGTTCGCGCGCCGTACTACATAGTATGCGCCACATCTGCCCATGGTATTAGCCCCCAATAATTAGCCCGCTGCATGGCGCCAAAATAAGCACACAAAATCCACGAACCAGGGCAGGGAGGCAGTAACCATGGAATCGCACGCGATAGGGCGTAGGCCTGGCTTCTGTTGATCGCGGGTAAAATATGCAGGCCCGTGGGGCATAGTTCAGCTGTAAGCGCTTGCTGTTGATGGGGTTTGGAATCATGCACACATTCTTGTTGGGTGGGGACGGTGATGCTAAAACAGAGCAAGCTCTCACTTTGTGCTGCTAGCAGGGGGAACCTGTGATACATACTTAATGATGCTTGTATACTTTAGATTGTGTCTCCGCCAAGATTATTTGGCCATGTGTCTTGACTGCTCACGCCTCCACAAGGCTGAGCCAGCGTCATTCAAGAATGCATACAGAAATGAGCATGTGTAATCAGCACATAGCATGCGTACGCGATGGTTCAAATGACCTATAGATGAGATCCCCAGATGCTTTCGTCCTGAAGCCAATCAAGCACATCTCCATCTCCAAATTCATTGTTGCTTGTGATGAGTCCCTTTCTGGGATCTCGGTCTGGCCCTGGGTCGTTGTAAGTATTGACTTTCCTAGTGTTGCCAGCGCCAACCTCCAAGACTGTCCCTCCGATATACTCATCGTCCTCGATACATCTGAGCATTGCCTGCGCCACTTCCTGCGGCGTAACCCATGCATCTTTGGACAGATCGATATTTATCAGCTTTTCTGGATGCTCGGTCCAGAGAGGGGTCTGAACGACTCCAGGCGCGACGGCGTTGACACGCACGCCAAATAGAGGCTCCAGCCGCGCGACGCTGCGAACGAAGCCCGAAAGACCAAACTTGGATGCAGCGTACAACGGAGCTCTCCAGACAGGTATCTGGGCCGCAACTGAAGAAATGTGGATGACTCTCTTGGGATTACTGGGAGACGCCTTGGGCGGTGCTGCGGTCAACTTGGAGCCTTCAGTCGGCGGTCGAGGGTATAGCCAGTGAGATATCGCCATTTGCGTTACGCGAATAGGATGCGTCAGATTGATATCTAACGTTGCATAGTGACCCTTACCGACCGCATCTCGACTTTCGCTAGAGCCAGGCGGATGCCAGAAGTTTGACCAGTGAGGCTCGTATACTCCTGCGCCGGGGCAAACAATGTCGATGTCTCCATACTTTTCAAGGGCAAAGCTAAACATGTTGGCAAGGTCGGTCCATGACGTTACATCCGTTTTGATAAAGGAAGCCTGGCTCTTGTCCTCGCTCTGATATTTCGAGATGACACCTTTTGCTTCTGACCGCAGCTCCAAATCTGCAAATACGACATTGCAGTTGCGGGAGAGAAGAAGTTCCGCAAATGCGAGGTTTATACCTGTGGGAAATCATCTAAGTATGAGGCTCAAGCTTGACCATGTCCGGGAATACAGACCTGAGCCGGCGCCAGTTACGATGGCAGTTTTTCCAGAGACCGAGAACGACTTAGTCGATGCCATGATAACACAGCCTCGGGCTATAATGCAACCAGTGGGGAGAGTTTATTGATCCTGTCAAACTGTGATGCGAACCGATACAGAAGCGAAGAAGAGCGTCATAAGGACCGGATTCCATACATCCATGGCCAAGTGCGGGGATTAAACGGCGCGAATGATGTGGTTGTGCATAATCACAGCAACCATCCCCGCATGCACGCCATTAAACGATGTTATTCGGGTGGATAAATGAGTAATCTCGACATGGAGCCTCGCATCCTCGCATCTTGTGTATGGAAACCTCCCGCTGAAGATTAAATAAAGAAAATGGCATCGATTGTTTCACATGTTCGAGCCACTTCTTCCTGTTGTTGCACAGTTGAGTTTTTGTCCCAGGTTTGTGACTGTCCATAGTTGCAGGTGCATAGGTGCATAACTGCGATTAGATAAGCAATTGGAAGACCCGTTACGGTGCAACAGAGCCGGCAATCGACGCCAGGCTGTGCCATATATTTGAGATGAACTCTGGATATTACGTGGAAGAAATTCTTTCGTCGCCAAATAATACAGAACGTTTGCTGGCTTTCGGAGTACAAAACGATATGATATTTCAAAACCCCTCTATAACTATCTCCCAGCTCCTAGCTTTGGAAGATTTGTGTGTCATAAAATCTCACAATATTCAGCGCATCTCATCTTTACTTGATGATCAAGTCAATTTCCAGCGAAATTAAGAATGAAGAAACACTATTTCTTCGCTTAGCGCGACAATTCCATTTAGTATTCGCTGCTGCTCGCAAATCCAACCGCGTCCATGCAAAACGCGGTGCTTCATCCCGGAGCTCTAGCTTCGCCGTCTTCCGAAGCTGAATTCTGCCTGGCCCCACCACTCACCGCCCTCGCCTGCCTATATATTTCTCGCCTGCCCGCCGAAAAGCGAAGCTTTTTTCTTTTCTTTTCTTCTTTAGCTCTCTTTGCCTTTTGGCTTAGATCAAGTGTAGTATCTGTTCTTTTCAGTTTAATCTCTGAAAGGTCTCTAAGGAGACCAATCGTGATTATTCTTATTTTTGATCTTGGGGCGGTTTCCTCTGTGCTTGCGCATGATTCTGCCCACAGTGTCCCTGGTATTACACTGCCTCCAGGCGACGCGAACATTCTTTTCATTGCTTTGTCGGGGCTTGCCCTGGCGGTGAGGAAGAGATTCCCATTGGTGACGTAGTTGTAGCAGTGATTCATGTTCTTAATTTCTCACTGTTTTTGGCTGAGCTCGAGCTTTGCTGTCCGCGACAAGATTTTTGTTTGCTTGTTGTGATGAAGCTGCGATGGAGGTCAACCGTGTTACTCAAGGCAAATGCTAACGTCTATTAGATACAGCACAAAATCTATATACTGCGCTAGAAAGACATAACATACAGGCATACATATCCTTTCACAATCAATACGTAGAAGGCGAGATGCTCAACCGACCTCCGTCTGCCAGCAGCACGCTCCCGTCCACGTATCCTCCCGCCTTGCTTGTCAGAAACAGCATTGCTCCCGCAAACTCCTCTTCTGTGCCAAACCGTGCCAGCGGCACAAAAGACCCGGGGAAACTCCCTTCTGCTCGAACTTCCACGGGCGAAGCTTTGATATCGCGCTCCGTCATCTCGCTTGGATACAGCCCTGGCACGATGGAGTTGACTCTGATCTTGTGCGGCGCCAGCAGGGTCGCGAGCTGCTTGGCCAACTGCACTGCTGCTGCCTTGCTGGTGCCGTAGGCAAATCCCGCCTTGGGTAGGCGTGCATAGGATGCTACAGATCCCGTAATGATCACTTGGGACTTTTGCGGAACGATTGCCCTCTTGTTTCCCTCGTCAAGGAGACCCAGAAACGCAAGGACGGTGTAGTAGGCCGCGGTGACGTTGACGCGAAAAGACTGCGTGAATTCTTCCATGTCGTGCGCCCAAAGCGTCTCCTGGATGTCCTTGAGACTGAGATTGTTGATATTGCTTATGAGGCTCGAGTTGTCAGCCGTGATGGCTCCGCTGTTGGCAAAGACGACATCGCAGAAGCCCAGCTCTTTGTGAACTCGGTCAGCAGCCGTTTTCAGAGAGTCTTTGGAGGTGACGTCGCAGACGACAGGTCGGATAACATCTGGGCTGGGACTCGTATCTCTCGTTGCCGCCAGGGCATCTTCTCGTCGTCCAAGAACGTAGACAGCCTTGGCTCCGTTGGCGGCGAGAGCATGGGCTGTGACTCTGCCTAAACCAGAGCCTCCACCGGTGATGACGGCAACGAGGCCATCGACTCGGAAGAGAGAATCGGCGCTGTAGGAGCTCGAACTCATGATTTCAATATTCAATCGGGAGAATTTACTATGTTGAAGCCACTAGGTCCTACGACGATGCATGTATCTACGCAGCGGACAAGATTACTCATAGAACACAACAGGAGCAACAGGAGAGGAGCAATGTCATAATAGTATTACCCTCAAGATGACAACATGTCAAACTAAACACGCGTTCCCCATAGATATACTACAAGTAGCCCATTTTATGGGCGATCTTTCTTTTTTTTTTCCTAGATGCCGCTGACAGCCAGTTTATTCAGCAACGGCTAAAACTCGAAGCGCGCTGAGTTGGAACTTTTAGGGGAAAGTTTCAGAGGTGATAAGGCATCACAGCGGACGCCCGCAGCGGGCACAGGCGCTGGATAGTTCGCTGAGGAGCCTAATGGGTGCAGTATCGGCTGAAGCTGAGTCACCATTTGATGGCACCTCACCGATATCGTGCAGCGACAACGTAGCACAGCAACACGAACTGTTGTCCTCGTCTGTTGGATCCGACCTGGAATTCAGATTCTTGTTGATGTCTTACTTTTTATCTCTGCATTTCAACCGTATCTGGGACCACATCTTCATCACCTCATGAGGCTCCATTCCACCGCATTCCAATCGTGCCTCGGCCAGCATGTCTTGCATGAACAGCTCGCCAAAAACTCGCCACAAATCGATGGCGTGTCGACACAGCAGCCCCCTGTCGAATGTGATGGCCTGCATCAATTCAATCTAAATTTGTTATGGGGCGTCGAATTGGACGTGGGATCCTCTCATTGGTGGCTGATATCGCCGTCCCAGGGGCCTAAAATGGCTGGAATCACATGTGAAACTCGACGGGCACCAAGTTGGCAATCAATATTGACTTTGTTAGGGATGACCGTGCATTGCTGATGTTTACTCTAATAATCGGGTCGAGTCTCCCAGAATTCGGACAATGAACGATTCTTGTCGCGGCGGCACCTAAACATGTCGATAATTCAGCGATTTGCATTGTTCAATTAATTGAATCAGCATAACGAATCGAATCGCTTTGAAAAATTACAATGACGAAAGAGGCTGTTACGGCCTCTAAGCAGGGGCCTCAACACATGCAAGGCCCAACACTTCTGCCATCACCTGTTGCTCAAGCCGTCAGCCTTGCCACTCGATCAACGTCGCTCGCCATTCGCATTGGATCCGTGGTGAGCAACGCCGGCCTCGATGCCGCAAGATTCACTACCCTCGGCAGCCTCGGGCTGGCCCGGGGCATGATTGAAGGCGTCATGAGCCGAGCTGCCAAAGATACCCTTGAGCAATCGCAGACCGAGCTGGCCGTTCAGGAAGCAGAGACGATTCTAGAGCGCAGCCTCGAAAACCTGCACTATGCCGTCACTCAGGCTGTCTTTTGGACTTCAGTCAGCTTCCGGCTCACAGGCACAACCATCTCTACTGCTTCTGCAGGCTCACAACTCCTTTTATCGTCTCTTGACCAGCTCCTCGGCTCAACAGATTCCTCTCGAGCAGTTTCAAGCATCGTCACTCTTATTCGCCGTGAATTCGAGAATCCCACAACAGGCCTTCAAGGAGAGCGAGTCGGTGTCATTGATCTGACGCTTGCGCTCAGCACGCTGGCCTATCTACAGCGAGCATGCCGCAAAACGACTGAAGAAGAACGCCGAAGGCAGTCCTATGAAGAAATTGTCTGGGATGTGGTTGTCTTGGAAAACGGAGATCGGGTTGACATTGATGAAAAGGTGTTTAGTGAGATCCGCGGGGGCTACAGCAGCCAGGATAAGGATATTGTCCCGTCGACTCCTTCCAACGGTTCCATGAATAATGTTGAAGACGACGAAGCTGTTATATCCCGCCTTAAGAGCCAGATAATGGCCTCTGTGGCTCCAGGCACCGCAGTATCCATTTCCAACTCGGTATCTTCGGTGCAAACAATCACCGTGGATGTTCATGGATCAAATCTCCTTTCTCTACCAACCCCGCCAGGCGCTGAAATTGTCGAGACACAGCCCCTCCTCACTTCTGGAAGCTCTCTATCATACCATTCATCAGACCAAAAAGATCAACCTGCATCATCCTACCGGGTGGTATACAAGATAAATCGCAATAAGAAGGAAACGACGTCTTTCCGAGGCGGAGAAGAGCCTCAAGTAGAAGCTGTCGAAGTTATTGGCGATTATCAGAGTTCTGGGAGCGAGGAAACTCTCACAGAGACGCCTACAATTACTCTTCCCGAGGATCCATCACCTCCATCTTCACCTTTTACGTCGCCATCTGCGACTTTTGCTTTCCAATCGCCGCCAATTCCTCCAAAGGATAAGAGAAAACACCATAAATCGCAGCCTCATGATTTCTCAAAACCAACCAAATCAAGTTCTCGCAAAAACAATGGCGACTCCGCTAAAACTTCTTCTCGAACGTCTACACCCTCAAAAGAGCCAATGTATTTGGAAGATTTGCCGGCCCAAAACCAAAAGAAACAACGCACCCATAAGACTCAAGATACAAGTAAGAAAGCTTATGCTGGGAAGAAGACCGAAGCAGGGGCCTCTTCAAGGACGCCTGATAAAAAGGCTGGGTTAAAGCATATCCTCAGAGGAAACGGTCCGTCCGTCTCACATATATGGACAAAGGAGTCAATCCCACTGGACTATACCGGCGGCAGAGACCTACATGCAAAACCTTCCCTTAGAGATATAGCGAGAGAATTACGGTCGGGATCCCCACCAAGCGATGCAGTGCCAAGGTCGCCCACTGAACACTACAGTGTCTATCTTAAGCCTCCTGGTGGTCATCGTCGAAATCGGTCGTATGCTACCAGCATATATAGCGCCGGCACCAACGACTCAGTGTCATCATTGGTATTGTCTTCATACTATCAAAAGAGCGCCTACAATACCTCGGACGCGCTACATTCCCTTCAGACGCAAGGTTTCGTCGATGGAACCTTTCCTGAGGGCCATCTGCTCCCTAATATCACTCGATACATGCGATTCTCCTCAGCGAGTTATGGCTCGCACTTTCTCAAACTCACTGGTATATCCAGTGAAACGCCGAGTCCCGGCGCTTGGGATGGAATTCATAACGATGTACGGCATTTTGCCCATCACACAGAGTCGCAGACCGACAATATTCTTCTCGCTTCCTTCGTTGACCCGCAGGGTGGTAGCGACGCAACTGGTTCCACCAGATCTGGCGTTCCTCTTGTCCATTACATCTCACTCGACCATGCGGCCAAGGCCGTTGTGCTTGCCTGCAGGGGCACGTTGGGATTCGAGGACGTACTGGCGGATCTGACCTGCGAGTACGATAGACTCGTTTGGAGAGGCAGAGGTTATCGTGTTCACAAGGGCATTCATGCCTCTGCTAGGAGGCTGCTCTACGGTGACGACGGTCGCGTTTTAGTTACACTCCAAGAAGCTCTACGCGAATTCCCCGACTATGGGCTTGTATTGTGTGGGCACTCTTTGGGAGCTGGCGTCACCTCGTTGCTGGGAATCATGCTGTCTGAGCCCAATCCTTGTGGCCCTGGCTTCGTCACATCCGCTGAGCCCTACACAGTCAGGCCTCCACCCAACGAGGCCCTTATCAATGTGAGGCTCAGCAAGATTCGCCCTCCGTCTGGTCGCCGCATACACGTATATGCATATGGCCCTCCAGGTGTCATGTCATCGTCTCTGCGCCAAATCACTCGCGGCCTCATTACCACCGTCGTACACGGCAACGACTTGGTGCCTCATCTCTCCTTGGGCCTGCTCCATGACTTTCAAGGCGTTGCCCTGGCGTTTAAGAACGATGCAAACAACACAAAGTCCGAAATCCGCCAGCGCATCTGGAATGCCCTACAAGACAATGTCTCAGATAGATGGTATTCCTATCGCAGCGCCAGCAAAGTCGCCAGCAGCGGAGGCGTGAGTGACGAAGAGAGATGGATGCTTCCCGCGCTGGATAATATGAGGGCAAGCATGAAGGGCACAAAGCTCCTCCCGCCTGGCGAGGTGTTCACTCTTGAGACGCAGCGGGTGTTGAGGAGAGACGCTTTTCTTCTCTTGGATGAGGAGCATATTGGGAGACCAGCGCAGAGGATTGTGCTCAAGTACGTGAAGGATGTGGAGGGTCGGTTTGGAGAGGTGCGATTTGGGGCGAGCATGTTGACGGATCATAGTCCGGCGAAGTATGAAGATGCTCTGAACAAGCTGAGGGTGGGAGTGTCGACGTGATATACCTAGAATGCAAGATGAGTTTTAGAGAGGCCGTAAGACGTTTGTCCAGCTGCAAGAATATGCAAGATGCTATAGATATTGTGCAATTCTCATGAAATAGATAGATTAACACGACTAGTGTCGCTTTTACTTAAACATTACTTTCCATGCTGATACCTCAAATTCACGCCGCACTCCCATAAACAGATATCATATTACCCGATGATTTAGACGTATTCATGTGTTTCTGGCCTCAAAGCTCGCTGTACGAGTCCGTAGAGCCTATCTCGGACATCGTTATAATAGCTGTCATTCGGGCCAAACTTGACAATCTCGGAATGGGATCGTGCAATAGGGCATATGTGAACGCTATCCTGTTCCCATGAGCGACAATGCACGGCCGAAGATTTTGTAACAAGGATGGTTGGAGGGCCGCTCATGCTCCATTTACCATTCTCGTCCTTATCAAATATTAGATCAGCATTTGCGCTCCATAGCAAGTTGTATTGACAAATTTACCTGCCGCGCGGTCGGCGATTGCTCTGTTTCATAAAAGCAAGTGACTTCTTTCTCTCCCTGGTCACCCAAAGATGGAAGAAAGTCCTGTTGCAGATTATCCAAGACAGATGATGATGCCCCAATTGACTCGACCAGGGAACGGTTAGGTCCATCTTCGACCATGGGCATAAGAGAGGCAATGTCCATACCGCCATGCGGAACTCCAAAAAAGACAATTCCATAAATCGTCTGGAAAAGATTTTGGTCGTCCAAGCTGGAGGATTTGGACAGAGTGATTAATGCCTGCATAATGCATTAGATTGGAAAGAATAACCTTGAACATAAGTCCACTCTGTTTACCTTTTTGATGATTAATCCACCCAAGCTATGACCCATGAGAATAATAGGCCTTGGTCGTGGAGCTTGGATCAGAGCCAAGAGGGCTGAATGGAGTGCAGACGATAAGTCGTCTATATCCTGCACATTGCTGCTCCATGGCACAGCTGAATCATGACCATATATCATGATGCGGGCCATTGGATGATGAGTATCATCCTTATTAAGGTTAAGGGGAAGGGCATCTTGTAACCACATGTGACTCCCATTCTTGTCCTTGAAGGATCCGTATGCATGTCCACCAAGGCCGGAGACAGCAACAATACTAGTAAACAAGTTAACATTATGAGTTTCTCTTGGAATTATTGTGCGTACTCAACCTCGTGATCTTCCACAGTAGGCGCAAACAGGGTGGTAATGCCGAGAAAAGCTCCATCTACCCTTAATGGTAGGGCTGAAACGGAGAGGTCGTCATCATCGTTGTCTGGTTCTGGCAGCGGAATATTCCAAGCTTTGCTAATTTTCTCTGAAGGCAGAGGACTTTGAAAGCTAACGGTGGCTGTTTTAAAATAACCATCTACTTCATTCGCAAGAGACTTGACAAGAGGTCGAGAATCGGGCTCCTGATGCTCTAGGTAGGCTTGTAATTGGTCTTTTTGCCAACTTAGAGGTACGCCTCGTATCCGAAATATTGCTCCGCCTTTCGGGCTTCTTCCGTCTTGAGAAGCAGAGGTTGATTCATGTTGGAGGCTGGAAATAGAAGGTGTCATTGTAAGAATACGATGAGCGATTATGATGGAAGAGACGTTCATTGTTTCTATAGAGAAGCCAACAGATGTTACCATCGGCAGCGGAGAATTTCCTAAACAGACACTCTTTAAGCGCGATGGATTTTATCTATTATGTTTCAGGCTATTATGCTGGTGGTCGAATATCCGCCGCCCCGCTCCTAATGAAACCATCGCGATGGAGCGAGACTAGGGTGGGCGGCTATTTGGACACTGTCACGAAAATAAAATATGAAGGCACTACATGTAGGCTACTGGGCAAGAACATTGTGAAGGCGCCTTGGAGGATGTTAAGACATATGCCAGCTTTGAATACGTTCTCGTCTAGGCATCTATGTAGCATTCTTGAAACCAACCGAAAGTATTACAAACAATCTGATGTAACATAGTATGAGCATGTTGGTAGTCAAAGAGATTGAGTTGAGATAAATCCTCTGAACCAAACAGTTCGTGAAGAAGCATGTCTATATAGGTACAAACACATCAACGCTTTATATTCGCTGTCCGGCTAAGACATGCCGAGACACGCGCTGATGAAACGTGAAGCCAACTGAGGGTATCAACGGCGGCAATATCTACCCCTGTATTATTTCTTCTTAAGCGCTGTAGGCCAATTCTATTCTTTATTAAGCTGTTGTGGAAGTGTATTTTGCGATTCTACTCTCCCAATTTGCCGCGGCCCCGCTCTCAGTGGAACCATACGGGCAGATGAAAGGAGGTTCGGCGGCTATTAGCGCTGCTGCGAAGCTGACTATTAAAGTTGTACTTTGGTTTGTTCTGGATTTGAATATTAAGACGAAGGTTGTGAGAACGAAAAATTCTTTCGCAAAAAAGGCTTCGATGCATATGAGTCCTAGTAAGTGTGTTAGCTTCAAACGAGATCAAAAAATTGATAGGTATTCAACATACCTTGAGATTAACAAAGAATTAACAGATCTATACAATGAGCTTGTCTTTGGAGAATGCAAATCGGGCACAAGTGAGGAGCACAGCGCCGGCCATAAGGACAGCGCCGCTGAAAATAATACCCTGAGAGTAGCCCTGATATTTATCAATCAGAGCTCCAGTGATTGGTGTGCCAGCCAAACCACCGAATCCGATGAGGAAGGTAGACATTCCTAGATACGTTCCAATCTATAATCTGTTAGACAGCACAGCTTGGGCACACTAGAAAACAAATAGTGGCTTACCTTGCTTGGGTGATCTGCCGTTTGGGCAAGAGTAGACATCATCAGGGCAATAACACTACCGCTTGTAGCGCCAAATAATATAGCCAGGACGATTAATCCTGCCGATGAAGTGATCTTGAGCCAACAAAATAGCAATATTGCCGAAGCGTAACAAGCAACAGCAATGATGTTAAACTGGCCGAGTTTCCGAGCAACGGCGCCAGCAAATAGTCGACCCATGAGAGAGCCTGCATTAATTATGGCGAATAGATATGATGCTAGATTCTCGGACATTCCATGTGCAGAACCATAATCTGCCAGGTAAAAATAAGGGGTCCAAAGCCCCAAGATGACCATGAACAAGGCCGCAACTTGTAGAGAGAAAGCGGGAATTCTGAATGCCTCCGAAAGAAACAGAGCTCCCTTTCTCCTTAATGATGTTGGGCGGATGGTGACTGCTGAAATAGCGAGCAGAAACAGGGTCAAGAAACCACACACGCGCTGGCCCCACGGAAATCCAACATTTTTGTTTCTTAGCAGATTTGTCATGATAACCGGGTAGATGATTCCTCCAAGAGGAGAGCCAGTGGTGGCAATAGCGATAGCTATAGGACGTCTCTTGTGGAAATAATGTCCCATGATTGATACTGAGGGGGTAAATATGAGGCCGGATGAGAAGCCTAGAAAGATTCCTTGACAAAGGATGAACTGGTAGAACTCGGTGCAGAGGCTCGTGAGCATCATAGCAACAACGAGAAGGATGGAGCATGGCCAGATAATAACCTTTAATATTCCAAACGTTAGAAATATTGAACACCTCAGTTGTAATTTGAATTGAAGTTAGCTTTAGGTCATACCAGAGCCCCGTGTCGATCAGCGATTGGACCGGCAACGATGGCTGCCGAGAACTGTGCAAACGCTTGAATAGCGCCGATCCAAGCAACGTCCGACGGCGAACGATCAGACAGAAATGTCTGCAGGTAGTATGTTTCGTAGACTCTGTCAAGGAAACATTTGATTAGCCATGATCCTGATTCAAACGGATGCGATCATCACCCACCCAAAAGAATTAACATAGCCAAAAGATGCAAACGATGTGCACCAGCATCCAAAAACAACCAGCCAGGCCTTTAAACCGCCTTCTGGGAATTCATGATGAGTTGGTTGATTCTTATTTTCAACAGGAGTCCCAATGGTCTTCTCATCGGTCCCTTCAACTCCTTTGGCCCCTGAGAAGCTTCCCGACTCGATCTCGGTAGTGCTACCCGAAGACATGGTAACAAGATAAGGTTAGATCTCTAAGATAGAGACGGCTGCGTCAGAAAAAGGGGTGTCACGTCAGCAGGATAGTCGAGCGTAGATCAAACTTGAAAATTTAATTTATACCCAGCGGCCACTGGTGTATTTATTTGGCCATGACTGACAGGGCAGAAAGCCATCCCCGTATTCACCGAGTCAACGACCCACAAAGCCGACGATACTATAGGATCCATTTCCCGCTCAATCGTATAGATCATCTCAAGCTCGATTTACGAGATTCTTCAGGGCGGTGTTTTCGGTGTAAACGCGAAAGAACTGATTGATAACCTCTTCTAGGAATAGCTTCGGAGAAGGTGGCAAGCGTTTTGCCAAAACTGGAGATGGTGGAGCAGCGCAGCGTTCGGAGATGGTCGGATCGAATTTCAAGCCACCCAATCATAGCGTGCTGGCACCTGGCCAAGGCGCCTGCTGCGAATCCTGGACAACTCTCTTTTCGACTTTAATATGAGGATCAAACGTGAACTTGGAAGCGGGACAAATTTGAGATCCGTTAACGATGACAGATGATCCGGAAAGGGTGTACCCGGCTCCGACAATAACCGATGTCGGATCAGATAAAGGCAGTGGCAATGTGGAAGCTCCAGCTGCAGCTGCAAGCTCCAAGGCCGTAACCGAGGATGGACGAACCAGGAAGAAGCGTCTCCAGCTGAGCTGCGGTGAATGCAGAAGAAAAAAGGTAACGCAAGGAGGGGAGAACTCTCCAGAATCTCATTCATGGTCGCAACCAGAGACTTTTTCTAACTAGGGATTTAATTGTAGCTTTCCTGTGATCGAAACCGGCCTTGCCGCAGGTGCGTGAGGACGGGAAGGGCAGACCAATGCGAGTTTGAAACCAAACCGAGGCTTGGTCTGCCGCCAGTTGATCACAGCGCACAGCTGGAGCAGATCAAATCCAACCATTCTGAGATCCTGAATCTTCGGAGTGAGCTTTTTCAGCTGAGAGAGCTGCTTTCACGCCCAACTCCTCAGCAGGGACGAGATGCCTCTGTCGGAGATGTTCAAGTCGATGATGTCTCCAAGAGAAGCGATGAGATAGAGGCCAAAGAAGCCATTTCGAGCAGTCGGAATCTCATCAGCACTAACAATGACAGCCCACCCGATCCAAGAGATAAATCCCCGCGGGGGTACTATAGACGTCATACTCTGCTGCGATTCTTCTCAGAGGTAATGCCTGGCAGCCCAATCTTTCTAACGCAGGTTGGCGGCTAAAATTATGCGGCAGATCCCACAGCTTTTCCCATTCATCAAGGAAACCGCTGATCAATGGCTTAAGCCCTATGGAATCTACATCAAGAAGAACAAGTCAGCCAGAGATGATGGCTGGAAAATGAAATTGGCGTCCCATGAGCAACCCCTTATCGCTAACCTTTTGCCGCCAAAGGGTGACACAGATGCGCTAGTCGCGATATATCTCAATAATTTCGAGCACCTCCACCGTATTGTGCATGTTCCAACTTTCAGCAGGGAGTACGTGAATTTCTGGACGCCTGGAAAGACGCGGTATCCAACAATGGCAGCCATGATTCTCTCTATGCTAGCTGTTTCGATCAGTGCCCCTTCCCAAATTTCCGGTTCTTCGCCGATTCCAGCTGTCTATCGACACATGTCGGAGCAATGGATTGCCGCTGTTGACGATTGGCTAAGGCTACAGAGCTCAAAGCATCGCAAGCTTGTGCACTATCAAGTGTCTTGCTTGGTATACATTGCCAGAAGGATGAACGTGGTTAACAAGAAGAGGTTTTGGAAAGATACCGGCTCCTTGATTCAAGATGCTATCACGGATGGGCTACATCGTAATCCTCCTTTAACGGATACGCCCTTCATAAGAGAGATGAAGAAGCGGATATGGTTTACTGTTCGCGAACTGGAGCTTCAGAACACGTTTGAATGCGGCCTACTTACTCTTCTCCATAACATTGAGTGCGACGTCGAGGCGCCTATCAATCTTGCAGACGAAGATTTGGATGATGCAACTACTCAGTCGCCTATTGAAAGACTACCAAACTACTACACAGAGTCTTCCTATCAACTCCATAGCTTTCGAAGCTGGTCGCTTCGCCTCGAGATATCACGTCGACTTTTTGGATCGGGGGTTTTTAAGATACCTGACTATGACGACGTCTTGCGCTATACTCATGAAATAACAAAGGCAATCAATGATCTCCCACCTTGGGGAATTTGCAGGACTAGCGACAAAAGGGACCCATATCTTTTTTTGACCTTTTCAATCTTGGAGTTTCAGCTCAAAGCATGTCTTTTAGCTCTGCATCGACCGTACCTTGATAGGGATGACGGCAAATATTCGCTTTCGGAGAACATCTGTTATCAGACGTCGCGCGAGATACTCCTTTCAAATATCGGGCTGGCCAATTTAGGAGTGCAGAGTCTGGCACAGATACGAGAAGATCTTTCCGTTGCGTCGTTGCATATAACTCGTATCACTCTGCTACAGCCAGAAGGTTGGTCGTACTACTCTCCTACTCTCTGCAAGGTCACCATTGTTGCATGATTGCAACAAATCTAATCTCTGAATAGGCTCGCCTAGTATCATCATGGCAAATGCAATGTCGACCATCGATCTACTCGAGCAGTGTCTCCCCATAATAGAAGACAAATACCTTCGCATCCCCGATCCCTGGATTTTTTTCATCATGTGCACGGCTATCATGCTTATCAAGATGCATCTGGGGAAAGAATCTCGACAGACAGCCAAGTCATCTTGTGCGCGCAGATTCCTCGATCTGTACTACAAGAATGTATGGATGCGGCAGCCCGCGGATCTTGCTCAGCAGCAGGCGATTACTCAAGATATCGTCAACCAAACAAATGTGAGCTCTGCATAAGCCATGCGCCGTTCAACTTAATATCCATACCCAGTACTTGTTTTCCCCTCTCCTTCTGACAATGTTTGCTTATCATCTATTCCATCTAGGCTGCCACCTATCCGCCACCTTCCGCGGAAGCAAGTGTTCTACCTACGTCAGCGTGGCTCGACAGCAGCTATCCCGATGTAAGTTTAGAAAACTCAATACTGCTAGCTAACGCTATACTAAACTTGTGACAGATAGGGAATGATCCGTTCGATCTCGCTGTCGGGCTGGACGACGTGTGGGATGAATCGGGATTTCCACTGCCAGGATTTCCAAACTGCTAAGCCGATGGATTTTATCCAGCAAGCAGCTGAAGAGAAAGGAAGCTGGGAATCCGAAGGCCGTATACGACACAACTCTGCAACTATACGCATGCAGAAGCAGCAGCCAGTTCATGTATAAGGTGCTCTTCTTGAAATGTTTTGTATAGGGGCGAATATTCACGCTACGGTTTCTCTTTCTCTCCACAGAGTAGCCCAGATCTTGCAGCATTCTTCGCTGACTATCTCCGCCGGACATCGCCAAGATAGTCGGTCCAGCGGACATCATCCAAAAACCTCCATGGAATTTATAAGCAAACGACCGGCACGCAACTCTCCAGTTCCGCGCTTCACAACATAACAAACATCTCCCGCTTAGCTTGAAAAATCTAATACGATAATGTTCATGCTGTCATCTTGTATGTGCATTTTATCTTCAGTTTGCGAATCTTGTCAGATGACGGACTTTCAACCCCCAACCTACATATCCGCATTTACGCGGAAAAGAGCACAAGGGTTGGAACTTATTATAAATCTCCAGGCCCAGCAAACAGTTTCCGGAGACACACGAGGAGGATTGAACCGGATTGAAAGCGTCCGTTGCACTCAGCAACTCCGCCAGGCCATATAATCAATAATATACATGTACATACACAGTCGCAGCTCGGGACTCTAGCCAGTTGCAGGCTAGCGAGATCCGCCAAATGGTAAGCCGCAAGCTTAAAAGAGAGCTTTGGTTGCGATTTAGTCTGATACATCAGCATTTTGAATAGCGAAGTGTATTACCTTAACATGAATTCGATGTGACTATCAATATTCGGGTTAATAATGTAAATTATGAGCCATCACCATGTGCTTAATGAGGCGTCTCTAGGTCTACAAAAGTCTCGTCAGGTCGAATAGCATCATTTTTTCTGCTGGGCCACTGCTGTAACAGGAATTACACTTCGGGATGCTAACCCATTTCGCGACATGGATTCCCCAAACAAGTCGCCTCGGCAGTCTAGACATTTATAGAAGGAGTACAAAGTACCTTGTCATGGAATTTGTCCCTCGAAATAGTTAGGCGAATGAATCACTCAAGGAGGTGGGCTCTGCCAAGTATATATATAAAGGCTCCGGAAGACGATGTTAGCAATTGAGTTCATCATTCAGAAATTGGGATTACCATCTTTTCTCATCGCCAATCTCTATATCCACCATGTCAGGCACGTTTCGACATGTCGCCAAGGCTACGTTTCTAGTGTCCAAGAAGGAGGGCCTGAGCGATGAAGAGTTTCGGAAGTACTACACTGAGGTCCACGCTCCCATGGCCCTCGAGTTCTGTAGGCGACACGGCGTGCTCGACTATTCTATTGTACGTGTTGCGTTTCTAGCTCTCTACTCCCACCAATGGAGCAAAACCCAATCTTCCCGCAGCAAATACAGCTGACCACGAAATAGCATTTCAATACCGAGGCTGAGAGGGCAGTTACCCGGACTGCCTTTGGCGACAAGACCTCATTCATTAACTGCGACGCAATCACGACCTTTGTCTTCCCGGATATGGAATCGCTCCTTGCGTCATTCGCAGATCCAGAATATGAGGCAAAACTAGGCCCCGACGAAGAAAATTTCGCCAATGGGCAAAAGCTACAGTTTGCCGTAAGCGACGAATTCGTGCTGCTGGCAGGCGGACAACAGCAAACGAACTGAAAAGTTTCTTTGTGGGACTAAGTGCTACATCTTGCATTTGCCGTACTAGTCACTGGATGTTTGCCGTAATAAAATGGCGGGGCTGCCTTCAATCCGATTCATTCATCCCAAACGTCGTCTAGCCCGACAGCGGAGGTGGTCAGAGATATAAAACTCTGTGTAGACACCGGTGGCTTCGGCAGCACTAATCAAGCGACGATAGACGTATTATATAATACTGATACTATTCGTTTTTTTTTTTCAAGCCTCGATTGATGACCGTGCTGATTGTATGCGTAGTCTCTTCTCAAAGTTGAGTTTTGTCTCTCACCCACGCTTTCCCCTGATTTGACTAGACAAAGCAGCCAGAATTATCAACAACAAACAAAATTCGCTTGTAGTACTCCTATTGATACAGATTAGTATATACATTTGACTTATCCGCTCGGTGGCTGAAAACTAATACGCAATCTTACCCCAATCTTTGAGAAATTGCTGCTGCCATACTAGTCATCTTAGATCTTACTCGCGAATCTTGAACCGACTCCTGCCGGCAATAACAACAAATGCATTCCACGCCCTTGGGACCCGAATTAATCAGAAATCTCTCCAAAAGGCGTTTTTGGATGCCGGATATAACAAAATAATCGCGCCATCCAAGACGATAAAGCGCCTTACTTAATCCCGGAGTGATCGGTGTGATGGCAATCCATCGGTATAAGGTGGGGGAAGGGAGGGGAGATGTTTCGCTGACCCGACTATCCGTCAAGGAGGCGAGACATTTCCAAGAACGAAGAGTATAATAGGAGCCATGGATAATGTTGAAAGATGGATTTGATCTGATGTTAATATTTGTAAACTACCTCTTGTATTGCCAGGCGGTGTATAAATAAATGTATGTTGCAGCAGTTGCTACTGCCACGTGAAGCGCAGCCTGACACCAGCTCAATACAAACTCTATCCGCACTGCGCGTCGACAATAGCATTGTCATTTCATTTTTTTTTTCTACAAAATCTCTTTATTTGCTGAGAGAAAAATAGTCACAACACCATGACGAATCCGAATTCAGAAGGCCAGGAGCAGATTGACCTGGCAGATTACATCTTCAAAAGGCTGGTCCAGCTCGGCCTTGGATCTGTTCACGGAGTCCCTGGAGACTATAATCTCACCATTCTCGACCGAGTCAAGCCGGCAGGCCTCACCTGGGTTGGAAATGCAAACGAGCTCAACTCAGGCTATGCTGCCGACGGCTATGGAAGAATCAAGGGAATAGCGGCCATGTGTACCTCTTACGGCGTTGGGGATCTCTCCGCCATCAACGCAATTGGAGGCGCGTATGGTGAAAAATCTCCCATTGTGCACCTTGTTGGAACACCCCTTACGGCTGCTCAAGAGTCCGGCGCCTGCTTGCATCATTCTTTGGGTGACGGCAATCTCAGAGTTTTCTCGGACATGAACAAGTGGGTGACCGTGGCTCAGGCTAATCTAATAGATATTGACACGGCACCGGCTTTGGTTGACGCAACTCTTAAAGCTTGCGTCTTGAATAGCCGTCCCGTGTATATCGAGCTTCCCACCAACTTGGTCCATGCTAAAGTGCCCGCCCCTACGTCACCCATCGACCTTTTAGTGCCCGGATATGACGAAGGGCACGAGGCCAAAATCGTGGCCTCCATCGTAGAGGCAATTCATAAGTCGACAAAGCCGGTGATTCTCGTGGGAGGATTGGCCGCTCGCTTCGGAGTAACTGAAGAAATAAACGAGTTTGTGCGGCTGACTGGCATCCCCACGGTTTCTATGACTTTTGGGAAGGGCATCGTCAACGAAAGTCTACCAAACTATCAGGGCGTTTACATTGGAGCTGTTGGAGACGCGGTTCTCAAACAGCAAGTCGATGGTGCCGATCTTATCTTGGATTTCGGTCCTCTGCATTCTGATGTCAATACCTTTGGGTTCACGGCTGCTCCCAAGGCAGATATTACCATTACTATCGACCAGGACTCGGTGAGGTTTTTTGGCCAGAATCCTGATGCCTCCGGCCGCTTCTTTTCCCCCAAGTCGTTCATGAACAAGCTTCTGAAGAATATCAGCGCAACAAAGCTGCCTACCTATCCGTTCAATCGTGGCCCGTCTTACCCGCCTCATCTGCTTCAAAATCTCAAGCCTTCCCCCGACAATGCAATAATTGATCACGATGCATTTTGGTTACGAATGTCTAAATATCTTCGATCTGGAGATATTATCATTGTGGAAGCCGGAACAGCCATTGCTGGCGCTTGTACGCTGATATTACCAGACAATGTTACCTTTGTGAACTCAGGTCTATGGCTTTCTATCGGCTATACGCTCCCAGCGTTGCAAGGAGCCGCTCTAGCTCGTCGAGAGCAGCGCAGGGATGGTTCCATGGAGGCCGCGGGGTGTTCAGGTCGATCTATCCTGTTCATAGGGGACGGAAGCCTCCAAATGTCAGTTCAAGGTATCAGTGATATCATCAGGAACAGACTCGACGCGACCATCATCGTCATCAACAACAATGGCTATACGGTCGAGCGATATATTCACGGATTCAACGAAAGCTACAACGACATCCAGCCATGGAGATATACCCAGGCCCTGAGCTTTTTCGGAGCGCCTCTCGACGATCCCGAATACCCTGTGATAGCGGAGCAGGCTAAGAATTGGGGACAGCTGCGAAGTGTATTGGCACGCGAGGATGTACAAAAGGGCAAAGGCTTGGCTCTAATAGAGGTCTATATGGACTTGGAGGATGCTCCGCTTCCTCTTAAGAATTTTGCCGTCTATATGGCTAATAGGAATAGAACGAATGGGAAACATTAGCCCATTTTTTCCGTGTTTTATTTAGGAGGAATACAGTTTCGGTCAGCCAAACAATAGCAATTAACGATTCCATAATAAAATCTTGAGTTTCTTCACATCTCAGTAGTAACAGCTATGAAAGAGTCGCTTAGCTTATGCTGTATGTCATTCACCCTATCTAAACTTTGATAGCCCATGCTGTGGTTTATGAAGCACATAAGTAGTATAAGAGTATAATAGTGTACGTCCATTGTGCCCAAACTCATGGCCCGTCGCCTTCAACTGCCCCTGGCACTTCCATAATCAGACGGTTAAACAGTTCAGGAGATATCTCGTTTATATGTTTCTTCGTATAGTCACAGCTTAAAGCAATCTCAATGTCAATATCGGGGTGCGAAATGAGCAAATCGAATATGTCTTTGTACCCCTTAACGGCAGCGGCGGCTAGAGGTGGCTGACCATCTTCGGGATTAACGTTAACGTCGACTCTGCCGGTGTCGAGGAGCAGGCGAACCATCTCTGTGTTTCCCCGAGCTGCCGCAAAATTGAGCGGAGACCAGCCCCGGTGATTTCTCGCATCCGGATCAGCACCTCTATCGAGTACAATCTTTGCTTCCGAAGCCATATTCTTCTCTGAGGCATAGTGGAGCGCAGTATGTCTCTCCCACTCGGTTTTCTCATCTATCAACACGTCCTTGCATTTCAACAACAACCCTGTGATTTCCGTCGGGCACGCCATAGCCGCATGCAGTGCTGACATGCCATGGTGTATGCTTCTTCGGTTCCAGTCGACGTCCGGGATGGTCAGCAGATAACGCACAATATCGACGCTGCAAAACGTTATCGCGGTCATTAGAGGAGTCCGATCAGTAACTACCATATTAACTGATGCTCCACTCTCCACGAATCGCTTGAATACGTCGACCCTATTCTTCCTGGCAGCCCAGAACAGGCCGGAACAGCCGCCATGACGAATATTCCACTTGTAGAGAATTGGGTTGGCAACGGAATATAGCCGTTTACAAGTTCGAGCAATGCGTGAAATTGTCCGAACACTGGCTAAGATGGCGTAAATATCGAATGGATTCTCAATCGCTTCATATACAATCATTTCTAGGACTTCGTTGGGTAAAGCATCGAGATGGTTATTGGGTCGAACTTTGTGAGAATCAGGAAAGGCTTTTCTGGGACAGAGATCAAGCGCGGAAGGTAAAACATCGCAATGATTGTAGACTCGCGTTTCGTGAGAGTCGGAAGAAATCATCTTTTGAGTTGGAATCAAGAGCTGGAAGGCAAAGATTAACTTGAAGCAAACATTAATGGAAGACTAATCGACCAAGGCTCGCTACTTAATGATAGACGTTATAACTCTACGTGGAAAGAGAGTATATATATATATATATATACCTGCTTCTGCTACTCCGATGTCTTTAGCCGAAAATGGAAAGAAAGAAAGGTACAAAGGGAGAGAAAGAGGAAGAGAAAGAAGGAGGATTCACGTCGTGAAAGACTTGAATTAGGTTTGGTGCACGGTTCCAGAGCAGCCATGTGACGTTTACTCTATCCACAAAAGCCAAGTACATACATGTACTCAAAGAAAGGAAAAGGGTATATTAGCAAATGACCTTGATATGAAAGAAAAGGAAAATATCCATATGCAGTAAAAATGAATTCTACTACAAATTCAACCTGTTTGCCTGGCTACTGATGGCGCGCACCGCAAAATATCCAAGAATTAGAGAGAAATGATAAAGCTGTGAAAATGATCCATGAGATACAGTGAAACACTAAACAACGTCATCGACCTCTTCACTGTCATTATGTTCAATCCACTCCATTGGGTTTGTGTTATCTTCCGAAAGGTATTGTTGCTCTACGGACGGTACATTGAGAGAGTCGAGTATCTCCTCCATCGCGTCCTGATGCAAATGCTGTGGCCTATAGGCACAGCCCGGTGTGTCAGTGTGGTCCGAAGCAAGTAGTGATGTGCTGCAGTTTGTGGTGACAGATTCTGCAATAGCGTTGGCGGCTTCCCCTGGCAAAATAGTGTCTTGAACGGTAATCATATCAACCTGATGCACCGCTGCCTGGCATTGAGAAAGAATTGGCAGAACAGCGTTACCCCGGGCAAGTTGAACCTCTCTGAGTGGCATTGATCCCAAAGCAATGGCATTCCGAATCAACGAGCTAGCACTGCCCAGGTGTCTCGTCTCCAGAAGCTTTTGAAGCACGCTGCCTGACCGAGCATCCCAGTTGAGCTCAAGATTCTGTTCGTATGAGAGTGATGGAGGCGGCCAAACACTAGACAAGCCGTGTTGGTTAAGCAAATTGCGCATCCTAAGTGTAAAAGTCCATGCTCTGGGTTTTTCCATGACACTCCGAAAATGGCTAAGGATGTGGGCGATAAACTTGTCTTTTGTTGGGCTTGCCTCAGCTTCCGACGGTGCCTCGTAAACTTGGTGGCAGCCTTCAAAGCCGCACGCAAAGACAGTCTGGGGACAAAGGGTAATAATCTCGGCGTCACAAATCCTGATGCGCACCTTGTGATAATATCTGGCGTGCTCTTTGAAGGCTCCCAGCCACTGAAAGACCCTCCGGCAGTTTGCTTTGGGACAGACCCAAAGATTGTCGGTATGGTGTGTGTTTTCTAAGTGACGCTTCAAGTCGCTAGGCCTTGACAGTCTTTTATGGATTCCATATTCGCTACAGAAGCCGCATATGTACTCCTTCTGCTTCCTTGGCGGTGTTTCGATATTTAAATTGTCCGAATCTTCTGTAGCACTATCATTTGTAGGATGTAAAGGTGCCTTCTCCGCCATGAACTCTTCTTTTCTTTGATGGACAAGAGCATTATCCGAAAATGCAACGTCACTATCTTTGAGGCTTCTTTCGGCAGCATTAGCTGAAAGAGATGTATTGTTGATAGGTTTGAAAGCTCTACTGACGGTGTTTAAAGATGGCGGCATCGTAATAGTCTGACAAGTCGTGCTTGAAATCCCAGCTTTTGGCTTCAGCTCGGATTCGGGTAATGTCGAGTCTGCACCATCTCCATCATCATCTACTGCTGCAGTAAGGTATTAGCTATGTCGCTCTGATGGTGTTTCTTCGCCTCTCCTTGGCAAAGAAGGGCTGATAAAAGAGATACATCCGTGTGTATTACGGGGGGGGGGGAGGGAAACTTACCTTGTGGAAACGATAATGATGTTGGCGATAATGGCAGCGTACATGCTTCTTCTTCAAAGAGCTTTTGAATCTGCTGCATAGTATATGTATCCAAGAGATATCGGACCATGGGGCGGCCTACGCGATCTTCATGCAACGGACCGTTGCCGAGAGATTTGCGTCTGAGCCTTGACCCAGCTCCTCGAGGCATTGCTTTGTTAACTTGTAGATACTGAATCAGTGTCACAGACACTTTTGAAGAAGATGGAAGCTTTAGCAGGGGTATCTTTTAGGTCGAAATAAAAAAGAGCGCTATTGTAGAGGTTAATTGTCGACTTTCGAGGGCAATCTTATGCGATCGGGGGCGTGGTATGATTCCAGCAATACGCAGCTGAAATGTCAAGGTGTTTAGCGAATAGTCTTGAAGAAGGTAAGAGAAGAGAAACGGAACGACAGAACGGAAGAAACAGCATTCGAATACATACTCACTATCTTAACAATTGACTCTCAAGAAGGTAAGACAGCTGGAGATGCGAGTAGCCGGGTGGACCGATAGACTGCGATCGATATCTCGAGGGGCATGCAAGGACATAAATTGTCTCAGATCTCGGGAGCCGGCTGACCTGAAGGTTATAGTGTAGCTGCGAAGAATTTAAAGGGGGCAGAAGGAAAATGGAAGCAGGGCGAAGCGAGAGGATGGAAGACCGATTAAGCATAGGTAGACAGCTGAAATGACTAAAGCCTTGCACCTGGCCTAGCCGAACAAACAAGACGATATTACTGTATGCTGTCTAGAAGCTCATCCGATAGGATAATATGCGGATCTTGCCATTCCTACAGCGTCTTCTATCTGATCAGGAAGAAAATTGCCCATGGCTGAAATCTCAAGTTTATTCCGCCGGCGCTTAATAGGCTTTGCATGCAGAGCACTTGCCCGTATTATGTAGACGAATGTAACACCAAGTACCAAAATGTCATCCGATAAAAAGCAAATATGCATTATTCTGGCAAACTTAGTAATGTCTTTGCATAGCCACGTAATAGCATTTATACCAAGTATGCATAAATCACCAAAAGCATTATCCAATAAAGTCATTGGCTCGATCATTGCCTCTCTACCTTGTACACCACGACGCCGCACTCTGCGAAATGGGAAGAAAATCTCATTTGCAACATGCCACTCAACCTCCAGCAAACAGCCAGATTAGGCATCTCTTTTTGTGAATGTGCCTAACACTCCATCGCTTGCGACCCGAGATCTAACACTCGGAGGTTTGTGGGGACGGGCCGCTCCATGTCAAAAATAAGGGCTAATGCATAAGCAACAGCATCTTTCTCCAGTGCCGAAGAATCCATCAACCAGAGGGGTGGTTACATGGTATCAGTCCAGGCTGCATGAATATGGGTTTACTACGTCTTTCAGGATCAAATGGTGTAGATCTCGCAGCAGCTGATGGAACACCGCCTGCCGATCTCTGGGTGTGCGTAGAACCTCGATCGACACGACATACGGCAGATGTTTGTGTAATGAAGCACAGAGCATAAACCCATAAACGTCGACTTTCAACGAGGTTATAGATAATATCATTTATATGCTAATGCCGTCCTATGTTAGACAGTCATTTGCCCAATTCAGAGCGTATGTGCAGGGCGCACGTGCTTGGAGCAGTTACAACAATTCACGACACTACGCGTCTTCATTTCTTTCCCCTCGAATGGTGCATATACAAATGTTTAAACATGAGTACCTCTCTGCGGCTACGACAAATTCCAACTTCCTCTGGATTACTACCATTGATTATACGACCGCGTACTGCAGGTACTTTCAACTGCCGCTTGCCAGCTGTGTCGACTGGTAATGCGATCGAATATATGCATTGCGTTGTGTATTGCAGCTGAACGAACCATCATAAAACACAGTTATGCGTTTCCGAAGCCATATTTAGGCATAATGTTCAGAAGAAGGGTCCCAGAAGAAATCGAATCCTAGGTTATGGAAAAGGTTTCATACATGCGCCAAAAAAAAAAATTTTTTTTTATGTCGGTGGCAGCAGCACCTGGGCAAAACATCACGAAACAACACAAAACACCAAAAACTTCAACAAAAAAAGAACGGCTAGGTTCTAGAGGGAGTCGAACCCTCGCTGGCGGAATCAGAATCCGCAGTCATGACCGTTAGACCATAGAACCGTACGTAAGAGGCGGTGATCCGCTTCCTATGGGCATGGAGGCCGACGATGTTATTAGTGGTTATGAGGTCTGTCTATGTGGGCCGCGTCTCCGCAATTCCAACTTCTTCATCCACACAGCAAATAGGCCTAGGAGTTTCATAACAGTTTATGCTGGCAAGTCGTTTAGACTTTCGGGGGTGCTCATTCGCCTTGCCAATCGAGCCAGTACCGGTTTCATCATGCGTATGTACTCCTCACCATCATCCTAAATCTTGCTGCCCATCAGCCTCATCTTCAAGCTGATTCACTGATTGGACAGCACGAGCTCCACTAGATCTCTCCCTCGCCGCAAGAGTCCACCGAACCCCGGGAATGCGACGAGTACGAGAAATACGGGTGGCGCAAGCTTGTATGGGCCACGAGTCAAGCTGAGCTACCCTGCGCTGCTCCCCAAAGCCACGATGAACCAGTTGAAGCTCTTCAGCCTCAGCTGTCGCAAGGCGCATATAAAAGAAAGGGCAGCCGGCCACAACAAAATGTCTTTCAATGTTTATTGCAGGCAGCAGCAGCTGACAATGCGTTATAATAAACAACGACCTATCGCCAGCAAAACGCAATGCCTCGACTATTTCAGATTGTGAGACCCGCCTTCAAGCGCTCCTACCAGATAATACCCGATGGCGAGCAGCCTCTCTACAAGGTCAAGAACCGGCCGTTGCCCGGGAACCGCCCGGATCTCGCGCTGCACAGCGGGCCTGACCTGGCCACGCCTATTCTGGCTACGTGCTACATGCCCAAGTTCTCGCGGCACTGCAAGATTGGATTCGGCGATCCCACAAGCGGCGAGCCCATTATCTGGGAAGACTTTTTCAAGCCCAAGAAGAGCAGCTGTGAGCGTAACATCTCCGTCTCCTTCTCGAGCGACGATATCGTCTCCGAGACAGGCAAAGGCGAGCGTGAGCAGTTCACCTGGAAACGCACCAATCATGTTTGCGTGCCCGGCAAGAAGTTCCACAAAGCCAGTAAGCGGAATAGAAAGCTCATCGACGAGCGCGGCGAGCTTGTCGCTATATTCACATACGATACCAAGATTGGAGTTGAGGGATGGCTGCAGATCAACGTTGACCGAGGCCGCGACTTTGATGCGCTAGTCATGATTACGGCGTTGGCGATATGTGAAAAAATACGACGGCAATAGCCAGCCTGTGCAAGGATTAGTAATGACAGGTAGCGATGATACCCTAGTTTCGATGGTTTTGCTGGAGTTTTCACTTTCTTTCCTATCTAGGCAGATTGGCAAATAATACTATACATCTATTCCTGTTGCAGTGTTGGGTGTCTACATCAAGCGCGGTTGTGTTTCAAACCCTTCGAACCAGCAAGAGGCACACTTGGATTTGTTTCGTTTCTTCTCTGAAGCCCACTCTCTAAACACTTAGTCTACACCATATGCTAATAGTACTACTAACATTTTTAACCTTCAATATTTGCACTCTTCTCTCTAATTGCCTTTTCGATAAACAATGGCGTTATTTTGTCTTAAATACCCGCAGTGAGAAATGACAAGGATATACTAATTTTGCCTAAGAGTGCCGTAGATGAATGATAACGAAAGCTCATGCATGTACTTATATGTACACATATATACCTAAGGTAGGTAGGTATGTGTTATTGTTGAACTACACCTACCCTCGTATCAGCTGGATATCCGGCAGCGGTCACCGCCTTTTCTCTTTTTGAAATCTTTGAATGAATACTCGCGGTTTGAAAGTTTCCATCCTTTGCACTCTCTTCTTAATGCCGCCAAAAGGTCCCCTCGTTTCTGAGCTTGTGAAACTGTCCCCACGCTGCCCCTCTACAAACCCCTGTCATATCGCATTTTTCACAGTTAGTATCAGTTGTGTCAGCCCCAAAGTTCCAGATAGACGGTCTCAAATGGATAAGAGGGGTGGGAAAAAACCCTTCCAGTCCCATTCAACTAATATACTCCGGATTTCGATGGCGGCAATCCTACCTTAGACTAGTAAAGCGCAGCCAGTCGGGAAAATCCACAGCTGGATAATTTACGCCATCCCGGAACGAGTGCCAGATTACCTTCTCGTTATGGTTATCGCCCGGTAGCGGCAGACTAGCCATCGCTCGGAGAATGGCACCCAATGATACCGTCAGAAGACTTGCCTGGCCTTCCTGATATGAAACAACAGAAACAACTGCATAGAAGCCTTTCCCTCCCTCCGTCAACTCTTTTATATCTCTCATTGGACCGGCTCTTTTGCACTTTTTGAATAGTCACCCATCTATTATCTATTCATGCCATCCTTACGGGGACCTCCGTGCGGCATACCGGCAGGCACCGATTTACGAATCTCGTGGACTGGTGATCGTCGCTTTCGCGCGCAAGCTAGAGCCCCTCAGTCCACAACGGAAGCCAAATATTAAAATGGAACCTTTGCTGTGCCGTCTTTCCGTCCACTGAGCGCGCTTCCCGCCCAGCCGGCTTCACGGCGCGCAACCGGGCTTCGGTCTCCCAATCAGGGTACCGAGCTCCATTCAACATGTAGTTCATACCGGGGGGAAGTTTGCCCAATGCTGGACCACGGCCACTAATGTCTTCACGTGGAGGGCGAGCGATGCATTGCTAGAACGTGGCTTAGGGACCACGAGGGCCAATTGAGGAGCATGATTGTGCGCAGTAAGGGCGTGTGGATGAATGGCATAGGATCGTTCGGGAGAGCTAGAGCCGTGGAGGAGAATGCCGGAGGTTGCAGAGCTTCGACCTGCCCAACAGGGGAGGCCCCGGTCCTGATATGGAAAACAGTGTTTATCAGGAAACTTGTCATGGTAATGGGGCCGAATAGATAGACGAACATATAAAGGTCAAAGGGCGTCCATGCGATTCATGGCATTGTTCACTATCCTCGTGCAATAAGCCTGCTCTCCGTCTCAGTCTCTACTTCTTCAGACTCTCCCACATTTCAAAATGGTCAGCGCCAAGGTACGTTTGTAGCAATTCGGTTCGAATTCATTAGACAATAGCCGGTCATTGACTCGAAGTTGAAACACAGATCCTCGCCGCCGTTGCCGGCCTCGCTGTCAGCGTCTCTGCTGCCGCTGTTGAAAAGCGTGCCTCTTGTGTTTACACTTGCGGCAGCACCTGCTACTGGCAGTCTGACATTGACGCTGCCCTGAACAAGGGATACAGCCTGTACTCTTCTGGTCAAGAAGAAAGTGAGTCTTCTTTGGCCCATCTTTGGTCTCGTGATAGGGGATCGCAAGTTGCCTTGTATGCTGACTTCTTGTTTTCCAGACTCCTACCCTCACCAGTACAATGACTACGAGGGCTTCAGCTTCCCTACTTCTGGCCCCTGGTACGAGTTTCCGATCCTGAACAGCTTCCAAGTCTACACTGGTGGCAGCCCCGGTGCCGACCGTGTCATCTTCGACTCCGATGGCAACTTCGACTCCGTCATCACCCACACCGGTGCTAGCGGCGATGACTTCGTTGCTTGCAAGCAGGACTAAGGGAGCCGTTGCTTAGGGATAGAATTGGGTTTATGAAGAAAAGGGAAGAGACGAAATAGAGACAAAATCGGGAAAAGAGCAAAATGGATGATTCATGACAGTACACCTCTTTGTATTGGCAATACTGTACATTAAAATTGCCCAAGCATGATATGTACGTACTACATTTTAGCAAGCTTGTCTTGGCGATGCTTTTTATACCAAATAAAAAAATAGTAAATCAAAAAGTGACATTTTAGTCTGGTGCAACTTGTACCTCTGTCCTGTAAGACGATGATCACCACTACTAGGTGAGGTAGGTATTGACAAGTCTTTGTAGATACGAATCTCGATCAAGCGACGCAGTTCGATGCTCCGTATACCATCATCTTCAACGAAATATTAACCGAGAGGAAGCATGGCGGAAGTTTATGAGTCCGGTATAGGTAGTCTTTGCCTACGTGCATATTAGCTATCCGAGTAACTTGATCGAATTTTGGGCTAGACTCTACCTTGGAAATACACATATCATTTTACGAACCGTCTGAAGTTCATGTTCAAGGCTAACCAAGGTCGCGCTTTGAATGCCTTTCAACACTATTGGGGTGAACAGGCTAGCCATGAGAAATAGTTGAAGAAAAGGGGAGCAAAGATGAGGCTGACTTGGTACCTCGTACTCAAAGTTCGCCAAGTCAGCACATGAGATGGGTACATCAACAATGTGCTCCCGCCTATGTACCTCAATCATTCTTCAAGCTTCTCTTTGCAAGTCTCAGTTTGAACGGCCTCATAACTTGATGAAAAACAATACAAACAGGTTGCTCGATATAATCTGAAAAGAGATCGATGAAGCTGACAAGGGAGGCCCTGGCATTTAGATCGAAACCACCCGAAGAATCCCCCACTAGTACTCCACAGCTGCGGGGTGACACTAGCAGTATAAAGTCATTGCCAAGTTTGCCAAGTCAGACCAAGCACCAGCGCAAGGCAGGGATAAGAGATTGTCTGTTAGTAGTAAGACTTGGCGATGACCTTTCAAGGCATTTATAAACTGGTATCCGTCTAAAGTGGAGAACAAAAAGATATAGAGCCTTTTATGTATGCTAAAGTGTTATTCAAGCTTTCGTTTGTGTATCCTCTTGATACAGAAGTGAGGTTTTCCATGGGCACATATACACTCTCCCATTACATCTTTGATCCAAGTTGGAGGAAAAAAAAAATTGGTATCAATTAATCAACGTCGGATGCTCTGCCAAGCTCGCCCAGAAATCCATCTCAAGTTCCCAAGACTGGGAATTGATATACGGATCCCAAGAATTATCAGCGCCATCTGGATTGATCAGCTGCTGCGAATCGCTAGTCTTTGATGTTTGCTCCTTCACCGCAGTCAGCGAGTCGAGCAAGCTCTGGATCGTCCTCGTCGCCTGCGAGAAGAGAGCATAGTTTGGCTCTCCAGGCTGGATCCACGCCCCGATAGTGATTTCTGCAACGAGGACACTGAGGCCCTGAATCATTTTTGACCGGGAGAATTGGTGCGAGTCGGGAGTTGTCGAATTGAGAAGCGCAAGGGAGATGAAGCCTGCGGCTGGCAATCCATACTGAGCAACCTATTTGGTTAAGTTAGAGGAATTCTAAAGCCTATTTGTGATAACACAGAGGAGCTATAATGAACTTTTTTTACCCACCTTCCAAATTAGACACGTTCCTGAATTGGCCATCCGATCCCGCAGGATAATCGTCTCCACCACAATCGAAAGCATCTCGCTTGCAATCTTCAGAAGCGCCTCGTCAGGCTCGGCTACCTTGCGCTGCGACAAGAACCCGAGTAGAAAGTGTGTGTGAAGATATTCCAGCCGAGCTCCCGCCAAGAAATCTCTCGAAAAGGGCCCAAGAGGGCAGTCTTTAAGGCTGGTGGTGAGGCGATAGTGCGGAGGCAAATCCTGCCATTGCTGATCAATCCTCTGGCGAAGATCACTAATACGAAGTGAAAAGAGAATGGTTAGCTATGGAATTGGTCTGGGTAGCTGGTAAACGGGGAGTCTCAACGAACTTGATGATGTCAGTCTCGCAGAACGCATGGCGCTTGCGAAATAGCTGGAGAACTTCTTCCTTCAGAAGTGCAAAGACGGCAGCACAAACGGTGTCAGACGTATAATTCAAAGCCTGACCGTCGTTTGGTTCTCGGCCACTTCTTATCTGGTAAGACAAAGGACTGTTGCTGTCCCTTTTGATTGTATCATCAGCGTCGTTCCAAGTACTCGCCATCTTCAATGGGACCTGGAAATAGCAAAATTCTTTCATAACCCGCGGGGGTCGACCCAGGAATACGGCCAAGCTCTTGTCTGCTGCATAGACGCGTGCAAAGCAGGACCTCCGCAGCTCAGCGACGAATAAGGGAATATCTGAAGAGTCCTCTTCAATCTTTTCATGATAGCCCAGTGCAAACAATGTGCTGGCGACATCACCCATCCGTCGCCAAGAGTGGTAACCTAATTGCCAGCATGTCAGCACATTCCGCTTTTCTGCAATAAGTGACTAATGCTAGGGATGTATTAGATCCCAAAGAAAAAGAGAAGAGGAAAGGAAAGGAAGGAAAGGAAAGGAAAACAAAGACCTACTCTGGTCGCCGTCAACTTGCGAGTGTACTATGAGATTTTCATACTGCAAGACTAGCTGTAAGTCATTGAGACAGTCCAAAGCAAGGCATGTCTCCAAGCAGCAATCTCCAATGTACATTAGTGCTTTGATCAGCCCGCGACGCCGCTCATCGCTGTTGTAAAGCGGTGCAAACGAAGAGGTATCCAACGCAGCTCTGCTTGCAGCTGCTAGGAATATTCCGAGGCTTTCCCATCGAAGATTCTTCCCGGACATCTGTTGCAGATACTCGGACGGGGTGGAATGCTTATTAAAAGTGAGCGGCCTGTGCGTGTTTTCTAATAAGACCCTCGCTCTTTGAGTGGTTGCATTAGCATCTCCAGCATCGATCCCCACAGGAGGAGTCGACAGTTCTCTCCAGTCGACCGCAGCATCGATGCACGTCTCAACGAATGGCTCTGCAAGGGCTAGGTTCACCCCTTTTTTGAGCCAAAAGCGCACTAGAGACGCCAACGCGGAGACTTGCAGTTGATCTAACAGACTCAAGGCATGGTTTGCTTTATCAAGCGTTGTCTGATCAAGGAGAAAGGCGTCTGATGGAGAGCTGGACATGGGTGATTGTACTGCTTCCTCCTGCTGAGCAGCGACCATCCCAGTGGGAGCACGGGAAGACACGTGGTTGAAAATGGTTGCATGGCTAGGCACCCCGAGAAAGCCCGGGTTTGGATATCGCCGTGGCTGGGACGAAGAAGCACCCAACACGTCTGAAATTGGGGACGTCTCCAAGGGTGGAGTGGTCAGAGCATCTACACATATGGACCCTCCAATGCTGGAAGCATCAACGACAAGGTCAGCAGTTGTACGGAGGAGGACGGACAAACAGATATCATCCCAGGAGAGAGAGCATTCTGGCTTAACTTACCTTTGCTTTCTCATGCGGTCACTATGTATTCTTCTCCTGAATGGCCGGTCCCGGTACACACAAAGATCTATCTGATCGCGGGTACGGCATCGGGTGCAAGTGGGCCTCTCATGGCCGCAGGCCAGCTTTGCCCGTCGGCAGGGCTCGCAGGCAGCGTGTCGGATACTCATTTCGTAATATCACTTGGTCAACATGATGATGTGGAGAGAATATCGTAAAACAAAACGGTTCGCCAATTAGTCCGAGAACATGACGTGCAATCCCTCACATCTGACAACTCCATGTCCATAAGATGCACTGGACGCCGTCGAATCTACTCCGAAGACACTGATACGTGAGCTCCAGCGAACCGGAGCGCCGATTTCTCCGAAAAGCCCCACTACACGCCGAAGCCTTCGATATCTCGCCTTTAACTTATTCATTATTGCCGGTTGCCCAGCTCTATGACGGCTTAACTCGAATCAGTATGTATGTGTTGCATTCACAGTTCAGCTTATCAATTCATCTTCGCCACGGATCCATTGTGTGTACTAGACGAACACGAATCACAGCTCGCAGACGCCGGTGTTGGCTGCAAAGCTGAACATTCGCTAGTCTGTGGAGGAAAGGGCCCAGGCGCATTGACAATAGGAGAATAACAATTGTTTCTTCGTTAGCGCATGCTAGCAGTCTAAGCTTCACCAACAGTTTAGCTTGACGCTCGACGCCTTCACGTTGAGTGATTGATCAAATCCCAACGCCGAACTTGGCGCCATGCGACCTAACAACCAATGTCGCTGGTATGTATACGATATGTTAATGAAATATGGCGAAGGGGATGGTTTCCCGCCGCCTATAAACTACCAACCAACCCCCTAAAACTGAATGAGCGTACGGCATATCCTTTGACTTGATTCTCATTCTCATTTCTTTTGAAAACAGCAAAGCGGATCCAACAAGATGGGCAGTCTATCTACGGAGCTCGACCACTGGACCGCAGGACCCAACCTGTATCCAAAGAGAAAACCAGTGCCCCCTGCCCAACGAGGAATTGCCGCACCATGCAGCACCGAGCAGTTCAAGACTAAAAGCTACAAGCACAAGCCACTTGCAAAACGATGGCATCGTAAGTTTGTTGCCTTGCCAGAAAAAGTTTTGGACTGGATTCATTCTCCATGATGCTGATGGCTCTGTGACTCTTTAGCATACATGAGCACCGAGTCAGCCAGCCGAACGGGCTCATCTCTCAAGGCATCAATGAAGCATCTCCAGAATCCAAACGTCATCTCCCTGGGGGGTGGAACTCCTCTTAGCGACTTTATTCCCTTCGACGAGGTTGTTATACGACCTCCTTCGCTCGAGAATCTCAAAACGGAAAAAAAGAGAAACTCTACATCAATAACAACCCTACACGCCACAAAGCACGATATCGCTGATGGCACCAGTATCTACGACCTCTCTGTTGCTTTGAATTATGGGCAAGGTTACGGATCGGCGCAATTCATGCGTTGGATCACGGAGCATACAGAAATCTTTCATGATCCGCCATATTCTGACTGGCAATGCTCCTTAACCATTGGCAACACATCGGCTTTTGACATGTGCTTGAGGATGTTGACAGAGCCCGGTGACTGTGTCTTGGCTGACAAGTACACATTTTCAACTGCTATTGAAACTGCCCTGCCCCTGGGCATCAACTTTGTGGGAGTTGACATGGACCGCGAAGGCATGCTTCCAGGCAGCCTTGATGAAGTACTTGAGAATTGGGATCCTGAAGCGCACAAGAAGGCCCGCAAGCCATCTGTGCTATATGCCATTCCGACTGGCCAAAACCCTACCGGCACCACCCAAAGCATTGAGCGCCGCAAAGAGATTTACAAAATAGCCCAGCGGCACGATTTAATCATCTTGGAAGACGACCCATACTACTTTTTGCAGATGGACCCCTATGGCTCTTCCTCTACTGAAGATGGACCAGCTACAGCCGAGATACGATCATCCGCCGACTTCCTAAAAAGGCTCATCCCCTCATATCTTAGTCTAGACGTTGACGGACGGGTTATCCGCATGGATTCCTTCAGCAAGGTGATTAGCCCTGGAGCTCGTCTCGGTTGGGTTACAGCTTCTGCGCAGCTTATTGAGCGATACAAGTACCACACCGACGTTTCAACCCAGAGCCCTGCCGGCTTGAGCCAGTTGGCCATCTTCAAGCTCGTAGACGAACATTGGGGACATGCAGGCTATACGGAGTGGCTGATGCACTTGCGCTCAGAGTACACCAAGAGAAGGGACTTTATCATATCTGCCTGTGAGCGATATTTGCCGACGAAAATTGTTCGTTGGGAGCCAACTGAGGCAGGCATGTTTGTAGGTATTTTCCTCCGCCTTTCATATTATCATTTAGCTGACGAATCATGACACAGCAATGGCTCAAAGTAGACTGGAAGCAACACCCCGATGCGAAAACCAAGTCGGTCAATGCCCTTGAAGAGGAGATATGGCTAGAAAGCATATCGACAGGGGCGCTGGTTGGCCGTGGCAGTTGGTTCCGTGCTTCAGCAGACGTGGCATACGACGAAGTCTTTTACCGGACGACTTTTGCCGCGGCGCCGCTGTCTAAGATTGAAGAAGCTGTAAAGCGGTTCGGGGAAGCTATTAAAAAGGCCTTCAAAGTCGAGCCTGAAAGGAAAGAGGAGAGCTGAGTTGGGAGATTATAGCGACGAATGAGCCTTAGGCTCCTGGGGAGCTCCAAAAACAAAGCGAATCATCGTGAGAATTTGTATCATTAGTACCAAAAGAATTATCAGCGAAGCTGAAGAAATGGACAATTTTCTCTCTAATAGCAGCTAGTACTTATCAGAGGAGTCTGAGTACATAGTTGTTACATGAAAATATCAGTTGCGTTGCAGTGTCTTCTCGTTCTCATTCTTGTACCAGCGCATATTTCTCCGTCGCCCAGCGCAACGCTGCGCTGAGAATTCTGAAATCAATGCATCTTGGCTTCAATCTTTTTCTTCTTTCAATTTTTTTTCCACCCTTCTTTTCACTGCTGAAATGTGATTCAGCAAGCAATTAAGCAACCAGCAGCACCTTCACAGCATGATCACATCATCATCATTGGCCAAATCTTTGAAATATCTTGATAAAGAGAAAATCTGCAGAAATCTATCGCCCATATATATAATCATACATCATGAAAAATACCCATCAATCATCCGCTCCATCTTCTACTCCATGACAACAACATACTTCTCATCAGTCGCTCGCTTAATCAACTTTTCATACGCCTCCGCTGCCTGCTCAATTGGCACGGGCGTCCACTGGCTCTCAACTTTCAGCTCCCCAGCCTCAAACAGCTCCTTGATACCTTTGAGCCGTCGGGCCATCTCCTTGGGCGATGGATTCAGCGAGTTGCATCCCAACAAGCTCAAGTCCGCGCGGTAAAAGTCCCGCATGTCGAAACTAATGTCCCTCGCGCCGGACTTGGGTGCTGAGATGAAAGCAAGGCGGCCGTTCTTTGCCAGCTTCTTGAGCGCGTTAACTGTCAAGATGGGCGATCCTACGGTGTCAAGGACAACGTCGACTCCTTGGCCTTTGGTCAGCGTGTCCACGGCCTTTAGCTCAACATCCTTGTCGGTGTTGATATCATCTCCTTCGTCGCGTGTGGCCTTGATGATACGCGCGCCAATGTTTCTAATGAGTTGGACGGCAGAAGACCCAACCGCACCGTTGGCCCCTATTACGAGAACGGTGTCGGATTCTGTGATGGATGCCCTCTCCACCATCTGCGCAGCCGTCGTGAAGGGAACGCCCAGTGTTGCCGCCTGGACAAAGGAAATGTTTTTCGGCTTCAGCACAACCTCATCCTCGCGAATGAGACAGTATTCTGCCTGAAACCCGTCCTTTGTAAAGGCATATGCGTGTCCGCTGGTGCCATACACCTCCTGTCCGATAAGCTCCTCGGGGCCATCTTCGATGACGCCTGCATAGTCTCTCCCGGCGATTCGGGGGAATTGAGTGTATGAAAAGTGGCCCATAGCGTTGCCGACGTCGCTAGGATGGATAGCCGAGGCGTGAACTTTGACCAACACATGGTTCGGAACAAGAGCTGGTTTTGGAACCTGGGTGAATACCAAACGAGGAGACTCCGCAGCAGATTCGCGAAGGAGGCGAAGAGCCTTCATCGTTGTCGAGGTACGTGATGGCATTTTTCTTGACTTGCTTTTCTCTTCTTCTTTTTCTTCTTCTTCTTCTTCTTCCTCCTCTTCTCCCAAAATCTCTTTCTCAGTTGCCGCTTTTATATTTGTTCCAAATCTGTTGGTTCAGTTGCCGCTCTATCTTCTTCGGGTCTTTGTTCTGCCTTTATAAGACTTTGATAAAAATTATGATGTGCTGGTTTGGATAGTATATGCTGATTTTTGCAAACGCTCTTTATTAGTTTATATTCAATTGATGCATGATGAACTCATCCCCTCCAGGGACCATTCCCGGGTTTTATATCCATAGATCGATCAATCTTCATGGCAGATTCCGTGTGCCTTACCCACAAAAAACTATATTTAAAGAACAAACACCCCGATTTGCTACGAGAAAAGCCGCTTGTTCGAGCTAAAGCGCACGCCGGCGAGGCCACCGTCCGGAATCATCGTTCTAATTCCCCAATTACCCTCTTCTGTCCGGAATGGCGTTGTGCGGCCCTGGCGGCCCTTGCGGTCCTTGCGGCACATGCGGTTGTTGCGTGTATTGCGGCTGCTGCGGGAAAGATCCAAAAGCTGAAGGCGATTACCGAGAATCGAGCGGGTGTTGGTAAGCTATATCTCAGCAAGAATATAGTCAGCCACTGTCCCCATTAAAAAATGGGATGAAAAGAAAAAGAAGAGAAAAAAGAAAAGAAAAAGAATAACAAAGGCATTTGTTGGAAACCTTGACTTGAAATGCAAGATTCCATTTAAGACAATTTCAGAATTGCATCAAGTCTTGTCTCATCTTCGCAATTTCACCGACGCTGTGAAGACGGTATTAGCCAGTAACGGCTTACACCGTGAAGATGGCCTCCCAGTCGCAGTCTTTCGATGACGGCGATACCATTAGTGGGAACAACAGCAACAACAATATCCCAGTATCAGGCTATGAAGAAAAGCAGCGGCTCCCAGATCTCGAGAACAATCAACCTTGTCATCACCATGAGCCAGAACTGCCAACTGAAGACGACAAATGTTCCATCCAGGGACGACGCGACGAGGGAGAAAATGGCGGCAACGGCGACTTAACGGCATCGACTTCACGAACCGCAACAGAGAGGCATCTCTCCCTCCAGCTCACTCCCAGCAGCATCCCGCCTCCCCAGTCTCTGGCCTTTGAGATCCCTTTCATATTTACTCTATGCATGGCTCAGCTCTTGGCTCAAGCCGGATTGGGCCAGTGCATTGCTCCGTTGCACATCATCGGAAACAGCTTTGGCACTCAGGATGCTGGCCAGCTCAGCTGGATGCCCGCTGCTTACAGTCTCACAGTTGGAACTTTCATCCTCATCGCGGGTCGCCTGGGCGATCTCTTCGGCCACAAGATCATCTTCATCATTGGCTTTTGCTGGTATGCCCTCTGGAGTCTTCTGGCCGGCGTGAGCGTCTGGTCCCGATCCATCATCTTCTTCGATGTCTGCAGAGCCTTCCAGGGCATGGGGCCTGCCTTTGCCGTGCCTTCGGCCGTGGCCATCATCGGCCGCACGTATCCCCCCGGCAGGAGAAAGTCCATGATCTTCAGCTTGTTTGGCGCTACGGCCCCGGGAGGCTTCGTCGTTGGTGCCGTCTTCTCTTCAATCTTTGCAGAGCTAGTTTGGTGGCCCTGGGCGTATTTTGTCATGGCCATGGTATGTGCTTTGGTCGCGGTTGCTGGCACTGCCGTTATCCCTGCAACCCCCGGCGCCGCAAACGTGCGATCTGAAGTGCCGCTGTGGAATATTATCGACGTCCCGGGAGCTGCTGCGGGCGTTACTGGTCTAATCCTTATCAACTTTGCCTGGAACCAAGGCCCTGTCGTTGGCTGGCCGACTGTATACGTCTATGTGCTCCTGATTGTCGGATTCCTCTTCTTGGGCCTGTTTGGTTGGATCGAGGTGCACTCGGATTTTCCTCTGCTGCCAACAAAACTGTTCAGCGGCTCCTTGGGCTTCGTCTTGGCTTGTGTAAGCCTTGGATGGTCCAGCTTTGGTATCTGGCTACTCTATCTGTGGCAGATCCTAGAGCAGATCAGAGGTCATAGTCCTCTCGAGGCCAGTGCGCAGTTCAGTGCGGCAGCCGTCTCTGGAGCATGCGCAGCTTTCACCACGGGTCTCATCCTGGGCAAGGTGAGGCCCAGCATGGTGATGATGATGGCGATGACGGCATTCACCGTCGGAGGAATCCTGGTAGCAACGATGCCTCCCCATCAGATTTACTGGGCTCAGACATTTGTTGCGATTGTTGTCATGCCGTGGGGAATGTGAGTAATTAATCATTGAAATCAAAATCTCTAATCTCTCGTCTTACTAACCAGCCCTTTCTTTTTAGGGACATGTCATTTCCCGCCGCCACGATTATCCTCAGCGAGGCTTTGCCGAAAGAACACCAGGGCCTTGCTGCCTCTCTCGTCAACACCGTCATCAACTACTCCATCTCCATCGGCCTCGGTATCGCAGGCACGGTGCAATCTCAGATCAGCCCCGGGACCACAGAACAAGAAATATTAAAGGGCTGCAGAAGCGCATTCTACGTGGGCATTGGCCTTAGTGGGCTCGGTATTTTGGTAGCCACGTTGTTTGTCCTTGACGAAAACAGGAGACATGTCAAAGAGCGTCGCAGGGGAGGAGAGTGAGAAGAAAGGAAAAAAGTATGAGGAGCATTGATGTTTTTCCATCTTGCCTTCTCCCCCCTTTTTTTAATGTATAATCTCAATTTTGCATCTTATAGAGGCGGTGTTTTCATGATTGGATTTAGGGAATTATACCTGCATTGGGAGGGAAACATGGATGCACACTGCATACCATCAAAAGCATTTCGAATTCGAATAGACATTAATTATTAGAAACTCTATAGACATATAGACATACAGACACATACAAACTATGATACACCGTTGTATCCATTGCACCCACCTCACTATATCCTCTAATTGCGGCGCAATCATACATGGGCGCTCTTTTTCATCGCCATCATCGTTTAGTTTATAGAGTTAGAAACGAAACGACACCAAAGACAGCCGTCAAGCCCGTCCAATGTATCATGCCTACCTCGTCGTATCGCCCAATGGCGGCAGATGAAGTCGTCGTCGTCGCCGCTGCAGCTGTTTGCGAACTTGCGCTCGTAGCGTGACCAGTTTTAGGTATCGCCCCCGTCAGCGTAGGAAGAAAGGGAAGACCATCAGAGGAACTTCCATCCACTGTCGGTGCTGCTGTCGTACCTCCAGCAACTGCCGTTGCACCACCTTTACCATTACCATCGCCAGGAGAAGCTGTAGCTGTAGCTTCAGACGTCCCGCTACCCAATGGGGGACACCCAACCGGCTTTGTCGTAGTCAGCGATGGAGCGGGAAACGTCGCCGCAAAGGAAATCACAGACCGCACGGGGGCCTTGAACTCGCCGCACGACAGCGCAAACATGAGATACTCGCCGCCCCAGAGCGCATTGCACGAGCCGTTGCCGTAGTCGCCGTAGAGGGCGTCGGGGATGTAGTTTGCGATGCCGTCCGTGCAGGCGCAGTCCTGGAAGAAGAGCAGCGACGGTCTGGTGGTGCCGTCGGCACAATAAGGCTTCTGGGAAACGCGGAAGCTCCTCGATAAGGAGCCCAGCGGCGAGGCTGGCATGCAGACGTCGAGTGGGATGGGCGCAACTTCGGCCTGGATGCGGTCTTGGCACTTGTCGTCAGAGTAGAAATCGAGATTACCGCCGTGGGAGCCTGTAGCGGATACGCGGAGGCTGAAGCCAAGGCTGAGGGCCAAGACGGCAAGAGCCTTGGCGATTGAAGCCATCGTGAACGGTTTCTCGGAAGGGTTTGTCTCAAGATTCAAAAGCAACGCCAAAGAGAGGCTAGTTCTCGCACGGTGGTGAATTTGGGCGTAGAACAGAAAAGCAAATAAACGAGCGTATGAAAATTTTTAGGATATTGGACGATCGAGAAAACGCGTGACTCTCCCGCCGTGAACTGAGAAAAGAAAATTCCATCGTCAGTTCGCATCCATTAACACGGGGCTTGCGGCCTGGACGCAACTGGGAGTGGGGCGAGTTAATGGAGGGAAACGCGACGTTGCCAAGCTAGGAAACACAGCCGGCTTACCATGACACTATGGCAAAACCCCGAGTTTGTGATTATTTATAAATCTTGGGTAGTGACTAAAAACTTCTCGAAGAGAAAGCTTGCTTGGATCGAAGCAAGGCATTTTGAGAAAGGCGCTTCAACAAAACCTCTGCAGACGGTCAGAATTAGTTTCAGTCACATAATGTCAAAACAAAGCTATCAACATCAAAGCCTACCTGCGACTTTCCAACGGCCTGAAAACCACTCGAGATTTTCCCGTAGCTGATTAGCATCTTCGGGCAACGCACCCTCGGGGCACATCTCATCCAGGTCTACTGCCGCACGGTATAGGCAGCCCAGTCCAGCGAAGCACAGTCTCTTGAGGCTCTTTTCTCGCCTCCTCATTATGCTGCCCTCAACACGACACATTTCAAAAGCTATGTTGTAGGCGAATTTAATGTCGATAGTGAGCTTCGCGTCGGCGGTAGACCCAATGCGCTGAACTCTCTTCTTGTAAGCGGATGCAACGGCGCTGCTCATTAAATTAGTTTCCAAAGGTAAAGAAAGAGACGATGCAATTGACAAAAACAGCAATGCAGAAAGGGTATAGTTACCTCAGGGCCATAGCAATGCCTTCGCACACAGAATATGACTCCTCCTTTGTAGCCGTATGCTTCCGGACAAGATCGTGGAGAAGTTTCTCGGCTTCGACACAGTCTACCGATACTGGATCCGCATAAACGGCTTTTATTGCTTCGCCGACTAGTAGAGCTGAGCGTGCTCTCATTCGAAACCTGTGTACTGTCTCCATGTGCGATAGTCCTTCTGTATCCAGGTAGGAAATTGCATCAAGCGGCAACATTTCTTTTGTCGGGATGAGGAGAGTGGCAGAGCTATCAGCACAAGAAAGCACGATGGAACTGTCATTCTAGTTAGAGATGTAAAATGGCGTTAAGAAATGGGGAGAGACTCAACCAATCGAGAGAGACTATACCCGCCCAGCATCTCTTTAAAACAGGGACAAGGACATCTTCTCGGCGATGTTCCAGCTGCCTGATGATGCCAAAACATGCGCCCAACGTGGATGTGGCCTCTCTTGTCATGCCATGTCCGCATTCATAGGCAGTTAGCAGCAGGCCGGCTTGCAATTTTGTGGCGTGTGAGAAGACATCACCAGATGCCTCAACCAGAGAAAAGACCCGCCTCGTCGCCTTGTGAAGCGAGCTATTGGATGTGTGATTGGGATGGTAGCAAGGGGCTTGATTCAGCAAGTACATGCATAATAATAGTAGTGCAAAAATATCCTTGTGGATGTCGGATTCTTGCATGACCAGAACGTTGAAATTGATGTTTGACTCCTCAAGGATGGGCAGCCAAGAGTACGCCGTAGCAAAGTACTTGTCCCAGACCTGTTGCGCGGAAGTACCACCATAGGCGAAGATGTCCTCTGTCAAGTTCATCAAAGACTTTGCGTCAGTTTGTTTGGGATATTGCTCCTGGCTTTGGCAAGCAGCCCATAAAAGTTGCCTTTCTCCTACTGGAGTGAGCTCAAGACCGCAGGAATCTCGTTGGATGGCCAGCGGTTGGCTCCACCTGAGCTTAGTGACTGGCTCTGCTTCAAGCGGCGGCCTGTCGTCGTCATATTTGCATCTGTAGAGTTTTCTTGGTTCCGGTTAGTTTCTGACCCAATCACGGCAGGCAAAAGATGGGTCAGACTTACAAGGCGCATCGTGAGCAACTGGGCAACCGCTTATCACATTTGCGCTTGTGGAGATGGCAGTGCCGGCAGGCTTTAGGGGCTTTGATCTCCATCAGCGTATCAGATGGCATAGCGGTCAATTGAATATCGGTTCCTTTGCAATGTGATGCTGAGCATAGGGACTTGGGGCATTCTCAACGGATTCTTGCGTTCAGATAAACTTGCAGCTGACAAAATGGACAGGGGGCGGCAGCTTGACTCGCGGATTTCTAAGCCTCAGATCGAATCTGACAGGGGTGCGGCCGCACCCCTGTCATACAGCTATTCCTCATGTAGAAGGGCTGCTCGCAGCGGATTGGCCAACAAGACGACAAGATGGCGGCCGGTCCCCTGAAGGGTGCCACTCACTAGTCCAAACTCACGGGTGCTGGCTTCCGTCTAATAACGGGCATTGATGATGGTTAGTGGTAGACATGAGGGACGAATCGTATAGACTGTATAGACGAACCACATGGAAAAAATAGAATGAAGCAGAATGAAGCGGATTACAACGTTGTGATTTCTAAGCTTCAGTTTCCCGTTCATGTATATAAGTAGGCAGCTGAACGCTGTTGAATGCTCCAGTCGGAAGCATAGAAAAACCAATCAGTCAATCAACCACTCATCCTATACAGTTGTTAGCAGTTTCAATTCGAAATTGTCAAAATGTCCGAGTTTGCCCAAGTTCCCACATACACCAACGTGTACCACCACAAACCCTATGCGGCAATCTTGCCTACTCGTCCCGAGCTCTCTACCAAGGGGAAACACGTTGTCATCACCGGTGCCGGAACCGGCATTGGAGCGGCCATAGCACTGTCGTTTGCTCAGTCTGGTGCTTCGAGCATCGCCCTGCTGGGACGTACTGAGGCCACTCTGCTTAGGACCAAGCAAAGTGTAAACGCCACATACCCTGAGACGGCCGTGCACATCGTCACAGCAGACGTTGCTAACGAGGCATCTGTGCGAGCCGCGCTTGAGGAGTACGCTTCGAGCGCTGGGAAGAAATTGGATATTCTCGTGGCCAATGCCGGGGTCTTCCCCGACCCGGGAACGCTGCTGGAATCTGATGCCTCTTTATGGTGGTCAGGATATGAAATCAACATCAGGGGACAGTTCAACCTCGTTCGAGCTTTCGTACCTCTAGCAGAGAAGAACGCAACAGTCATCAACGTGACGACTTCCGTCATCCAGTTTCCCTTTGTGCCCGGCTCCAGCGGCTACCACGGATCGAAGATGGCAGCCAGCAAGATTTTCGACTATCTTCATTTTGAGAATCCCGAGCTGAGGGTGCTGCAGTTTCACCCTGGCGTGGTGCAGACGAGCATGTCACAAAAGTCGTTTGACAATGGAATTCCGAGGCCTGTGATGGACGATGGTAAGTGATGAAACCAGACAGTCGCGCAACTAATATGGGCATATTTACTAACATGGCGTCCAAAATGGTAGCATCTCTGCCTGGTGCATTCGCGGTTTGGTGTGCGAGTGCAGAATCAGAGAGTCTTCGGGGCAGGTTCCTGTGGGCAAATTGGGATGTCGAGGAGCTCAAGGCCCGGGAACTGCAGGGCACTCAGCAGCTGACGATGGGGCTTCTTGGGTGGCCGTAGATGAAATTGTCAAAGGGGAGAGAGTGTGTGTGCCGGTTGGGAGTTTGGATGGAAATTTGTGGTGATCCGTGGTAATTGATTGACTGTCACGGACATATTATAGCACATGTATGTAGTCTCGGTATATGAATGCAAAGCTGAAGTGTTGTTGCTGTTGCTCTTACAAAAGTCCCCGTCATCAGTTGATGGCTGACATAATCTAATGTATGCATCAGCGCATTTAGCGATGGCCTGTCGCCCAATCACGCTGTATTCCAGCGCACCACTTGCAGCGCTACAGCAGCCCTCTTACACGGCAGCAATAAGCTGGACTCGACTGTGAAATTGATTGATCCAGTCCCTTGTGTCGATCAATTCACGATGTATAATCTCCAACAAACATCAATTGCAATTGTTTTCTATTTCTCTCTGGAAACATTAAGCTTTCCAGTTCAAAGATGGAATAAAAAAAAAAAGAGAAAAAGAAGAAAAAAAAACGCATTCGAGGTACGTACCCAGAACGGGGGATGTTTCCAGCTCTTAACTGCGATTCCGCGCCGGTTCGTTGCGGATTCTCCCGTTTTGGTTTTAAGGAGCTTCTTGCGATTACCTGTCATCTATTAGGCATGCATCTAGGCAACTTGTGGTTAACTTACGTTGTACTGCTATACAGGCCCGTCACTTATCTGGCATCTTTTCATTATTCTTCATCTCTTTCTCCTCCTCAGTGGTATACACGTATAGCACACACTGCATCGAGCATCAAATCAACACCTGCTCTGCCGCCTCGCAACTAAACTTACATGTACTTTGCAGTCTATACTGCTGCTCAGCAACTTTGCCTCTCCCATCCTCATGCTCAGTCGCGCAAAATCCAACAAAACTCTCGGAGGAAATCCTCACGCCTTCTGTTTTACCACCTATCAGAAACCACAGCCTCCCCATTCGGCAATGCGAGTGCCGAAACGATAAACGCAACGTCTTACACCAAATTGGATTCGAACAAAAAAGCGGGGGCGCCGTCAACTAACTCGTTAACTCGTCCAGCTCATAAATAGATAAATACTTGTGTTCCCCAGAACCTCGTACCGCATCTTCAACTCTGCCACAACTCATCTCCCGGCCAGCTCTCCCTTCTCGTCATCTCATCGCAGGCGTCAACACACTCATTCAAAGCCCATGTATATTGTCTTGTTTCAACAGCAACTCTTGTCTCTTCTGTCCCGCCATGGAGCCCGTTGCTGAGCTCCCGCGCCCCAAGGGCCGGCAACGCGCCAAAAAGGCTTGCACCGAATGTCGTCGCCGCAAGCGCAAGTGTGACGGCCACTCGCCCTGTCTCATGTGCTCGCAGTACGACTACGTCTGCCGCTACGAGGAAGAGCCGGCCCTCTCCCACAGCCTTCCAAAGCGGCCCTTTGAGGCAGACGCAAAGCGCGGCGATGCCTCCAACGCCTTCCGGGTCTCGTCGCCCTCGCCTGAAGACACCAGCCGGCAGGATCCGAAGACCCCCACAACGCCCGTGTCGCCTCTGAATCGCGGCGTCATCGAGCCGGCCAAGCGCCGGTACATGAGCCAGAGCTCGGCCGTGGCCTTTCCCAACCAGCTGGGCGTCGAGCTCAAGTCGCCGCATCCTCCTCGCCTTCACTCCTTTGGCTGGAACTGCGGCATCCGGCCTGAGGAGCAAGGGTCTGTCCACACGCCCCTGACCGAGTTCGTCTCCTGGGAGGAGTGCCGGCGCTATGCAGAGGTCTACTTTGCTACCGTGGACGCGCCCTTTCACCTCTTTGACAAGGCCAAGTTTCTCCTGCAGTGCGATGCCTTTTTCAGCGGGCAGAACCAACATCTCGTCCTTGGAGCCGTGATTGGCGCCGTCGTTGCTCTCGGCTCTCTCTTTTCCTTCCGCCAAGGGCACGCTCTTGAATCCGAGATTGTCAAGCATGTGAAAGACGTCCTTGAAGACTCATCCTTCAGCCGTCTCCCCTCCATAGACCAGGTCAATGCCTGGATTCTACGGACCCTCTATCTCCGCGCAACCACACGACCGCATCTCACTTGGCTTGCGTCTTGCAACGTCATGCATCTGGTGGAAGCTGTTGGTCTTCACCGTGACATTGACTCTGATCTTGTCACTCAAACTATTGAGGCTCCGGCTGTAGAGGACGAAAGCCACAAGAGAACCTTTTGGGTTGCCTGGTCCGTCAACACAATGATCGCCTACGAGTACGGCCGCTCAAAGATTCACTTTGACGGCGTCGACTCTCGTCTGGTCCCATTCGCTGACGAGAGCGATTCGGGCCTCCAGGTTCGCATGGCCAGAGCCTTGCCAAGCGAGGGCTCCGGTGGCGATGTTGTAAGCGTCAGTAGGTCGCTTGAAAATGCCATTCGAAAGCTCAGCGAATTGGGAGACATCAAGGGCTTTCCGGCTCTGGCCCGAGGCGATCTCTGCTTCTGTCTCTACCGGCGTCTGCGCCTTCTCAAGATCAGCATCAGCAGAGATACAGTGTCCCATATTCTGACCATTGGCCATACTGCCGTTGAAGCAGCCTCTGAGTTTGCACAGCAGGAGGTCCCCTGGTGGAATGTGCTTGGCACAACTTTCCAATTCTTCTGCGTTCTCCTCGCCATTGACAACTACGAGAGTCTGGCTCAGGTTTCGTGGGTTCACGCCAAGCTTCGAGAGGTATATCAGAAATTCGAGACGCGCATGGGCTTGGAAGCACTCGAGGCGGCCGCGACTTTGAGAAAGGCCCTCTTGGCCAAGAAGCAGCAGGAGATCAACTTGTTGACGCCGGAAGACCAAGTCTTTGCTCCCTTCCCAGAGAGGGAGTTTACCCCGGATTGGGATGTTGTGCTGAATCCATACTACACCACTGGGACCTTTAACTTTACGGAGTTTGGAGTTTGATCAAAAGCCTCTGATATGAGTTTACTTTTTTTCTTATCCAAATTCAGTCTAAACTCTGATATCAGACTCAGCATGACAAGACCAAGGTAGTGCTCGAGCTTTCTACTAGACATTGATTCTAGTAGCTGACTTTGGCTTTACTCCGTTGCGTATGACTGGAAAATGTCTCGGACGTCTGATTCACGGAGGATTCATAACAGGGTTAGTCATAACAGCTCGAACCATTTCCGCCTATTATCATCTCATGTTGCATTATACTAACTCGGAATAGATGCAATCATCGAGCGGTCCACCACAAGGCCGAGCCAACTCTCGTCATGCCCATCCAATGGGCTCTCTCTTCGAGGCTTGGGAGAAGCAAGATGGTTCTACAGCCACAACTGTTTACTCATGGTGCCGGACGTAGCCGAATACCGGCACGCAACTGCCGGCTAGCCTCTACGGAAAGAAATCTAGGCAGCGTCTGAGGCAGTCATGATATACAGCTCCACGCCTTTTGGCTGGTCATGCCCATGTCACGGTGGCTGTCGTCAAAAGTGACTCTTGAAACCACAATGTCTGAAACAAGTTTTGCCAAAAACCATTTCCTGCATTTGGCATGTCGCTTACTGCAGCAGGGGCCGTCATCTTTGAGCAGCAGTAGTAGTAGTGTCTCAATCCCATTTCATCATGGTTCTCTTTCTTTCTTTTATGGCACGGGCTCTGGCATCCGAAGGCGCACCCACAAGATGGTCACTCTGGCACAAGACCCATTATTCCAAACCTCTCCAAAATACCTCCAGGAAAGGAAATAAGTTCTCTATCCTCACTCCCCCTTTCTTGAATAAACAAATATAAATAATTAAAATTAAAAAAGGTGGATCTAGACGCTAGGCAGCTCCAACCAGCAACCCACAAATTTCTCTAGCAGAATGGACGAATGTTCAAGTTCCTTGCCCAGAGTAAGCAGTTCCTGCAAGTAAGATCACTAAACATACGAAAGCACCAACCACAGTCTTCGGCCATGGGGGTGGTTCGGTCTCGCTTGTAGCCTAAAAAAATCTAGAAACAAAATTAAACAGAACATTGGATGGTTTGTTTTTGTCTTTCGTTTTCCGATGTGCAATTGCCGAACCTCGGGGGAAAAAAAAATTAAGAACATAACAAGACAAGGGAATGAAGCATCGCCGCGCTAAGAATGGCTGCCTTGCCGGTGCAGTAGCGTAAACTGTGTTACTCACACCGCGGCAAGGCAACGAATGGAACTTGAAACGACGTTGGGTGTTTGCCTAATATCCAAGTCAGGTGCCTTGTATGATTCAAATGTCATGCATGGACGCAATTGAACGTGATGGACGATGATAGTGCATACATTGCATAGACATTGCCTGTGGACATATGACAAGATAGTACAATGGATTGTGAACAAAATGGATGGTAATACTCCATACGCATGGCATCTCAACATTTGGCAAATGATATTTTAAGGAAAAATGAATGAATGTAAATTCATGCTATCTAAAGTGTGGCTGCCCAATCTAGTAATCTAAGTGGTGATGATTCTAATGCTGGAAAATGCAAAAAAAAATACAAGATATGCTTCTCATTCGAAAACAATTTCCAACGCTTGCTTTGACTCGTAAAAATGATGCTAGAAAATGTCAAACGCCCTTTGCTCTTGTAGAATGTGAATTCCCGGCAGAGTATGTTGTTTTGTCTAATAAAAAAAAGTCGCCTTTCCAAAAAGTCTAAGTTGCGAAGAAGTACAAATCGTCGTACGGCGGCGGTTTGTAAGTTGTTGATATCCGTAGCTGAGGCATTGGAAGATAAGAAGCCAGAGCAGAGACATCTATGACATGGAGTAGCGGCAGTTGTCGCAGCGCCAGGCGTGGCACATTGGGCAAGAAGCGTTGATGTCGTAGTTGTACCATCCGCCAGAGCATTTGCACTACATAAATTATATGTTAGCCATCACGGTAGATTAAGGGGAGAGCTGGTTAAACGTACACATTGCCACAGCTGCGGCCTTCCGGATGAGGCGTACATTGGTCGAGACGGCGGTGAGCTGTACGAGCTTCGTCCGGAGCTCCTGTGGCTGCCGGACTGGTAGCAGGATTCGGTCCTAGAAAGGCGAGTCAGTGTTGGTTCGTCAATGTTGGAAGTGTATGTGGCGGGCACTAACTGTCGGCTTGAAGGCATGGTTGCGAATTGGGTTGTCAAGAAGACGAATAGATAGATAGTCAAGTAGTTAGGACGGCTGTTAGTTGTCTGAGCGAGTCTCGTATGAAGATGAAACGACCAGAAGAGCTGATGAGTGATGCTTTCTCTCTGAAACACATCCAGACATCTAGCCACCCTTATATATATATCCAGAATTATGAGGCTACACTCCCTTCATGGCGCAGTGACAATACTCATAGCACTCGAAAGCCAAAAAACCGAAACCCACGATTTTCTCTTGAGTCACAAGTCCTAGGCCACCAAAATGAGTGGGAACACTTCGCCCTGGGGTTGAAGCCTGCGCAGGAGAGAGAGACACTGCCCGCCATTAGAGGCTGGCCGAAGGCTACCATCAGCAAATATCAGCACTGCAGCCAATAGCAGCACGAGAACAGCCTTTTTTTCCCTTCCCAGACAGTAAAGTGGCATTTTGGTTTTTCCTTAGAACCACGGCAATGACGTGCAGAGAAAATGGGTTAATGGGTTTTTTTCGAATCGACACACCGGGAGTCCAGACCCGCTGATAGGGCGAAACGGGGGAAAACGCCTGCAAGGTTGGCCCGCCGATAGGGCGAAAACCGATCCAGGGTCCTTTGGGCCCGGCGAGGCATAGAGACGTCCGTGTAGGCCAGTTCCTGTGAGCTTCCGTTGCCGTTCGTTAGTATTAGCTTGGCATGTGTGGCCTGTCAGCAGACCGAACGCTTCTGCCGCACACTAACACTGCTAGCAACTAGCAGTAATAGCAGCTGGTGTTGGTGGTTGGATCATGGCTCGTTTCTCAGCGAGGCCTCACCTCTCACGCCTCTCGCCTCACACCTTTCAACACACCATCGCACACCCGGGAAGTCGGTGCGGCGCCCCGCCTTGCATCCAGTCCAGAAAAAAAAAAGCATCTCAAGAATCCTCCTAATTTCTCCAGCCAGCCAGTCAAGTCTCAAGGAACGCAAGAGGAACAACAAGAACGACCGTCGGTAGGCAGCCGAGCGACGACTCATTGCGCACAGACACTTGCGATTTTTGGACTTTCTGATACGGGGAGGATGATGATGCTTTTCGTAACATGATCCCACAATAGGCGTCTTTGGCCGTGAGAAGGAGAGTGTTTCGCGTAAGAGGAAATAAAGTATCAAAATGGAATCCCTGCAAAAATGGGCTCCGTGTTAGCGTCGAGGAAGCCATATCGAATCTCATGGCAAAGTTTCGAGTTTCGAGCCAGTTGGAAGTCAGGACTGTTGGGGCTGTGTATCGGACCTTGCTGCTGGAAACCACAGGCAACAAAAACAACTCGCAAAACCTCAAGTCACGAGCTTCCCCAGCGCCCCAGGCCAAAGAAGAACGGCAGTGCCCCATGCCATGGCCAAAGCTCCTCGACTCAGAGCCTCAGGGCCACAGAGCTCCAGGCAGGCCACCAGGCCACACCAAGGCAGCAGCAGCAGCTCCATTTTCCCAAGCAGAAAAGCCCCGGCTCTGGATGCCAGAGCGAGGCCAAAGTGGAGCTGTCGGAGGTGGCCGCTGGGCCTATAAGCAGCAGCGCTTACCTTGTATGGTGAGCGGTGGCCGTGCCATGCAAAGTCCTAGTTGAGAAGTTGCGTCGGGCAAAAAAGGGACAGACAAGGCAGATCGCAGAGTCAATAGTGTCGTTTGGCTCAACTAGAGAATAGGACCTAGCAACTCTGCAATAGTGCTACTACTAGACTACGTAGTAACAGCAAGACTGGGCAGTTCCCAGTTTCTAAATGAGCCGTGGAGTGCCCACAATCTCCACAGTCACATGCTGGGCTGCCAAATCCCGCATTCCAGGACGGGCCGCTGCTTGGTGGCTCGATTTGGTTGACGGGACCTTGAATTTGTGTTTGTTTGTTTTGTTTCACTTGACGTCATACACGAAGCGCATCATCAACGGAAGCTGCATTGCGATGCTGCAGAAACTAGAAAGAAAGAACCAGGGAGAGCTGCGACTATCCACTGCAGCTCTCTCTCGTCACACTCCTTTCATTGTTTCCTTTTTCTCATTTCCTCACTGACACACACAGACTCACTCTGTGACTGACTGAGGCTGAAAAATAGGCACTTCTCTTGAATTTCTGCGCGCACTCCCTCCTGAAAAGTCGAGGCTGCAAGCGGAATATTGATTGATACATTGTTGCATCATCTAAAACTCTGCCCAGACTTATTTCTTGCGAAAAGTGAGGGAAGAAAAAAGACACCCAGTTGGTCTAAGCTCGCTCCTCGCCCTGCATTCTCTTTTTTCGCCCATCGAAGGATTCAAAGCCTCGAGTTTCAGTTTATAACCCAAAAACGCAAGTCGCCGAGCGCAATAGTCATAACAATAAGCCGGCAACATGACTCGCTCCAGCCTCTCCATCACCTACTTCGCATTTACGGCGCTTCACTTTGTCTGTTTTGCGCTTGCAATCACCGTCTGCGGCCTCTACGGTACCGACTTGCAGCGGGCGAAGAAGTTTGACGACTATACCAACTCCAAATGGGTAAGAAAATGTCGATGGCGTCACACAAGTGAGGACTTTGATGGAGGTTTCATGCATGAAGCACGCTGTGCTGCCATGTAATTCCATCATCAAACGATCTCCCCTGCGAATAGCATCCAAAAAAAAAAAAAAAAAAAAAAAAAAAAAAAAAAAAAAAAAAAAAAAAAAAAANAGTGTGAAGGGGGAATTTAAAAAAAAAAAAAAAAAAAAAAAAAAAAAAAAAAAAAAAAAAAAAAGACAATAAAATGAAAGAAAGCTGACCCGAGTCTTCATCACAGGTCTATGCCGTCGTAGTCGGTGCATTGTCGGCAGCTACATGCGCTCTCTACTTCATCCCCTTCATCATTGAGGCTGGCAGCATATTTGTTGCCTCCTGGGATGCAATCCTTTTTGTCCTGTGGATCACTCTCTTCGGTGTCTTTGGCAAGGTACGTTTCCAAGTTCAATTCAATTTTTAGCCTCCGAGCATGAGTGGCACAGGACCATACCCAAGAGGAAGAAAGAAACAAAGGACAAAAGACTGCCGTGCTACCGTCATTTTCGCAATACTGACATGTCAACTCGCACAGCTGTACATTCACGAGAATGCCCATGGCAACGGCAACATCGAGCGCATGAAGCACGCCGTCTGGGTCGACCTCACCAGCGCACTGCTCTGGCTGATTGCGACCTTTGCCACTCTCGCGTACTGGTGGAAGCATCGCAACGCCCGTACCGTCTTTACTGGCCGTGCCAAAGTCTAGAGGCCTTTCGCGCGCCATAGTCCCGTTAAGCGAAGCAGGTGATGAGCACACCTATATCATGTCCAATCTTACCCGCAAACGGCATGAGGGGCGTCCATCTGCGGCAATTTTAGCGATTTTTTCATGGGATATCCGATATGTGTTGAGATAATGCGGGCAAAATGGGAGAGAGAAGAAAGGAGGAAAGTAATTAGTACATTAATGATATGATACCCCTCTGGTTTGCTTGGGAGTGTAGTAGGACGTGGGGAAGGGGACATGGGATATGAGACAAAGGAGACTCGCAAGAGTGACATTGGCCCTGTTTGTCGTTTGTCGTGTGCGTACTCCGTAGATGCAACATAAATGGACAGATGGTGAGAGAGAAAAAATCCCCATGTATAGGCCTCTTACTTTGTTCGTAGAATAATCAATTAGTTTTCTCAGTTTGGAGCCATTGACAACATCTCATGAGTGTCTCCAGAGCGTGCTTCCATGGCATGGCTACAAATGCTACCACTACCCAGTACCTAGCATGCCCCCTTCCTCGCATGCTATGACTGGTTAGGGTGGGGAGATGAATCAGTGCCAGTAGCATGCGAGTAGTAGTATCCATCATTTATCATTCATCATGATCAAAATACGCGCGACGGGATGGCAACGTGGACACACGATATGCCGCCAAGAGTCAACCAGGCAAGACACGATGCCAGACTTCAGCTCTCTTTGGCCCAGACGCTCTAGGCCCACGGACAAGGTTGCCGAGAGACCCCCATTTCCGGTATTTCCCCAGACGGCGGAGGGGGCCAACGCAGCGCTCTGACTCGACCGCTCAAGCAGCACGAGATCCGGTGATGGCGTTGCACCAAAAGTGGTGCCCGACCATATCCCTCAGATTAACATTGCATGTGTGCCAGCGACTGCTGTACATATAATTTGTAACCTAGTGTAGAGAGGCGTAATCGAAAAGCAGAAAAGGGGCATGGAGACGGATCGGACAGCGCTTACGAATCCAATTATGATAGCATACGACGAGCGAGAGCGACGGAGGCGTCTCCCTTTCGGAGATGATGTTCCATGCGGGCTTGGGGCTTATCCCCCCTTTGGACTTGATAGCAAGCCACTGATCGGCAGCGCCAATACGCTACGGTTGTACCGGAAAGGAAAAAGTAAGTGACAAATAGTCGTAGAGGGGGAGAATGAGAACCAAAAGAATAGCAAGAAAAAAAAAAGAAGAAAATTCAGTGTTTACAAGAAAGAATAATGAGACCAAAGTGACGTCAAAAGCTGCCCAACGTTTTTCGCCTCACCTAGTCTCCTGTATCTTCGGGGGATCTTTAGGGTGTCCTATCTGCTCGGGTCGTTTCTCCAGCATGCACTCAATGATTTGCTACCTTTCGTCTCTTCTTGTCTGAAAAAGCACAACTAATGAAGTCTGGGACGGAGCGTTCCCCGTCAGCAAATCGAATCGCGAATCGCAAAATCCCCACAACCCGGCATAGCACTGATGCTTCCCTCATGTGGGGTGACGTGGTGGGCGTTATCGGGTGCAGTTGCTGGCATCGACCTACTACGGAGATGCACGTTCAGACAGCTCCTGTGGTTTTCTAGTTGGCGTCTGCCGAGACTAAGAAGCGAGCAAATGTTCGTTTGGCGTCCCAGCAGAGCGGAGCCCAAATACTTAGTATGCAGTATGTAGGTCTGTAGGTAGCAGTAGTAGTATTTTGTGTGCTGTATAGTAGGTATGAAGAGGGCAGCTAGCTACTGTGGCGCAAAGCAAGGTCTTAGGGGCTTGCACGGAAGTTGTAAACGGCCCCCCGATCCCGATGGCGTATTATGGCCCATCCACGTCAGCGGGCAATTTGTAGAGACCGACGACTTTCGTTTGATCAGAGGCCTATGTATCCAAGAAAGCAGTCCCAGCGGGCATAGTATGGCATGATGCAACGGCCCCGGCATACGTGATAGTGTGCTTTGTACCCGTACTTCCGAGTCAGCGGACTTGTGTGATGGGTGTGCATCTGGTCTCTTTTGTCACACCACCCATGAGGAGGGACAATAACAATTACCTATAGTAGGTCAGTTGTATGGGTACATTTTCGTAACGTGCAACTAGGAGCGGCCTGTGTTGGGTAGCGGGACATGGCAAAGGATGGGCACAACCAGCACCAACGCGAGCTAGCTAGCTATGCACGAAAAAATAGAAGAGGAAAAGAAGAATGAAAAAGGATGCGAGTTTGAGACATGGAGCCGATCATTGAGTGCCCATCCTGCCATTTTCTTTTTGTGTGTGCCTCGAATGTCTCGCCCATCCCATCTCTATTACTGCAGCCTGCCGAATCTCGTCTGGATATGCATACTGTACAGTTCCTCTGAGTGTGTTTCATGGGACGGGAGGGAAAGATCCACAGCCGATCCATACTTGGACCCCAATTCGATCTGGGCCATACGAGATATCAAAACATATAGGTAGATACATAATAGACATTTGAGTAATGTGAGGAGGAGAGGCTCAAACTGCGGGCTGGGAAACTGGGAAACTTTTGCGTTGTCCTGGGCTTGGCAGCATCACGACTCGACGCCAACTGGCTTGCGGCGACGCACTGGGTACGGTCTGCATGTGTTGTACCACGCTGTACGTCCGTGATTTTGCACCAAATAGTATCAAGAATAACGGGATATCGCCACCAGTAACCGAGCCACGAGATGGGGCTCTACTGCTAAACTTTGAATTCTCGACTTGCAAAGTGTGGAGATAATGGGAATCGGCCATTTTCCGCATGTCTAAATTAAAGGAAACCCAATTACAAGGGGGATAGAAAGAAGATGAAAAAGTGGATGAGAACAGACGTGTTCAACAAGCTGAGGCAAGAAAAGCGAGCCACTCGCTTCTTGTGATCATGTAATGGGTATACTCTGTACGCAGTGGGGAGAGACGCAGTCATTCGCGGTGTAAGCATAATGTGCTTCGTACTCGTACTTGTTAGCCACGGTGGATTCGTACATCGTGCAAAAAAAATCTAATCAAACGAAAACAACGTACCGAGATGGAAGAGGCAGAGGCGAAAAGAGAGAACGGGGGGAGAAATGGCCTCATCTGCTCCATCTTCTGCACCGTTCTCGCATCACAAACTCCACCCTGGAATTTCAAAGCTGGTGCTCCCGCCCCCGATCCATGGAGTACAGGAGCACAAGTTACTGTTTTTATATCAACTTACTTGCAGCCATCGAGGTGTGAATACTGTAGCATATCAGTTTTCGAGGCGCCGTTGGTCTTGAGTGCCGTTGGACTGGGTGTTGCTCCTTTGAAGTAGCTTCCTGTACATCATCCCAGGGCGGTAGCATCATCGGCGTACGTGCGTCCCCTTGCCCGGGCTTGTCTTGCGATAAGGCTGCGAGGACAGGCACCAGGATGGTACGAGGAGACACACTCGTGCATGTACCTGTGCAGGGGCAGCCCCCCGTTGCATGAATTGAGCATCAGGGTATGCCGCTTGTCACTTTTTGAGTTCTGTCCAGGTGCCTAAACTTTGCAATCGCTCAGGAGAACAGGCCGCCGCGTCGATGACAGTTTCGGAACCCAGAGCCAGATTGACTTTTTCTCGCATCGCGCTCGGAAAGTCTCCTTACATGCAGCCTGCTCTGCTTGCCACAGAGAAGACCTGTTTGTATGCAATGCATCCTGGACAATTAGGGGACCTCAATCCCTGGGCCATCGTCAGCTCGCTTATTAGCCCAAGGGCCCCAAAGTTTTCCGTGTTCCCATTCGTACCTGTACACAATCCAGAGCCAACGCAGATGCCGCAGGATTGCCGATCAGCAGCAGCACCGTCGTTTTTGTTGAGACCGGGCATCCTCTCGGTGAGAAACGAGACGCCTCAGAAAATAAAAATAAAATCAAAGTGCAGCCAATGGCGTTTTTCTTTCTTCTCTTTTTTTCGGAAGGCTTCCAATCCATATGTCGACATCAGAGGGACCCCCTGGTCAGCCAATGACGACGAGGCCCATCCGCAGTGCCCGCCACGTCCATCAGAGGCGGTGGGCGAACGAGTGCTTGGCAAGTAGGTATAGTAGGTCTAGTAGGCATTTGCGTGTATGTACCGCTGTAGATACTGAGAGGACGTTCAATTGAAACACAGGAAGAGACCACCATCCAGTAGAAATGAACTACCTACTACTGTACTACCTACTACCACAAGCAGGGATGCAAATGAGACTGGACCCGGGAGGCCGGCTTGGCGATCCAACGCTGGCCGCCCGCAACGGCTAGCAAATAACGAAACTTGATGCATCAGAAAAATGATACCATAGCATTGGCCGTTTAGCGGTATCCGTACACCTTGGGGAGCTCATCTGTACCTTACCTTGGGGCTAAGAAACAAAAGTACATGTAGTGTTAGCCACCATCTACACCGCACTCACACTCACGCCCATGCAGCTGTTTTTTGTTTTTGTTTTTTTGTCCCATCTGCCCACCCAGTACTCCATATAGCGAGCTCTCATGGCAAACAAACGAACCCGAAGAAAGAGGAGCCCAAGACGCCAGAGCCCAAAAGCCAAATACCCTCTTTTCCCGCTCCAGCGATAGGCTCGCCTGCTCCCATTTGCTCTCTCTCGGCCGAAAAGCAAGAGAGAAGCTGCAAGTAGCCACAGCGAGAGCTCCACTGTACGCAACTCAACTGGCAAACGTGCAGTGGCCCTTTGCGGTGCTCACCCAGTAAATGGCACCTCGAGGGGAGCCATTTTGTACGTTTCACAGCAGCATGGCCCCTCCCCCCCTTGTTCGGCCTGTACTGTGTACTGCTAGGGATTTTGGATTCGTGGACGGCCAGTAGAGGCGTGTGTGAGTGTGGACGAGTACGGTGCGGTGGCTTGTCTCTGTCGTACTGCTGGCTGTTCTCTCTCTCTTTCCCTCTCTCTTCTCACTCATATTCCCTCTTCTTCCCCCCTTCTCCTCTCTCCTTGTCGTATTTGTAGTGGTACGGAGTACAAGTGTGCTACTTTGCTCCCAAGGAGGCGTCAGGTCGAATTGCAAGCATCACACCTTATTTGCTCTTGTACCTTACCCAGTGGGCTCATTTTTCCTGTCCAAGTCGTGGGTTTCTTAGTACCACCTACTTAAGTATTTACCGTGCCTTTTATTTTTGTCTAGGTGGCTTTCCCATCACTTTGGTCGACCAACCTACCTATTTATCTCCTTCCCCCCCAGGGCCTCAAGGACCTTTTCCGCCCTGGTGCAACAACACGCTTGCTCGTCTTTTTTCTCAGCATTTCTCATCCCGGGATCCTTACCTTGCATAGGACTTTTCCCTCGTCCTTCAATTCAAAACAAACAAGAAGCCCGCTGCATCCCGAAATCTCGCATCTCTCTGCCTTTCTGTTACTCTCTCTTCTTTCACTTGTTCATCATTGCATTCGCCACTCATCACCTAACATCCGGCAGTCTATATCCTTATCTTACTAGAGCTGTTTCTTACCGGCATTTTTGGCCCGCAGCTCACGGCCAACCACCATTTTCCTGGCTGCCTCTTGACATTTTCTAATCGGGTCAATTGCTCATCCGTCCTCTCATCTTTTGCCTCATTCCTTCCAGCGACTCTATTTCTTGCATTATATTTTCCACAGTTGCCGAGCATAACCCTGAAGAGAGTATTCTATACCAAATTGCTTCCCTTCTCTAGCGACAAGATACGGGGCTTGATCCGTGTCTCTCGCCTTTTCTCTACCTACCGATAAGAGACAAAACCTGCGCAAACTGACTTGGGCTCACTCTCCCTTTTTGTCCTTCACCTTCCCCAAGCCATCCGCTGTCTGAATGGGAAGCTTGGAGAACTGGAGCTCCGACGAGGGCGACGGCCCCAGAGACAAAACTCCCCGGTCCCACAGACCCAGCCATCAGTCGTCGCGGCGTAGCATGAACCGCTCAGTGTCCATCTTATCCAACTTGTCCGAGATGTCGGCGTCGGTCACCTTCGGCTCTCAATGGTACCGAAACGACTCGGACAGGTATGGCCACCGGTCGTCTGACCACCGGGCGCCGAGGACGAGGACTCCCTATCGCGACATTGACGACGACTGGTCTGACGAGCCTTATGACGAGAGGGACCGCTCCGAGGGGGCCTCAGGCTCCGACAATGACGATAGCAAGCAGAAAGTCAAGCGGCGGCAATCTACGAGTAAGTGGAAACATGACAAACTGTTTTGCCCCATCTCTTTCAGTCGTTCTCCCTGTTTCTCAGTTCCACTTCCTTCGAACCGTTCCGTCATTCATTGATACACTTTTTTTTTTTTTTCACCAATTCCTTACACTTCTTTTCTGTCCAATTATCTTTGTGATCTACTCTTAATCTTTTTCTCTTTATTTTCACTGTGTTGCCATACCACGGACTATTCGGAGATTTTTATTTCCCCCTTCTCTAGTCATGTCTCGGCTGGTTTTTCCGGAACCGACCCAGCACTGGGAGACAAGAATGACGCCAGCACAATCCACAAAAATCTATCCCATAGCTGGCGCTTAGGCCCGTCTGTCAAGAACCCCACAGGAACCACAGAAGAACCATCGCGGGGTACCCGGAGAAAGTCCATCACCTTGCATGAGACGGCGGCTCCAGCTGTTTCCACCAGCACGCGACCATCCCAGCCCGGCTTATGTGGACTTTCCAGCGGCCACTATTCCCGTTGTTATGTTGGATCTTCTGTTTCTCGCCTGTAAATTCATGTGAATAGTTTCTTGGGGGTTTCTACAAGTGTCGATCTCCCTCCTAGTTTCTCCTATTAGAATTACTATTATTTACCCCACTCCGCTTTTCTCAAGCACTTCCGCTATTTAGACCGTTGCTCTTCCTCTTCCTCTTTGTTTCTCTTTCTGACAGCTTCCTCAATAGATGTTGATGTAGATGCTGGTGCTGGATCCAGCTCTTCGGCGTCAACTGGGAGTCGCCCTATTGCCATCCCTAGGTCGAGACAAAATAGCGTTGCCTCTGCCATCACGATACCAGAAGCCCTATCTGCAAGGGGCGAACGGCAAGGGTGAGTATAATAGGACCATTAGTATTTCCTTTTCCTTCTTCATCCTCACATGTTTTTTTCGATTGTAGTGCATATTTCCCCTTTCACGAAGATCCCAAAACTCGTGTACGACATTCTCATCCTTTCTACTACGACATGAAGAATCAGGATATTGCTTCGCCTTCGCTTGAGGATGTGGATACGGGTGCGGACGCAGATGTGGATATGCCCAAGCCCAAGTCTCAATATGAGCTGTCCAGCTCCACACAAGACGATTCATACGGGTTCCTAAGCGACGATGAAGACAGTGAGCCTTTCATCTCTGCGTCGATGGGCAAATATTACCCACAAGTCTACGAAAGGCGCCAGGCGTTGAAGAAGGGTATTGCCCTGCCAGCTTTGCCAACAGCAAGCAGCAGCAAGCCCTCTGGTAGCAAGTCTACAGCTTCCAAATCTCACAGGCGTCGACCAAGGCCTCGGACTCCCGTCATTGTTCCCCGACTAGCAGCGACTACCACTGAATCCATCCCGCCCTTTCAGCTAGAGTCGGCGGAGTAGCGACATTCTAAACCCATTTTGAGGCTGCCTAAGGCGACCAAGGTTCGTCATTGGATTCACATACGCCAGGACAGGGCATGGCAATCAGACATAGAATTTTTTTTTTCGGGATATTTTTTGGATAGAGTCACTAGCATTGCGGGGAGTGTTTGGAACTTGGCATTTGGAATAGGATTTGGGCAACGAAATGACTACTTATACACCCAGCTTACTCAGGATTAAACTCGCTGAACAAGTAGCTGCCTGATGAATAAACACTTTTAAGAAGAATTTCCTTTATTGTTATAAAAACTGTAATGTTGCTTCTTACAGTATCGATGATCGGATTATCTCGCATCGAGCACACTTCTACTACAGCAAAGCCAGACGAGCGGATAAGATTTAAATGCGATTTTACAATCTCTACAAAAGCTTTAGAACAATGCCCTTTTAAACATAACCACTTTCCATGGTATAATGTAAGACAGTTTTCATTTAACGTACATATATCCATCACCGCTTCTCCTTTCGATGAATGCAGATTTACTATGAGCGGCAATGAGTATTTCAAACATCAAATTATCCACCAAGCGCCTCATGGGTATGCCCACAATATACTGAATCGTAGCATATATTGCGCTGCTTGTATTACTGGTCTTTGCGTAATACGATGAAATGGTAATGGAAATGTATGATTGATCTTGAATACATGGGAAAACTTGATTAGTTATAGAGTTTGATGAATTATTGATATTTTTTTTACGAGGTTACAATTTTAACTGGTTGCGAATGCCAATCCCACAAGAGACTTTTCCATGGCATAGCGCTGCAAGGTATGCTATATTACAGAGAGCTGCCCACTGTAATTCAACGCCTGTATTCCAGCGCGCTTGCAACCGCCAACCACTAACCCCAAGTATGCCTATTGTTCAGAAATTGCTATATCGTCAGTGAATATCTCTTTATTGAGCATTGGGAAATACTATGCCTTGATTCATTTCTTATTAATTGTTCTCCTCTTATCTTTTTTTTTTGGCAACTTTACATCACATTATAAGTATGCAAGGCGTATTCAATAGTTCTTTCCTTGCAATTCTGGCGCCAAAAAAATCAATCAAGATAGATCACATGATCTCGCGTCGCGTCTTCCATCTCTGCATCCCATCGCCAAATCGCGTCTCGCTGCAATACTGTCCCGCTCATGTCTCGCTAGCAATGACGATAGCTTTCCTCAGCTTGTTTTCCGAAAGCTGCGCCCGCCTTTTGAGAGAATAAAAATCAAACAGGCTCGCATTGCTTCGCAGTTCTACCCTCACGTTTTGCCCATTCATCCTGGTTCTTTCTCTCAGCTGCCTCTATGCATCCTTCGAGTTCTTCGTCTGTGCATTCGTACTTTTCTCAGCAGCCGTCTCTACCTCTCTACATATCTCGGTCTGCGGATCTATTTCCAGCTTCTCACTCTGATTTGCTTTCCTCCAGTATTTCCGCTTCGGTAAAGCATAGTACTTTACGTTCCACACCACACAATGTATCGCCCGAGAAAAAACGCTGGCCCGGCTAATCGCTTGGAGATATCTTCGTCTCCAGAACCTCAGCAACCTACCTCATCACCCACTAGAGGTGATGCTCAAGCGAATGTCCAGGCTACTTCACAACCTATATTTCGCCCCGTCAGACGCAACACACGGCCGGGCTTGATTTCTATATCAGGTGCTCATGCTGCTCAGCCCACCAGTCGACCGGCTAAAAGCGTTGCACCACCTACTTTATCTTCTATATCAACTGCTCAAGCTGCCCAGCCTACCTTTCGCCCTGCGAGGAGCATCGCCCAGCCTGAACTATCTTCAATACCGTCTGTTCAAGCTGCTCAGCCTACCTTTCGCCAACCTAGGACCGTCCCACAGCCTAGTCTCTCTTCTATACCCACAGCTCAAGCTGCCCAGCCTACGTTTCGCTCAATTAGAAGCGCTGCACCATCTACTTTATCATCTACGACAGCCACTCACACTCCTCAGCATCCTATACCTCACTCATACAGAAGTGTTGGAGTACAGGTTAATTTGCCCCCTCCTCCAGCCCCAACTCCAGCCCCTCTGCCAGCGGCGAGAGAAAGCAGACCGGCCGTTACAGCAACGCCTCGACGTGCTCCATTTCGTCCTGTGAAAAAAAGCACTACATTGGGGCATACCCCTGATACAGCGATAAACATACCCGAAGGAACAATAGCTACGCCTGATACGGCGACGAATGCGCCTGCAACTGCCCCTATCCACGAGTTCATCTGCCTTTACAGCCACGATCTCCGCCGCAAGCAAAAGAGGTGGCAAGATGGCACCCTGAGATTTCATACATTTAACCAGAAATTCATGGTATATGATGAAAATGGGGTCTACGTCGGCGAGGGACACTGGCAGGGAGATGTAGACGACTTCCAGGAGGGTCTCGAGATCAAGCTAGATCGACCCATGGCATGTCTCCAAGTTATGGAGTGCACAGGGACAAAGGAGCAAGACCTTTCGCAGGTCTTGGGCAAGCGTGTACGGGAGGTTGAGGAGAGGCGGGCTGCAAGGGCCCCGGCGAGGAGGAATAGGGAGATTGCAGCGCCAGTAGAGATTGCACCAGATGAGGCACCTGCTACTGTGATCCCTCTAACGCCTCCTAGGAATATGGGAGGTGCCTCTACTGCTGCAAGTCATCCACCGGCTCCTAGGAATATGGGAGCTGCAGGTGCCTCTACCGCTGCAATACATCTGATGCCTCTTAAGAATATGGGAGCTTGGAGTAAACATGCGGAGGATTTGCTTGGAAGGGGCCGGCCGATACGTAGATAGTCTTTTTTAACGACATCAGTGGGTCAATGTTAGACAGTCGGAGTAAAGTGTTTTATGGGGTGTGAGATAGGTGATATGCGAGGTGTGAGATGAGTGTTTCCAAAAATATGAGGTAATTCATGGGGTTTAAGAGAAACATTTTATAAATATTAAAGAACTCTTTAATAAAGCATTCATTATATTCAATGAGTGTTGTCTTATAAAATGTTACATGCTTTATACTTACCGCACTTGTACTTTACTGTACACCACTCTTATCTCCCCTCTCACCTTACTTTACTTTCACTCTTAATTCTATCCCACTTTCATCTCATCACTATTATACCATCTATTATCTGTCTCGTTCTCTTTTTTGTTGAATTTATTATACATACACACACACACACACACACACATATATATATATATATATATATATATAGTATATGCATTATTGCATTGTTCACTCAGTTCAAACATCTTTCTCTCGACTCTTCCATATTTCCGGGTTCCGCGGGCCCTGGTGCCACGGTGTCATGCTTGGTGTACTTTGTACGCACCCTTGATAAAACGTTGCATAATACGCCGCCAATTATTAGCGCATGTCGGGTTTTTTAATCTTTAGTGGGGCGATCTAAGCCATCTCGAGCTCGCCGAAAGGAAAAATCGGACCCTCAGGCCATCTTTGATTAGCCTTAGCCGTGTGCTGGGATGACTTCTTGGGCATGTTGAGTAGGATATACTTTGTATGGCTTCGTAGTCAATTTCAGACGTCTAAGAGGTCTCCGAGATGAGACTGGCCCCTTTTGAGTATCTAATTCCGGCCTGGCTGCGATGGACAGAACGAATGAATAAATGGCATTCTTACTTTGATATACCGCTCCTGAAAGTGGCGTTCTATGAATGAATGCGATTGTAGGTTGTTTGGTTCATGAAGTAATGCAAGGCTACTTAAGGATTCAATTGACTACTTTCGAAACTCTAATAAAAAAAAAATAAAAAAAAAAACTTAACCGTGATAAATCAATATTGAATAATTAACCACAGTCATGATGCATCCTGTAGCTGAAAGCGATGAGATTCGCAGATTCTCAAAGACCCAACTGGTTGTAGGGTAACACTCATGACACATTATTCAGCACCAGCGCCATATGGAACAGGATTCTGCAGTGCATCCTTGGCATTGTCACGAGGCACATGTAGTAGGCAAGTAGCAGTAGTATCGCCGAGGCCAAGACTAAAGAGGATTGATTATACCTACTACATACTCCGTATATCTAATCTAATTAGTACGCGCCTGTGATGGGTATATGTCTAAAGATATGTTGTCTAAGGCACTAGCTAGAAGTTGGGAGAAAATGTCACAAAAGCAACGTGAATAAACGAGCAAACCAAGCAAACAAGACTCCAGAGGAGCGGGAGCCAAGATCAACTTTATCTGCTCGCCTGCCGGATCTTGAAGCCACCTCGCTTCAGCAATTGGCTGGGCTGCACTTGGGGGCAGCAGTCCCTTGCCTGGCTGCATGAGCGTCGCGAATCTCGATAGCAGTACGGAGTATTTATCCAGCCACTACCACTTAGCATTGCCAGCACCGCCCACTTGCACCAACACTAAAATGACTCTTATTTTATTTTGCATCGCAGAGTCTGGGGTACCTGCCTGTGACTACACACACCGGCGGCCGTCACGGCGAGAGTCGCGCGAGAGAGGCGCAGAGACGGCTCGTAGTGGGCGAGAAAATTTATAAATGCGCGGCTTCCCCAAGTCATCGCTGGTGTCCACGACCCATCTGCCTCGAGCCTAGTCTAGCAAGTATAGTGAGAGATGAGTGATAGCGATGGCGCTTCTCGGGCAACTCCACGCTGCTCTGCGTGTTCCTGGGCATCTGACGGGCTGAAACGCCTCCGCCATGAAATCCAATTTTTTCCCAGAAAAGGAACTTTTTCAATGCCCCCAGGTTGAGTCACCCGCATCGGTCCAGGCCACGCCATTGGCCAATCACGACTGCTAAGCTCTCGCCGAAGCTCCATCCGCGACGGTGCATCAGGTGGGGGGCCTGGGCCAATCACAGCCGGCGCCGGTGGGACCCCAGCCCCCGCGGCACAGCCTGATTGGCCCGCTGAGCCCCCAAAGGCGCCTTGCGCTAGTCCTGTTCCAGCACGCCGAAAGAGTCAGGATTCGACCATCCCGCAAGGGCTGAGGAAGGACCGCGGGCGCTGGAGGCAGTCACTGAAATACCGTCATGACTCCCGGCCGGCGACGCCTGAGGAGCTCGTTTTTCTCATCTCTTCCTTCATTTTTCACTCGCGCACGAGCTGCCCAGCCCTTTGCTATCGTGGAATAGCCTCAGGCACTCCAGAACAATCAAAGAGTCTGTCAAAGCAGTGGTTTAATTGGCTTTTGTCTGATTTTCCTGCTTCCACCAAAGACTCCAGCGCGCCGGGACCCCCCTCACCTCTCTCTCTCGCACCCTTGGCGCTGCTGCGAACTCATTTTAGCCTCAATCAATCAAATCTCATATCTCACCTCTACCTTTCACTCATTCGTT